CGTTTGGAATGTGGAGGGGCTTGGTATGTAAAAAAAAACATTCTTTTATCCTTAACATCAACAATCCGTAATGCATGCCAAGTCTCATTAAGAACTTAAATTGCTCTTCAAAAAGTGAGTTCAGATGGACTTTCATATATAATTGAGATCTACTCGCAGCCACTTCTCTTCTAAGACCGGAAATGTCTGTTAAAGACGAAAACAAAGGACAAAGGACAAAATGGCGTCTCCCACCACGTCGTTATTGAATATCTGAAATACTTCCCTGATTAAGAGAAACAGGAGCTAACGGATGGTTGGTTATAAAGACTGGAAACAATATTACATATACAACTGTTTGCAAAAAGATGTTTTTTTGATTACAAGCGAGAGAGAGGCTAAATGGATGTCTGGCAGCCCCCCTCTAGGGCCCGGAGGGGGGACTGGGAAGATTCCAAAGGCCAATTACTAACTGTCTGATATATGGCTACATTGCAAACAGTCTGTTTAAGATAAATCAACAAGGAGGGTACAGAAGGAAATTTCTCTCTGTTTCTTTGATAACACCTGGACGGGAAAGATTAACGATCTGGGAGCTGCGAAAATAACAACTCTCAAAGAGCTGGACAGAACTTTGAAATTGGATGCAATTAAATGAAGCAGTGCGATGGAAAAACAGCTCAAGGAGTACAATATACGGACAAATCTGCACTCCATAGAAAAAAAAAGTATCGGTTTTCTGACATGAGTGAGGATCGTAGAACCAGAGTCAAAATGTGGAAGGGAAAAATCGGACATGGAATTATGAATAACATTGAGGATGATGAGAGGCAGGACTATAATGTTGAATGCGCTTTGAAATTCAGACCGTGGGAAGTCAAAACAAAATTATTACAGTTTGGAAGACAATTGGACCTTTTTTATTTTAGTTTTTTATTGGATTTGATTTGATTTGATATGTTAATTGGATGTTTTTATTGGAAAATTAATAAACGCTTAAAAAAAAAAAGAACTTGCATATGGAACCCATACATTTCTCAGAAGGAACTGAATCTTTCTGGATAATGTTTCCACAAAGATGATGTTCAGAATATTGTTCTAAGTTTATATGTGTTGTCGTCTGAAGAAGATAAATTAGCATTTTGCAAGGAAAGGAGCCACACACCGGGCCAATTCTAAACCAGCAGCATCTCAGGCGAGGGGCATATTGGGCACGTCTGCCTACTGGTGCTTAGTGGGAAGGCATGGGGCAAGAACTTATGGCTCTGCAGATGTTGTTAGACTACAATTCCCATCATTCCTGACTGTTAGGCTCCCATCAGCCTCAGCCAGAGTGGCTAACATCTGTAGAGTCTCAGGTTCCTTGCCAGTGGCCTTGACCGTCATCCCTGCTGGGTTGATAGAGAACCATATGCTCCCTCCCATCTTGTGCCCCATGTCAGAGACAATTAAAAAGCAGGAGGAAAGTTCCTAGTTTTCTTAAGAACAGAGACACAGGTGAAATAGCCACAGCTTTAATTTAAAACATTACTCACAGAGTTGTGATAGTGTCACTGAGCAATGGGTTGTCAACCTGTTTTTTGTCTCGGGGGTCCTGTATCTGAGGCAGCTGCATGCAACAAGCACGGTAATGGGTGTAGTTTTCCCCATTCTAGTGCCTCCATGCAGGTTATAGATGCCCCTCTTACACTTTAAGCACAGGAGCATAACGAAGAAAATGTTGGCAACCTACATGTGAACAGATGCTTCTCTGCTGACTCTAATGGGAGTGTTTTCACTTGTACCACCTCTCTTGAACAGCATGTTTATGCTGGGCTAGAAAACAGACCCCAGTGTGTATAATACTCTGCTATAATAGAAGTGCCCTTCACTTTCAAAAACAGTCTATTGATTATTTTAGTACTTGCCTTGGCATAGGCAATGCAGCATGATGTGTGCGAGATACTAGGTAGGAAGAGGATGAGAGTTGCATCAGGCTACTCAAAGTGACATTCCTGTCATGGGGCTTCTATTCTATAGCGCTTTACCTGAAGCACTTCCTTTACTATGAAAGGAATCTATCAGGTGTTTTAGCTCCTTGACAGTCATCTGTCGGCTGCGCAATAAAGATGTTGGCTTCAGACATTATTGGCTTGAAGTTCCGTCTTTCAGGCTAGGTCTGTGTTGACAAAAGAGCATATCTGAGTTGCAGTATCATCCCCATGATCTAAAGATAAAGGTGTAGCAAGATTAATATCAAGGCAGTAAATCTTTCTCACTGAACACTGCCTAACATAAATCCTAATCCAGGGAATCAAGATGGTGCCCTTCAATACGTGATTCAATTACCAGCACGAAATCGTGTTCGTGTTAGCTTCATCAGCATTTCCCCTTGAAAAAAACCTATTCTAACAAATCCTCACACTTTTTTTTCAACTCTGCAGAGGCAGCTGTGGAAAAGGTATTATGGGAAAAAAGAAAAAAAAGTAAGATGCATACAAACCACTGTTGGTTTTGGTATTACTTTTTTTTAGTTCTTGGATTTGTTTTTTTACTACATTACACTGGGCATAGTTAAATCAATAAATCCACCCCCCCCACACACACACAAGAGGCGGTGATGGCCACCAACATGGTTGGCTTTAAAAGAGTATTAGACAAATTAATGAAGGGTAAGGCTACCAGTGGCGCTGTGGGTTAAACCACAGAGCCTAGGATTTGCCGATCAGAAGGTCAGCGGTTCGAATCCCCGTGACGGGGTGAGCTCCTGTTGCTCGGTCCCTGCTCCTGCCAACCTAGAAGTTCGGAAGCACGTCAAAGTGCAAGTAGATAAATAGGTACCGCTCTGGCGGGAAGGTAAACGGCGTTTCTGTGTGCTGCTCTGGTTTGCCAGAAGTGGCTTAGTCATGCTGGCCACATGACCCGGAAGCTGTATGCCGGCTCCCTCGGCCAATAAAACGAGATGAGCGCCGCAACCCCAGAGTCGGCCACGATTGGACCTAATGGTCAGAGGTCCCTTTACCTTTATGGCTGCCAGTGGCTATGTTCTACGTCCACTGTTGCTGGAAATTGCAGGTGGGCAGAGTGCTGTTGCCCTCATGTCCCACTTGCAGGCTTCCCACAGGCATCTGGTTGGCCACTATGAGAACAGGATGCCTGATGGGATGGGCCATTGACCTGATCCAGCAAGCTCTTAACAGAATATGTGCCAATACAAACTGAAAAAATTCTGATGTAAATTACACTGATTTGCATATGATTCTTTTGGTAGATTTTTTAAAAAATGCAACATTATCCAGAAAACCTACATCAGTACAAACCACCAGACCAAAATACCCCTATTTTCTCTTGAGTTTGTTGGACCTTCTCCAGACCATCATTGAAACCAGACACCAATTCAGCACATTCACAGTAACCCCCAAATTAGATGAAGAGGTCACATAAGATGAAGAGGTCAAATAAAATTGGGTATCAGTATGTTGATGCCACCACACTTATGGCCTGTTCTTACGTAACGACACTGGGTCTGTGTGCCCCATGACCACATTGCTAACTTCTATAACTACCCAAGTCTTCTTCGCACAACTGTTGAAGGCTGCTGTGTAGCACACTTAACAATGGCACAGTCGGTCCAATGTTTTATTTGATACACAGTGTACTTGTTAAAAAGAATAGCCACCCTGGGCTATAGTTCAGTGATGGAGCATGTGTGTATCCTTGGTTTGGGCACCAGTAAAAGAATCTCAGGTAGCTGGACTGAGAAAGACCATCTTGTCTGATAATCTTGCAAGGTAAATGAACCTGCAACCCTCCAGATGTACTTGGACTCCATCTCCTATCATCTCTAATCACGGGCCATATACAGTGTAGGCTTGATAGAAGTTAGAGCTCAACATCTGGTGGGCCACAGATTTCCCCAGCCTTGATTTAGAGCTACTGTCAAGGCTGAATACAATACTGGCTTACGATGGACCAAGTGGCCTGGCCCTATTTTAAGGCATTTCTATATGTTCAATGACAGGGAGCAAATTAGTGGGAATCTCATCGCTCAACCAAAAATTTTTTTTGAGGGAGATGGACTGGCAGGAGTAAGAAACACTTGTTTAGACTGCAATGGAAAGTGGTTGGCAGTGGGGAATACGGGGAGCCATGCCTAGTGCTGTTTCGGAGAGCAGAGCCATTACTGAGAACCAGCCTGGTGTAGTGGTTAGCCTGCAGCCTTTTTCAGCCTTGGGTCCCCAGATTTTCTTGAACCACCACCTCCATCATGCCGGACCACTGGCCATGCCAGCTATCAATGATGGGAGTTGTGGTCAACATACAGGAACCCAAGGCTGAGAATCTGGGTTTGAGCATCCGACTTGGACATCCTGGGAGAGCAGGGATCAAAACCCCCAGCCAGCCATGAAGCTGGCCAGGTGTCCTTGGGCCAGTCGCTGCCTCTCAGCCTAACCCTACCTCACAGGGTTGTTGCTGTGGGGATTAAATGGGGGGGGGAGAGAACCGTGTATGCCCCCCTTGGAGAAAAAGTGTGGGATATAAATGCAACAAATAAATAAACACTGTGGAAAGCGGAACAACAGGCTGCCTGAGAGTGGCGGGTGTTGAGCACTTTATTTCGGATGGTGCAAGAGGACTTTGCAGGCACAGAACAGGGACGCAATCTGCGGGAGAAGGTGGTGGTGCAGCAGCAGCAGCAGCAGCAGCAGCAGCAGAGAAAAGGGAATCCCTTTCTCGATGCTTCACGGGGAGGAAAGAGTGTCCTGCGGGCGCTTTGCAGCCGTCAAGCGGCCATCTCTGCCTTATTCGCTGTGGAGGGTCGAGGTGGGCCTCTCGGATTTTCCGCGCGTGCACACAAGGGGCGGGTTTCTCCTTTCCACCCCCCACCTCCTATTTTATTCCCGGATAGGAAAGGAGATACTCCCTCCCCTCCCCCCCTCAGCATCCTCACAATGAGGCGCCCCAAAGACTGGGATGACATCACCCGCTCGTCTCCAAAGAGGCGCCGTCCCATTGGCCGGCTGTCGGCGCCTTTCCGGCCAATGGGGATGCGGCAGGGCCCCAGGCCGGGCGGGCTGACGTGCGAGCTTCCAGTCTCTTTGCCGTATGGGGGTTTATTTTGTTTTGGGCCACTCCAGCCGCCGCCATTAGGCGAGCCCAGGGTAGATTCGAGGGTGGCGGGATCTCGTTGCCTGGGCTTCCCTCCCCCTCAGCCCCGCCGGGGTGGTAGCGTCCTCCCAACCAGCGACGTCCTTTTAGCCACCCAGACCAGGAAGGAACCATGTCCTGAGCGGGCGAGGGGGGGAGGGGGGAGACGGGAGCGAGAGGCCGCAACCAGCGGTGCGGAGCAGGGGCGGCTGGCTGGCTGGGATGCGGGTGAGGGGCATGGGCGGCAGCCGCTGAGGAGAGACAGTCGCGGGATCAGGAGGCTGCCCAGCGAAGGTATGGAGACGGGGGGTGGGGGGGGAGAGGGAAGCGACGAGGCGGGGTGGGGGCAGAGAGGGAAAAAAACCAGCATTTCTTAATGTTTTTTTTTGGGGGGGGGACTTTTGTACTTAATGTGAGGAATTACATCACCCTGAGCCGCCTCTTTCCCCCGGTGTATATGAGGGCGAGGGGACAGTTTCTCACTTGGGGGGGGGTCGGCGTTTATAGTTGCACTTCGGAGAAGGGAGGCGAACTTCGTCCCTCAGCTTCACAGCCCTTCCTCTTCCCCCTCCCCCCCCAAACCCCTGGAGGTACCTCGGGGCTTACGCGACCTCCCCCCCGCCAGCCCCCCACACCGCGCGCCGCTTCAATATCACTTTGTTGGCCGGGCCACCCCCTCTAGTGTTGGCAAAGGATTCCTAAGGCCTCTCGCTCGCTCCTAACGAGGCTTTGAAGCTCCCCCTGTTTGCTCGCCCCCTCCCAAAAAACACCACCACTTAACGATGTTGCCTTGCTCACCGCCCCCCTCGTTTATGAGCCTCCCCAACCTTTTGCTCGGGCGGGGAGAAATGGGCTAAAACTTTGACCACTGTGTTTAGTGTGTGTGTGGGGGGGGGAAGATCCCTCTTGTGTTACCTCAACGGAGTGCTTGTCTGTTGCTCTATGTAGGGATCCCTTCCTTCCCCGCCGCAAGAAAATAAAAAAGGGTGGGTGGGTTTTGGAGCATCCAGGCACCTGCCCGGGAGAGATGCTGCTGTCGCCACTGGGTTGTTTACTATAAGGTTCTGCCACCTATGGCAGTTTATTCGGAGTTGGCTTTCATGCCGCTGGAAGTATTAACGTGTGCATAATGTGTACTAAATTGCTCGGTGCCCAGAAGCCTTTTTTGGGGGGGAACTGCTAAATATTGCAACTCTTGTTTTTGCTTAATGTGTGTGGCTTATCCGACAGCCCCCCCCCCCCCTGTGGTCTGCATGGAGAGCATCACTTCTGTTTTGGGAAACAGGAATGTGATGCGGTAAATGTTGGGTTTTGAACACCTAGTGCAGTGTATCCAACGCTGTTGTTTCAAAGCTCTAAGAAAACCACAATTTGGCATATTTCTGTGTTCCTGCTTATCCACATTTAGTGCTGCAGTACCTACATCTTACTATAGTGAGGTCATACCTCTCCTGTTTTCCACCCCTCCTCTTCCTCATTATTCATAGACTGTAACCTGTGTCTTACTGTCTCTGTTGCAAAAGTGGCATGCCATAAATACTGGATTTTTTCAGTGCAGATGTTAAATTCTTTATCCTTGTTAAAGTGAAATTGATTTGATTTTGTGCAGTTGTACTCTAGCTGAGCAGGCCCCCCCATAGCAACTATCACAAGGAGACTGCATCTTTGGCTTGCTCACACTTTTGTGAACTGCATCAGTCATAGTAAGAAATTGTACTGGACAATGATAATTAGAACAAAATCTTCCTACATTGCAGCAGCTGTCTTAATGGCCAAACAAGGCATTTTTGGAGGTCATACAGTGCTTTTTGGAGTACCACAGATAACCCTCTCTGTATTCGAGAGCAAGTTCCCCTGTGCTGTTGCTTTGTAAAAAAAAATAGTCTTCAAAGCTGTACAGATTATTCTGCTGTCTTCTCAGATCTCCCCTCTTCTGATTTGAGAGAGTACTTTCACCCCTAGATAGTCTAAAAAGATTCTGAACTTACCATTTCCAGTTGATGCATTACATAGGGCAACCCCTTATAGTCTTAGGCAGTAGCATTGAGGTCTGTGTGTGACAGCAGGGTGCCCTAAACATAGTCTGGATGCTGTTCTTAACAAGGGCTGTGAAGTTGCTCTGTAATTGCATTGTTTTTTTATGAGCAAGGAATGCCTTTGCTAGAACTCATGGGATGTGGCACTGTAATTGGTAATGCTTCCTGCTACATATATGCTGGCTATGATTTCAAGGGCATAAATTTATCTAGCTATCCAAAGTTTTCTGGCAGTTATTCAGGATGCCACTGAAGACAAGTTACTTTCCACGGAATAACAGGATGTTTTCATTCCCAGCTCAGTTTTCTGTAGATTTAAAACATTTCAGATTCTATTTCTGCTATTTCCACTAATTCTTGAGGAATAGCTGCCTTTTGTGTGTTTGCTGACTTGTAAATTTCTAAGAGATGGTTCTGAAGTCCACTGAAGCCATCTAGGAATTAGTAGTTGAGTTACAAAAGCCACTTTCAGTTTATGCATATCAGAACTAGAAAGCTGAGGTTCTTTAAATGTATTATAATCTAACTTTCCTGTGTAGAAAGTTAGCATTTATGATTTGATTGTAAAGAAAGTACCCCATTATTGTTCAAATATTATTTACCACATAAAATTTTGCTTTAATTTGTATTTTATTTTAACTAAAAAGAATGATAAACAGCAGAAATAACCAATGCTCCAAGCCATGTATAATCAGAAGCAAGCCCCATTGAATTCAGTGGGGTGTACTCCTGGATAAATGTAATTAGGATTGCAGCCTTATTAAGCCTGTGGTATACACCTACCAGATGGCTTAAACTTTAGCCAACCTGTGTATTTTTAGTTTAGGGATGAGAAAACCTATGACCCTCTAGATGTTGTTGGGAGTCCAACTCCCATCAGCCCTAGGTAGCATGGACAATCATCAGGGATTCTGGGAGTTCCAGTCCTGCTGGATTGATTGCACACCAAATTCTGCCAATCCCTGCAGAAAGGCAGACTTGGGGGCTCTTCACAGTACCTACCACACAGGGATATTTTCAAGTCCTGAATGGTGCTTTGAAGTACTGATGTTCTGCAGATCTTTTCCTTCTCCTTCTTCCTTTTCCCCAGACCGTCAAGGCGGCCTACAGATAAAAATACAAAAGCACACATAAAATAGAAACAAATTAAAAGGTAAAAAAGAAGAATTAAAGTAATTAAACATTAGCAGAATTTCAACAACATAGTAAAAGATACATTAAAAATATAGATAATAACAACAATAACATCACAGCACCAGCCCTTTCCTTAAAGACATCCAGTTCTTAAAAGGCCTGTGGGAATAAAAACGTCTTCACCTGCCTGTGAAAGGACAATAAGCGGGAGTCAGTCTAACTTTTCTAGGAAATGAGTTCCAAACTCTGACATCAGCCACCAGAGTGGCTCCCTCTCCTGCATTCCCACCAAGTGTACCTGTGAGGGTGGTGGGACTGAGATGATGCCCTCCCCTGATGATCTCGCAGCTTGGGCAGGTTCTTATGAGAGAATACGGTCTTTGAGATAGCCTGGACCTAAGCCGTATAGGGCTTTCTAGGTCAAAACCAGCACTTTGAATTGTGCCTGGAAACAAACCCTAATTACATCAAATAATTAACAGGTGGGTGGCTCTGCCCATTTGTCAAATTTGGCCCACCAGGATCAGGGAGATAAAGATTAGGCCCACTGGAGTGAAAAGGTTTCCCATTTAGATGTGCCTATTCAGAACTCTTTCTAGGATTTACAACATTTTACTTTAACATGTTGTGACATGATTGAGCTTTTGGTCTGTTTTTGTAAGCATATTGTAATCACTAGTACTGAAAAATTTCATAGCCTATAGTTTCTAATGAGCTAAAGGTTTCTTTAAAACAGTTCAGTACATATATTATTAGGAAATAAAGTTAATTTTTGTTGATGTTGACATAAACTGTAAATGAAGTTTTAACAATGAGTAAATTCAAATGGTTGATGCTCCAAGAATGGATAAAAAAGTTATTCTGTTGGTTCAGCAGAATGAAAATTAGGCATAGAAATAATGTGGTTTAACAGGCCCATCCAGTGTTGCAGTATGTAACCTTTCGAATTATACAAAACATTTTTCTTAGGATGTTGAAAAAGACTTTTTAAAAGGAAAAATAGATGTTAAACCCATCTTACCCTTGCTAATCAGTTCCTTTAAGATGGGAGGATTCCCCCCCCCCCAATTTGGTTAAGGCTGAGCCTTATACTATTGTTTCAGGTTACTTAAAGTGCTTCCGGGGCAAGGCAGTAATGGCGAAGTCACCGTTTGAAAAATAATAGTAAAACTACTTATACAACACGTTTGTCAGTGTGGTGTTGCAGTTCCCTTAGAAGGCATAGAAGCAAAAATAAACAGTTGTTTTTATATTAGCAAAGGAAGCAACTAATGTTAAAATAAGCTGCAGGTTAGAAATCTTAGAAAGGTTACAGCGTGGAAAGCTTACACAACATGAGAATTGCAGGGTGGGGACTAAAGGTGAACAAACTACCCCAGAAGGAGCATGATGTGTCCCCCACCAGAAGTGCTACCCCTCTCCTAACACCCCCCACACCCCTATTATGTCAACTAGTAATGTAATTGGTAGAAGTAGATAATTTTGAACTAGCAAAGGTGAAGAACCTCTGGCCTGTCGGCCTAATTTATGCCTGTCAGTTACTGTACCCTCCACGTTTGGCCTGCCTGTCCATTTCAGCAAAGTCACTCCCACCTGCCCTACACCTTGCATCATATGTTACATCCAGTGTGGGACTGGTAAAGGCTTGGATGAAATGGGCTTGGCTGAAAGGAACTCTGCAGGCACTGCTGATCTGCGTTGCCTGCAAAACCCCTTGTGCAGTGCTCCCCAAACATCCACAAGCACTGCACATGCTTTTTTGCCCATACACTTTGCTTTCAAATCTCCAGGGGCAAAAATGGGTCACCTGATGATGTTGTAACACCAAGGGGTTGACAGGTGGGCAGCCTATCAAACTTGTCCCACCAGGGTATGTGGAAATCTGGCTCACTGGCTGGATCTAGTTTCCTACTACTGAGTATAGATTAATTTGATATAGCACTTTGTTATGGTGTGATATTGAGCAAACGATACTAACTTTAAAAAATCTATGATCTGAAGAATTTCTTGAATAGATGTAAGGGCTTCTGTATGCACAACTTGGCTTTTTTTTCAACTTCAGCTTCTTTTGCATTATATGGTCTGCCTGAAGTTTCACTTAAGTTTCTGTAATTGCTGATAAAGGGGTTTAGAAGCCATACTCTGGTGGTGTCACTTATGTAAATCCCATATAGAGTTCATAATATGGCATGATCAGGGTCCTTCAGTATCAAATTTGTACTGAAATTATGGAAAAGCTGGGTATTTTACCCTAATTGGATTAATAGTGTCAAATAGCATTACAGTGGTACCTCTGGTTGTGGATGGGATCCGTTCCGGAGCTCTGGTCAGATCCCGAGGTTTCTGCAACCGGAGGGACCGCTTCTGCACATTCACACGGGGCGGTAGAGCGCTTCTGTGCATGTGCGCGGGGTGGTTTGCCACATTTGCATCCTGAAAGATACGCAACCGGAGGTGTGCGTATCCAGAGGTACCACTGTACTGTGTTTTTAGATGACTTTAAAGAAAAAAACTACTACATTTCTGCACAAATACTTTAATCTACTATCTCCTCTTAAATTTCTTTCTGTCTTTTTTGGTTGGTCATTCTATGTAGCACTTCCAATTTATTTGGCACAGATTTTGATACATTTCTATATGGCTTATTTTCAGCACTAGCCAAATGTGTAGAGGACTCTGCCAAGCCATCTTGGTTTATGCTGCATCATTATCTTCCATTTGAGGATAGTATAAGAATAGAAATATATTGAACTACTGCTGATTGTGCCAAATTGCTAGACTCTTTGTTTTCTACAAATTCTAGGGATAGTATTATAATAAATGAGTGTTCAAGTAATTGATCAACATACAAGGGTTATAAATGTGTAAATAGCCTAACCTTAGTTGCTAGGAGACAGTGATAAATGGACATCTGCTATCTACAGACTACTAAAGGATTTGAGGACTTGTACTTTAAAAAGTATCACTTGATTGTTGTTAAACTGTTAAGAGAAACAAAATGACCTGATTGTGAAATAATGTAACAATACAGTAATTAGAATAGCACATGATTATTATTTTGTGGTGTCAGCTGACTGGAAACACACACATGACTGTACAAGTTCATGCTACAACGTTCATGCTAAGTCTTTGCCTCTTTTTAGAAATGTAGGCAGTACTACAGTTAAATGTAATTCCTCCCCTACATATATTTCAAGAGGATGCTTGGAGCTGTACAAGCATGTACCCTTTCTCCCAGTACTTAATGTATTTTGCTAGTACTACAAAGGCAGGGGCTCTAATGTATGTTACCACGTGCAATTTTAAAACAGATTTGTTAATCATCTGTCATTGTGCCCCCACAAAAAAAACCCCTTTTTGTCATATCTTACTACCACATTCGAGAACTTTGGAAGAACTTCAGAAGGGTGATTTATGTAGGCATTCTTGAAAATATTTTTTCCTATTTGGTTTGCGTCAGCTAATTTCAGGGGCATATGTAAAGCCCCCTGTGCCCTTGGCAAGGAGCTGTATCGGTGCCCCCCCCCCCAAATCGCCTTCATGGTTCAAGAAGGATGAGAAGCTTCTCCTTCACTTGATCTTGGCAGGACAGTGGCTTCATTTCACCACACACATATATGTCATACAATCCATAGTCTGATAGATGATTTTTGTGTCCCCCCCTGGGCCTGTGTCCCAGGTGAAGGCCAGTTTCACCAACTCCTAGGTTTGCCTCTGGCCAATTTCAAGGAGAGCTTTAATAGCTTGTTGATTTAAATTGAAAAATGTGTTACTGTTACACATACATTTTTTTTTTTGTTCTACTCACAGGTAAGACTTCCTGTAGGTGGAACAGGAAGGAAAGCAATTTTCAAGAATTTATCTCCCCCCTTGCAGCCTCTATAGTACCCTAAATCTGTTCTAGAGAGTCCTTCATCACTCTGGAGGAGATTTCTCCATTTACCTCCTCCACAAGAGGCCCAGAGGGTGGCAACAGAAAAGCAGGCCTTTTTATGGTGGCTCCTCCATTGTGGAATGATTTCCCCAGGGAGGCTTGCCTGGCGTCTTCATTACATATGTTTAGGTGATAGGCAAAAACATTTCTCTTCTCCCAGGTCTTTGGCTAATTAAACAGTCCATCACCTTTTAATCTCTGTGTGAGGCCGGGGGGGGCCTTAGGGCTGTCATTTAAAAAAGAAATTTAACCCAGTTTTTGTACATAAAGTACATAAAGCTTTTGCCTTGTGCATCTAGTATACCTGAAAAAGTGTCTCCACTCCCATCATTCAGCCCAGACACCGAGGTCCAGCTCTGAGGGCCTTCTGATGGCTCCCTCACTGCGAGAAGTGAAGTTACAGGGAACCAGGCAGAGGGCTTTCTTGGTAGTTGCGCCCACCCTGTGGAACACCCTCCCATCAGATGTCAAGAAGATGAGCAACTATATAACCTTAGAAGACATCTGAAGGCAGCCCTGTTAAGTCTATATGAAAGGCTTTCCGACTGTGAATACTACAAAGCAAATTCTTCCTCCTCTACACTACTCCTTCAGTTAGTAAAACAAATCAATATAAATCGATATTTGCAGCTAGTCAGAACATGACATGCTAGGTTTCCAACAATGTCTGCCAGTTTCTGATATCTACTGGAAAAGAAGAACTGCGTGAACATTTCTGGAAGGTGGAACGATAGGGTCTTTCTCATATGTAAAATAAAACAAATCATAATTTAAATTCTATAATTAACACCTCTGCTTTATGCTGAAGTAGCAGTACTAGCAATTCTTTGTGATACATAACAAGAGCTCCTTTGGGAGGAAGGATAGAATATAAATTCAATAAATAAAATACATGTTTGGTCCAAAATAGCACCTGAAACTCATGCTTTAAGTACTAAGCTAGCAGTTAAAATTGTGTTATTTTGGTTATCATTTCAAGAGCCAGCATCTGAAAATATTCCATTCATTGTGGTATTTATTCTCTTGAGGCTGGAGCAGATGAGCCTGGAAACAATGGTTTTGCAAATTGGGAGCATAATCCAGAAACAGAGTTTGAAATTGGTATATAGGTTCTGGCTTGAGATGGCAAACCTGGTTTTCATTGGCCAAAGTGCAGATGTAATGCCAAACCAGGAATCATATTGATAAAAAGAATAAAAATTCTGTACCTGGGAATGGGGCACAGTGTATGTTCCTGAGGCTGGTTCTTGATTACAGATTAAGTGTCAAATCATTTATTTGTTTTAAAATCAAAGGTCTGCACAAACAAATAATAGTTGACTCTCGGCAGGGAGTACCAGAAAATCTGAACTGGGCCAAAGCTAGTGCACAAGGAGCTGCTGTAGTGATTCCTTGTAAAAATCTGCTCTCCAATACCATATAAAGATTAAATGGTTTATAATAGCTCAGCACAATTGAGCAAATGGAGGGTTATTGGGAATGCTGGTGTATGCTGCTCAAATTTCACCTGTCCCACTCCTCCCTTTGCTACACTGGGAGGAAACAAACTAGAATACTGCATATATGTAAGTGTAATTAATTTTGTTTCCCCCCCAAAAAATGAGGAAATGGGATTTTGTTGGTACCCATTCTGTAGTGGGCACTGTGAGGCTTAGATGGGAGGTGTTTTTTGCTGTGATCAATTGCTAGGAGCAGTTCAAATCCAGTAGCCTACAACATGATCTTTTGCCTCTCTGCTGCACAGTTCTGATTAGCTAATTAATGGTGGAAGCCGAAGTTGGTTGTTTCCTGAAAGAAACATGCATGAGAGCGTAGATATGTATCCAAATTACTGGGTAACAAAACAGGTTTGTGACTTGAGGTTATCTGAAAGTGAAGAACCATAGTAAGCCACTCTTGAAAGTGAGAGGACTTTCAAATGTAGCTTGTGATACGAAATGGGGATCTGCTTTTCAAAAAATGAAAAAGTTACAAGTGGTTGTTGTTTGGGTGGACCTAAAGTAACTACATGGATCCTGCTTGGTCCTTTGGATCTTGGTTCATTAATAATTCCAGGGCCATTCTACTGGAAAGAAAAGTCACTTGAATATAGGAAATGGAATGAATCCTTTATTGGAATTGATCATGTGTGGGTTTGTTTGGCTGAATCACATGTCCCATGCTTGGTTTGCTATTGCATATATATACTTTATGAGGTATAATCATACATATTGACATGTAGGTTTTGAATAACTGCCTACAAGGAAGCAGCTTTCATATATGAAGTTTATTCTGTTTTGAAGCATTGCTAATGTTTGAGGAAATGCTTCAAGTATTTTGAAATTGATGTAGTCATAAGTAGGTTACAGCTGAGCCAGTTCTCTCTATGAAGCTGCAGTTTATTGGACTTGTGTTTGAATGATAAAGCAGCAGATCCATAGATAGTTCTGCTGCAGTTTCATTTAAAGTTACTCAAAAATTTACTCTAGACATGACAAATGTGACTGATATAGTAAGTACTATTTCCTGTATGTTGTAGTAAGATTTTAACAATAATTTGTATTGTTCACAGGAAAAGCTGTGTACTTAGTGCTGTCCATCATCCTTGCCACTGAAAAGGCAGTATGGAGACGAAATAGACTCTTCAGTATAGAAAAAGTAAATAGAACAGTTTTTGTTTAAAACCATATGGTCATCTGAAAAAAGAAGGGTCAGACATTATCTTTCAACTCCTACCTGAGTCCTTTGTATTGTGTGATGAGTTAGTGATTCCAAAATCTGGAGGACCCTTGTAAAACAGCAAAACTGGGATTAACTGGTTTAAAAGTGACTGAATGTTACAACGTTGATGTAACATAATTCTCTTACAATGCTGTTGCCTCTTGAATGAGTGTTGAACTTAAAAAAAGGGGGGGGAAGGTTTAGGGATATTCTGATTTCTAAAGTAACAAATCTGAGTAGTTAGTAAACTGATGTATTCTATCTCCAGCTTCTTAAAGTAGGATTTAGGAGCAGCCTAAAGAGTATTTTATTCATATTTTTTCTGTTAAATAAAATGATAGAGATTTTAGTCAGTACATTTAGTTATACTGTATTCCTGATATCAGGTGCTAGGCACATATATTGAACTTTAAGTACAATACATTAGCAGAAATTAGCTCTCAGTGTATCTTCCAGGTCATTCCTGAGGATGCTTAATGATCTGTCACTGATCCATTTGTGTTTATCAATTCTGTACTGTATGAGGTATAAAATAAGTAAGGCAGCTAATGACCGATTAGCAGTTGTTATAATATTTTCTTTACACTATTGAGTAAAGCAATACTCAGTCAAGTGTGATATGAAAGTACTGTTCAGACACAATGCTAAGCATGGTTATGCAAATGAACCTCTGGCTCTCACTTTCTGTGGTTTATTTATTCTGGTTTATTCTGAACAAACCAGAATTTGAAGCTTCAATTTGATCCTGATTTGTTTGAACTAACCACAGTTTCCTGACTTCAACTGTAACAGAAAACTGAAGGCTTTTACTTTTAAAGAAACATAAATCTTTTCTCTCTGCATGTGAAGGAGGGAAAAAGGGGATGAATGAAGATGAGCCTTTTCCTGACTTCTTCATGTAATCCTAATCCATGATCAAGCATTGTGCATGAACTGTGTTTAGTTGCTCTTTTGGTATATATTTGGTATATATTTTTTCATAACTGTGGATAGTACATAATTTATGTTTTCTAATAGATTTATTCTTATTCTTTTTTCCAAAGCTTTCTGCCTGAAATCATTTACTTCAAGGAGTGCAGGATGACAGAACGTGGAATAAAATGGGCTTGTGAGTATTGTACATACGAAAACTGGCCATCTGCGATCAAGTGCACCATGTGCCGTGCTCAAAGACCTAGTGGAACTATTATAACAGAAGATCCTTTCAAAAGTGGTTCAAGTGATGGCGGTAGAGATTGGGATCCTGCAAGTATTGAAGGAGGCAGCAGCCCTTTGATATGTCCAGATTCCAGTGCAAGACCAAGAGTTAAATCATCCTACAGTATGGAAAGTGCAAATAAGTGGTCATGCCACATGTGCACATACTTGAACTGGCCTCGTGCAATACGATGCACACAGTGCTTGTCTCAGCGTAGGACCAGGAGTCCCACAGAATCCCCTCAGTCTTCAGGGTCTGGTTCAAGACCAGCTCCTTTCTCTGTGGATCCTTGTGAGGAGTACAATGATAGAAATAAACTAAACATGAGGACACAGCACTGGACCTGTTCTGTCTGTACGTATGAAAACTGGGCTAAAGCCAGAAAGTGTGTTGTGTGTGATCATCCAAGACCCAACAACATTGAAGCAATAGAATTGGCAGAAACAGACGAAGCCTCCTCAATAATAAATGAGCAAGACAGAACTCGATGGAGGGGCAGCAGTAGTAGTGGTAATAGCCAAAGAAGATCACCTCCTACAACCAAACGGGAATCTGAAATGAAAATGGACTTTCAGAGAATTGAGCTGGCTGGAGCCGTTGGCAGCAAAGAAGAACTTGAAGTTGACTTCAAAAAACTAAAGCAAATAAAAAACAGAATGAAGAAGACTGACTGGCTGTTTCTTAATGCTTGTGTTGGTAAGTTCTGTGTCAGTCATATTTCATTTACAAGGGAAGATGAGTGGTGTATATTGGTTAAAATGTAAAACACAATTATTTTGGCAAGCTTCACACAATGTTTATAACAAGCATGCATATGAAGCTCTTTAAACACTTAAAATCACTATACAAATGTTGAATTTCCATATTTTAACATCACAATATGTGAACTTATTTTTGTAAGGTGTTGAAACATAGGAAAATCCTACTTAAATGCTAGCCAAATAAATACCATTGACACAAGTGTAAAATCAGAGTTGCACTTCAGTTTTAAAAATAAAGATTCTAAATGCCTTTAAGAACAGTTCTTACATATGAACACTAATGCATAAAATTACTTAGCCATGTGTTAATTTTTTTTTTCCCTACTTACAGTGACAAGCTGTGCCTTAGAATCAGCAGCTGCAGTTCACGAGTGTTTGTAAACAGTATAGATCTTACACAAGTGTGAGGCAATCAGTTAAAAATAACACAGAATGTAGTTCTGACCTTGGAAATACTGATTGTAGTAACAAATATTGTCGTTTTGGCATATTATAAATTACACTTTGATTAATTATCTCTAGTGTATCAAATCTATAATGCTATTGGGATATGTCTAGTGTTCTGCTATGTGGATTTCCCCCTACAAGCAGATATTTTGGAAAATATTGAAAGTATTTTCAAAGTATAAGGGTGGAACTGTGCTGTATATTTAATAATAATGATGATAGTAATACAGTGCAATTAGTTTCATGGTGCATTAGGAGGGCATGTTCCTGTCCCAACGAGCTTACAATATATAAAACCTAATAACAAGGGAAACAGATGAACATGAGGGAAGTGGTGGCTGGGGTAAAAGAATATGAGATTGTTTCAGTTATACTTAGGCTTGGTTACAGGCTTAGTTCTAGTGGAACAGCCTTCCCTGACCTGGTACCCTTTAGACATTTTTGGACACATCAGGGGCTGATGGGAGTTGTAGTTCAGACATCAGTTTGGGGAAGGTTGTATCAAAGCATTCATGAAAAAGTGGATTTTGAGGAGGGATTGGAGTAGGTAAGACAAGTTACATAGACAGTTCACACAAAAGGGTTAGCAGGGCAGAAAATGTGTAAATAGGTATAAAATTCAGCTATGCCAGCCTGATCCAATATTTATTATAGTTTTTTTTCAGTATCTATAACAGAGTTTTCAGGGTAGCTCCTAACAAAAAATAAATAAAACAAATTTAAAATTCAGAAGCAAAAAAAGTGCAAAGACAACAACAAAAAATCCACTCTGATTGGAAAGAATAAATTCAGTTTAAAACTAAGACCCTCCCCCCAAATATTTTTGCCTAGTAATAAAACAACCCCCCAAGATTAGATGCCAAGTGAGCCTCTGTGGAGAAGGCATTGCACAGAGGAGGTGTCCACCTGCCCCCAAAGACCCCCACTTCTGTAGCTACTTATTGCATTTCATTAGATGGAGGCATTCAGTAGGACCTCTGAATGTTGAGATACATACTATCTTAATCAAAAATTATGAGATAAGCAGATTGCCTTCAAATATGAATTCTGCCTTGTATGGCTCTGTGGTAGCCTTAATCAGCAAGGAATTTCATGAAAGCAAGTACATGGAATTCCGTGCAGGTGAGTGAGTTGGGTGGCAGAGGAGGAATGACACACTCTGTCCTTCCTTTCCGTGGCCGATGTAAAAACAAGTGGCCTGCCAGACTATGGCAGGCTACTGAGCTTGGTGTATCTTTGTAGAAGAAAGTAAGAATTTGTGAACTTAATTTGCTCACTACTGACTACTGAAAAATACCCTGTATTCTTTCAAAATAATAACCTTCCAACTTTTTATGGAAGAAGGGGGGTATACAAAGCACTGCCAGGAAGTGTCTCCCCTCCTTTGTGGAAGATGGATTTTTTCTTGTTTATACAAGACAGAACTCAATGTAGCATACTGCTATCCAAAATTCTCAAACACCCATGGTAAAAATAATGTTCATTGCCATCTTTCTCCCTTACGGTACTATACACAAAGACAAAGATTTCTTATGGATTTATTTTTTAAAGAAAATTGTCATGAATAGAACATTCCCTTCTTCATTTAACAACAAGAATACCCTTGCTTGGATTTATTAAATGCTACAAAGATGTTTAGCTGGTGTTTGAGAGACTGGGAACTTAAGACATGGGTGTCTAATATTGAATACCTGATGGATCTATTGCTTAGGATGGTAATACTGACATGTCAGAACACTGTGGCAAATGCATGTAATGTGTGTATATAATAGTGAAATGCTAGACTTGCAAATAGTATTCAGTTAGATATGGCAAATAGTTGACCAGGAAAAGAAGGTTCCATGTTTTGCTGCTCGTAAAATAAAAGGCATACTATTTATAGTGCTTATTTAAAGATTTAAAAACAATGAATTATACTTGTCTTTGAATACATGGTTCTTGTTTTGGCCCAAATGCAAATAGCTCATTAATTATCTTTGCAGTTTTGCATCTTGCATTGCAGCATGTCCTGAAAAGGAGACTCCGTTGATTTTTAAGTTTGCCTTTTTACAATTTTGTTATAGTGGTTTCAAGATGCTGTTTCCCATGATTTATTTTTAGAAATTTGATGTCAGTCACTCTAGCATTTAATTAGTATGCGACAAGTTGCTTCCTGTGGGATGCCTTTTGTAAGGTACCATATGAGAGGAATAGATTCTGCACAATTTTTGTCTTTTGTTTTTCTAATGTGGAAAACATGATTGTGGTGTATCATAATAGCAAATGTATGTTTATATTTCCCATGTGTGGCCGATACCTTAAGGCATTTACTAGCCTCTGACATACTAGGTTCCTGTGGTGCAGAAAAGGTATATACCAAGGCCAAAGTGGCCACCCTAATGCCTTCCTTAATTAAATATTATTTTAGATTTGCTGCTCATTAATAAAATTCTCAAGGTGGCTTACAAAAAACCCCCATCTTACAGTATTTAAAATAAAATCCAGTAATTGGAACAACAACAAAAAAACAGGTTAAACTTTCCTAGTGGAAGCAGAAAAAAAGTTTGCAGCTCAGTTTAAAGCAACACTAAAAGAGCCAGAGCATAAGCTTTATTTAACAGCAAGAAAACAACAAAAGGAGGACTTTTTTCTGCTGGAACTCACCAGAATTCAGTTCCGGCACCTCTTATGTGGACACCATTGCCATTATACAGAGACAAAGGAAGGTGTTTGTGGTGAGTTCCAGCACCTTTTTTTTAGAAAAATGGCACTGATTATGTAGACCTGTAGTTTATTTTAAAATACAGGTTTAGAAGGCCTGAGTAAATAAAAAGGCACTCACTTGGGGCCAAAAAGACCATAAAAAGGTGCCTGAGGAGACTATACCAATACTGGTGTGCCACAGCTGAGAAGCCCCTCTCTTTTGTAGCCACCTGCTTCACTTCACCTGGATCCAAACAGGATCTCAATGTTTCGGCCTTTGTAGGCTAAAGCTGGTAATTCACATTAGGCCTGGAAAAGGACAGGGAGGCAGTGCGGCAGGTTAAGTACCTAGTTCATAGCCTTGTGGCTCTATTTTAAACAAATTGCAGTTTCTGAGTCACTCTTTAAAAAGGCAGCCACATGTGCAACTCATTGCAGTAGTCTGAAGGTGTGGTTACCTGAATGTAAACAGCTCTGGCCACGGTATAGCCATACTTTATATATTGGCTACAACTGGTGAAAGGTACTTGCCACACAGACCTCTTGAACCTCTTATGATAATTTTGCATCCAGAAGTATCCCTAAGCTGTGAATTTACTAAGTTTTTTGAGGCGTTGGGAACCCTTTTCAGATCAGACTGTTTGCCCTTCACATGTGGCCCTCAATACCTTTTTGGAACCCCTTGGCAACATTTGAAACCCCCCCCATCCTCATCTCATGCTGTCTTTCCAAAGCTGGGGGAGTTTCCAAAGTTTGGGGGAGGAGGTGTGAAGGCTCTAACAGGATCCTAGGGTTCTTCCATCTCCTTTCCAAAGCCTAGTCTACACTTTTCCAGCTTTGGGAAGGAGAAGGGAGGGCTCTTATACTCTTTCAGAGCCTCGTGCCTCCTTCCCAAAGCCCAGTGCCTTACTTAGCCCGCTGTGAGAAGGCAGCACAAGGGCTGTGGGGGAGGCATCAAATTTTAGCCTTCCTGCCCCCGTATGACAAGGCAGTGTGCCGTCTAAGGGTTCCATGTTGAACTACTCTTGGGGCCCATCTGGTATGAAAAGTTGGGCTGCCCTGACCTGGATGGACAAATCATCTACCAATAGTGCTTCCACCTTATCAGGATTGAGTCTCAGTTTGTTAATCCAATCAGTTACCATGCTGATGTTCTGATTCAGGGCATCCACAGCCTCACCTGCTTCTGATTATTGCATACTGGTCACACCTCAGCCCAGATTGCTCAACCTCTTTTCTCAGTGGTTTTGTGTACATGTTAAACAGCACGGGGGCTCCAGGAAGCACAATTGTGAAGGCATTGAGCAGTATTTCTGCAGTACCAACTTATGGAATTGGTCCTCTCAGTAGAAAAGGAAAATCCCTCTTATGCCTAGGTGGGTGAGCCTAACTAGAAGAATACAAGAGTGATGGTATTGAAAGTCATGGAGAGGGTTACACTTGAGCCTTCTGTCTTCTAACTGCTTGGACCCAGCCAACCATACATTTCCTGCTAGATTTAATAAGCCATGACTGGCAAGGGTCAAATACACAAGTGTTATTCTGAGCATGAGTCATGACCAAGCATTGTCCATGTCCTCATGTTTCAGTAACTGAAATCCATCCAAGCAGGCTGGACCAGATGGAACTCTGAACACCTCTACTACTGACATAGCATTAATTGTAAAGTTTAAGTCATGATGGATGCGAGAAACTTTACATTCAGAGTGTCCTGCAAACATGTGATAGTGGGTTCCTGAGGATTCACCACATCTCCCAGGCCAGATTTCAAAAAGGCCCTGCACTGTTTGGGAAATCTAGATAACATTGAGAGGATTCAGCTATAGGTGGAAAAAGTTTGTTCACATCCATCACTGCAACAAAGTAGGCTCTCACTTGTGTTCAGTTGGATTCATCTTGAATTTCCTTCCACTTGTGTACCAGCTGTCTTTCAGCTTGTTTCATTGTGCTCAGGTGTGTAACAAGGAGTTGCATAGGCTGTACCTAAAGGAAGAGACTGGTTGCATCAGTTGAGTGAGTCATCTCCTTATTCCAGAGAACAGCTAGGGCTTCAGTAGGAATGCCTGCCAAATCAGCTGGAAAAGCCCCCAGAAACAGCCTCTGGGGTGAATTGTTGTTAAAGGTACCCCACAGTTGCTGAGGGGTAAAGCCCCTGCAAGATAGTCTCAGCACCAAACATCCTTGGGAATCTCCAGAACCAAATATGAGACCATCTTCATCAGTTCAGAAAAGTAGCAGGGTGGATGATACGCTAACAGAACCCCCAGTGTGGCCCAGGAGTCCAACAGAAGATAAAAATACTCCAAATTAGTACCAAATAGGACAGCAGAACTGGAGAAAAAATGGTGCCTCCACGAGGCATTTTGAAATCCTTGCTATAATATGGAAGTTCAGGTGGATGTGGGCAGCATGTATGTATTGGTGCTCTCCTGCCAGCTGAAGATGACACAAAATCCCTCCTAATGTACTTCTGGCAGGCAGCATCTTGAAGAAAGCTGTAGAGACTATATTGGTTTTTTATACATCTGCTGCTCTGTTTCTTGGCCTGTCAACCTGCTGCTTTGACTTCTGCATTTGTGCCAAGCCCAACATAGTCAGAAGAGAAGTCTGCCCCCCCAAGCCATTTTACCAGTCAAATGTTGAGAGCATGGAGTTGGCTGCTCCTGCTGGCCAAAAATCACATCACCACCCTTAAAAATACAGTCTGTTACCTTGTCTCCAGATGGTCTGGCTGCTGCTGCAGTCCTTCTGGCTGTTCCTAGCTTTGAAGTCTACTGCTTCACTATCTTGCCCATCATGATAGATGGAGTGAAAAAACCATGCTGTGTCACACACTCTAGGCAATGAGGCAATAGCCCTTTGGCTGACATGGCCTCTTGTTACCCGCAGAGGGTAGAGAAAGCAGACTCAGCCAATCAGAAGCCTCAGCTTTAATGAAAATCTAGTAGTGAATCTGTGTACCTTTTAGCCTTGATTGCCATGCTCACTGGACAGCAGCAGGGGCACAGTTAAAGTTTACTGTTAAAGGCTCTCCATATCTTGTGAGAGGGTGCTGCCCTATGACTACTGAATTTTGCAGGTTGCTTCTGTAAAAAGCTGTGGAAGAAAATACTGAATTATAATCTTTCCCTTTTTAATCACTATTGTTCTGATTTTAAAAATCTAAAGCATCAGTTTTGTATTCTCTCCAGAGTTTTCTTTTAGGCTTGAGGGTATTAGAGAGCTCTTTCATCTTGATGGCCTTACGGGGAAAATGTACATTTTTAAAAGCAATACAGAGCAGTCAAATCAAAACTCTCAGGCTCTAGTGGCTAGTGATGTTAAATTCTCAAAAATAATCTTTTGGAGAGAATATTCTCACCTCATATCACTACTAGTGGCACACCATATATGATTCCCTGGGATATGTTCCTATTCTGCAGATATGAAATAAGGATAGGTGCCCTGTGAATGAAGCATGTGCCTTTTTCCTTAGTATGCCCACTTACATTGTGATAATTGCATGAAAGGGCCCTCAATTATTTTTTGAAATTTGCATTCCAGTCTAGGTAATCAGTCCTCTTCCTCAACTCTCCTACCTTATCTACTTGCATCACCAGGATGGCATGAACAGTAGAGTTGAGCAAACTACAAAGGAGCTGATATGTACCCTAGATAAACAAGATATTTGCCTGAGGCTGATAGAATGTGATAGTGTTTTCTGGAGGAAGGTGACTTAAATTCTCTGTTTCAAGTTCATTTGGATTCTTCTTATTTGATGAATTGATCAGAGCTATTCAACCACTGTTCTTGTTAACTTTGCTTGTGTGCAACATTTCCAAATGGTTAATTTCCTTTACTTTGGTATAACTTTTAGATTGGCCAAACCAAAAATTTCCTGCTGCTAACACATGATAAAAGATTGAAATGTCTGATCAACATTCTTAATGTTTCAGCTTTGTGGTTGGCTGTGAATTTCCAGACTGAGTATCCTAACCTAAGCCTGCACAATGTGTGGCTTGCTAAGTTGAACACAGCCAGACATTTTTTTGAAACCTGATGGGTACTTAATAAGCTTCCGTTTTGTGTAGCCAAGCAACAAAACCAGGAGGAGACTATCAAGTTCCAAGCAAACTACCAGATCTACTTGGTGGATGTGGATCTACTTGGTGGATGTCTAGGCATGTCAGGACATCAATTAATGTGCAGTTTTGGTGGTATGAGGTCTCCATACCACATGTTACATACGTATGTGGCCTACTTTGAACAAGAGATGCAGCAGTGGGGAAGAAAAACTGGAAGTTGGAAATCCTAGATGGGGAAAAGGGTTGAGTGGCTTCTTCCGCATTACTTCTTTACACTTTAAACAGCTTTTCTAGTTATTCACATGATCAGAATACTGTATTCTGATCATAATCCCCAATATTTGTCCTGCTTTGGTCTCCTCTTATATTGCTTGTCCTCAGCAGTGAAATCTGTAATGGAAGCGTTTGACAACTGTTCCTTTCATCTGCTATGGGGAAGAAAGGTGAAAAGAGATTATTTGGCAGAGTATGTATGTGTAACATTCATTCTTGCCTAAGAGACTCCAGAAACCACATTTTCTCTTAGAATTGTCTGTCTGGGAATGCAGCTTTCATTAAAAGCATTTTACTGATACTTTTGAGAAATATGCTTGCCTGCAGAAAGTGTTTATAAGTGTTTATAATCCCACCCCCCAAAATACTTCTCAGGTCATAGCCTTCAGACCAGTCATCTCTCTTAATGGTGTCAGAAATTTTATCAAGTGGTAATCTTAGGCTGTATATCATAACATCATGTATATTATGATGTAATTGTTATCTTAATATTACATTTTTTTATCTAAATAATAATCTGATATTTAAGGATGTGGCATCCTAGATCTGTAAAAGAATTTGTGGATAATCTTCTTAGTTTCATAGATGTAGGTGTCTTGTTGCCATTTGGGGGCAGGACGGCAACACTTTTTATTTATTATTTTGATAAGCATGCACTAATACACAATTCACATAAGTGACACATTGTTAATATCAAATTTTTAACAGAAATTGTTAATACATGTTTAATTTGGTGTTTACAGCAAACATATTAGTACCAAACTTCAGTTTTCAAAACTACCCTACGTACTCTTTATTGTTAAATTCCTTAGCATATTGTCTATCCATAACATATACTTCAAGGATTCAAAGCACATACATTTCAGTAATCCTTGAGTGTCAGCCAGGCACAAAAAATGGCACCCAGACTTTTTGAGGTGCTCGCAAATGGAGAATCTTTGGGCGCAAAATGCATCTGGCATTTCTCACTCTCACTGGCAATCTCACTCTCACTGAGGAGGACCCACCATTTGGCTTCCACAAACAGTAGCAATCTAAGCAACAAACAAAGGTATTTATATCCTTTTATAGATCTGTAGGCTGGATGTCCAACAGTTGGCAGCACTCATATCCCATCACTCTTCCCAGTGCTTCTGCTATATATTGCTCAGCAATACCCAGGCTGGTAGAGGTACCAAAAGTGGGGAATGAGGTGTGCAGATGGAATCACTTACTTCTCCCCTATCCCATGCTTGCATTGCCTGGTCTGAGAATCAGTCAGGTATCCTTTCCATCTCATGCTCCATCAACCTCCTCTCTGTTGGCTTTTTTTTTTTTTAAAGACCAATTTTATTTTGTCCTCTCAGAGCTCACTCTAGTGCTTGGACGTTAGGCAGGGACCATAGTCAGAGGAGGAAGTGGGGCTGTGCTCTCTGTGTTGGCCTGGCTGCCCTAAGGGTCCTTGGAGGTGAGGACTCGGGGGCCAACTTTAATTGAGAGCTGACACACCAGCCATACCTGCAGAATGGTGACAGTGGCAGAAGGAGTGACTTATGCTGTTAGCTAGTTACCCGGTTCCCTAACTGATGGGCTGGGCATGTTTAGCACATGTCTGCACATAAGCTTTCAGTAATATTGGGATTCCCTTTCATTCAGTGCCAATATTATTTGAAAGCTATGAGCAATAAACTTGTGGCCTGCTGTAATCCTCTTAAGCATTGGCCTCCATCTTTCAAGCCCCAGCTCTGCTCCACTCCCAGGTGCAGGCATAACTGGTTTTGTAAGCCCCATTGAGGACTTTTCTCAAAAGGTGGGTTATAAATCTCTTGAATGTGTTAGTTGTTCTTGAGTAAATGTGTGTACAAAAATACTAAATTCAGATTCCTTTTTGGTTTTTAGGCACAGTCCAGCCCTTATGCACCTGTGTGTCCTGGCCCCCATGATAGACAGGCCCATGGGGAGGAGCAAGGGGCACTTAAGGGTAAGAAGGGGGGTCCTTATAGCCCCTACAAAGTCTCCGGTACTTACTAAGCTGGGAGGGAGGAATAACCAGTTGTGCTGGCATTTCTTTGTACCTTGGATCCAATGTTTGTGCCCAGAGAGTCATTCTCCCTTTTGGCCTGGTGAGTAAAGGAGGCTATGGTACAGAATGCCACAAAATCATTGTTTCTAAGAACTGACATGCAAACAAATCAAAAAGAAAAACTTTGAATATAATTTGTGACAATTGCAACCTACTGATAGTGCACTATTGTGGCTTTCTTGGTATAAAATGAAGCGCCCATTCTACAAAAGTAGAGTATCATTATGTAGGCTTAGAACATGAAATACATTTCAATCATGCTTTCTGCAGCTACATTTACATCTGCTTCACATCTGACATCACATCTGATGACAGGTGTGCGTGGTTTTGGGAAAATAGCCTTGAGAGGGAAATGGGGAGGCCTAGTAGGTTAAATTTGGCCCATGGGCCAGAGATTCCCCATTCTAGGGTCTTGCCTCATTATTATTATCACATGAATTTGTTGATTTCTCTTAAGCAGAGGTCTGTGTGCTAGGTAAAGGATATAGCTTGATAAATACCTGCAGAAAGATACTGTTTTATACAATGCAGTGTAAAAATCTGAATGCTGCAAGTTTGATCACTTTTACTTTAGGCTATGAAATGTTAACATAAAAGTGTAGGATTGAATTTTACACAGTGCTTTTACTGTATAGCTTTTCTTTGCTGGCTGGAAACCAAAGATGTTGGGGATTTTTTAAAAAAATAATCTAGTTCCTATTTTATAGTTTTCAGAAGCAATTTCTCTGGAACAGAGATTATAAAGCTAAACATGCTTGGAATAGCTTAGACGGCTTCAATATTGAAAATACGTTGTATGCTGCCACTTCTCTTACTGTAAAGGGTATTGTTTCATTTCCCTAGTTAATCTTCCTAAGATTCAAAAAGATTGAGTATATATTTATTTCCTAGGGTATGTAGTTATTTCCCAGAGAATGAACACCACTTCTTTCTGTGGTCTAGTTTGGATCATCTCCCATTTCTTCCTTCTTGGTGTGTTGTAATAAGCCAGAAATTCCCCTGGAATTAATCCGAAGTCCCTATGTTTTCCATCACTGAAACAAGGCAGGATTTTAAACCATTATTTGCAGTTGGTTTAATATCCTAGCTTGTTCTAAACCTAGTAACCATAGTTTCCTGGTTTGGATCTAACTGAAAAGGAAGGTTAATTAAACACTTCCCAGCTTACCACAGTGTGTGGAGGAGAAAGGGGACTATGAGCACAAGTTTTGTTGCCCTTTGGGGCTTATTGAGTCAAGATAAGATTGTCTAAACCAGGCATAGACAAACTCCGGCCCTCCAGATGTTTGGGACTGCAATTCCCATCATTCCTGATCACTGGTCCTTTTAGCTAGGGATGATGGGAATTGTAGTCCCAAACATTAGGAAGGCCGGAGTTTGCCTATGCCTGGTCTAAACATAGTAAGTTCCAGGAGCTTCCTTTTGCGTTCTGTCATCTCTTTAATCCAGAAGGAGAGGGATCCTACCAAAGATACTCATTTTCTCTGAAGGGCAGTTCAGTACATACTTGCACATCCTGTCTATTGCCAAGACTCTCACAAACTTATTTCCCTTCCAGTTTGCCATGATGGTGTTGGTGGATACCTTATTCTTCAGAACAATAAGATCCCCTTTTTTTCTGTACCAGGACTTTCTTGTTCCTGGAAGTCCATTTTGGGAAGATGAGGAAAGCATATAAAATGAATTCAGTTGTTTAAAATTAAGTATCCTAAATGCAATGTACCAAATGCATCCCCTCTTCAGGGGTGGCATTGCACTCCTGATTACACTTCCTTTGTTTGCTTTATTCTGGTACATCCATATTCAGTCAAGACCCCACATTAATGAAGTTATCCATGGCAGGCATCCACTTAGCACTTTTGAAGTGGTTATTAAATGGTACCTCTTAGTCACTGCAATTTGCCCTTGCATAGGATCTTAGTCCTGTTGAGCCATCATAGCCCCTCCTTCAGATAGCTTGTAATGTTTTGTATTCCGCTTATGGCATTGACAGAGTAGTTATTTTGTGTGATTTTTGGCTAGCTTATGGCGAATTGCTCAGGTAACACCCTTCCTGAAACAAAGGCGTGTCCTACTCAGAGTGATGTTATTAAGTTTCTATGAACTGACTGGACTTGCTAAAACAAATGATCTATATCGCTCCCCACTTGTGTCCTATATAATAGCAATTTCCTCCTTCACCTTGAGAGCCAATGTCTTATAGTGGTTAGTGTCAAGACCAGGACTGAGGAGAAGTACATTCAAATCCCTACTCAGCCATGGAAGCTCAGAGGGTGATCTTAGACAAATCACAAATTCTTTTTTTTTTAAAAAAAAAATAATATTTATTACTTTTCCAACAATTTAAACACACACAAAAAAAAAAGAAAAAAGAACAATACAATGCAATACAAAAACACTACATAACACATTAAACTAACAAAACAAAACAAAAACAATTTAAAAAACATCAAACAATTTCAATATCTTATCTTTCATTCACTTATTTCAGTGACCTCACACCTCCCTTTTTGTATTCCACTTCTGTTGATTGTTTCAGCAATTCCTTTCCATCTTCCTCTGCTTTCTATCCTTTTAATTATCTTAACAGATTCTAACCTTATTCTTCCCTTTAATACTCTATTGATCTATTTATACTTAATTCCTTATAACATTTCTACTAAAGCCATATAACTTCATTCCAACATTTTTCTAACATTCAGTGATTTTACAATATTTCTGTAAATAGTCTTTAAACTTTTTCCAACAAATCACAAATTCTTGACTTAGCCTACCTCACAGGGCTGTTGTGAAGAAAAATGAAGTGGGGAGGAGCACCTTGTATGCCGCCTTGAGTTTCTTGAAGGATAAAAATAACAATGTAGTAGTTTGTATACAGCCACAAGGAAGACTTCAGCGAGTTCTGTAGCTTCATATTGAAGCCAACCATGTTCAAGCTGCATCCTGCCTAACTTCTGTAATGTGTCTTTGGCAGATCTGTCACTGGAACTCTGGCACATTTGATCTGGTGCCCAATGAGAGAATTTTCCAAACAGCCCTAAGGTCATTTTAGAAGGGCTCCATTTGTGTGATTTTTGGATAGTATAAGTAGATAGGGCTATAAGTGAGAACCAAATCTCATTAGTAATGTTTGAAGTCCTTCCACAGAGGCCCTGTGAATATAAGCAATTGATTCATCCCTTCTCTTGAACTACCATGCTGTAGACAAAAAGTTGCATGGACTTGATCTGCATACCCTCCTCCATGGACATGTACTGTATAGGTTTCTACCTTCATGTGAACTGTGAACTGTGGCAAAAATACTATGCATTATCAGTTACTGTGACTGGCAAGGCACAGAGCTCCACTGATGGCAACCAAATTCAAGGCCCTTCCCCAACTTAGGATCTCGATGTATGGTAAGGAAATGGTACAATAAATGGTAACTTGATTAAGAATGAACTGTCATTATCTTAAGTAATATTAGAAATTTTAACTTTATGACCCATCTTCCATGTCTCTAGGGGTTGTAGAAGGTGACTTAGCTGCTATTGAAGCATACAAGTCGTCAGGAGGAGATATTGCACGCCAGCTTTCTGCAGATGAAGTACGCTTGTTAAATCGCCCTTCCGCTTTTGATGTGGGATACACACTTGTTCATCTTGCTATACGTTTTCAAAGACAAGATATGCTAGCAATTCTGCTTACAGAGGTGAGTTTTCACTTTTGCTGGTATGTGTGCTTATGGGAGTCTCTGCATCTGGTTCCAGAGACAACTGAAGCATCAGCAGGGAATTTAATGAGAGTAGTGCTGAAGCCTTGGTGGTCAGTTTGATCCTTCTTGGTGAGGTATACCAGAGAGGTATATGAATAAGATGAATGGTGCCAATACCAATAGAGAGTTTGCTGTCCCTTAGTCTTATCCTCTGTTTCCTGTTGTTGTTGTTGTTTGTTTTATTCAGTTTATATACTACAGTGGTGCCTCGCAAGACGAAATTAATCCGTTCCGCGAGAGTCTTCGTCTAGCGGTTTTTTCGTCTTGCGAAGCAAGCCCATTGACGGATTAGCGCTATTAGCGGTTTAGCGGCTATTAAAGGCTTAAAGGCTTAGGGGATTAGCTGCTAAAAGGCTATTAAAGGCTATTAAAGGCTTAGCAGATTAGATAAAGGGGGGGAAAAGCGAAAAAAAAATCTCAAGACTCGCAAGGTATTTTCGTCTTGCGAAGCAAGCCCATAGGGGAATTCGTCCTGCGAAGCAACTTCAAAACGGAAAACCCTTTCGTCTAGCGGTTTTTCCGTCTTGCGAGGCATTCGTCTTGCGGGGCACCACTGTACCCTTTATTAAAAGATCCCAGAGTGGTGTGCAACATTAAGAACACATTTTACGGAGCACAGTAATAAAAACTATAATAATAGTCTGTGTAATAATAAAACAACAATAATAACAGCACCCCCCACCCCTGCTTTAAGAGGCCATAGATTATTTAATAGCCAAAGGCTGGGTAAAGAGGAATGTTTTTGCCTGGTTCCTAAAGACATGTAATGCCAGGTGAGCCTCTCTGGGAAAAGCCTTCCACAGATGGGGAGCCACCACCAAAAAGCCCTGTTTGGGTTTAGTGAATGTGTGGCTCTCCAGAAGTTGTTGGACTCTTTAGTTCCCATGAACCATAGCCTGCATTGCCAATAGTTGAGAGTGATGAGAGTTTTATTGTACTGGATTGTCCACATCTACTGGGTTATTTAATAACAGAAATTAGTCACAGTGGTTGATGAGGAAACACTGATTCTTCCTGAGCAAAGCTTTGCTCTTCTGTATCTTTAACAATTCTTATTAAATTTATAACAGTATAATTCCAGAGCAACTTACAGCATCAAACAAATACATAATTAAACTTCTGTGAAAACACTAAAAATGAAACAGTCTTTTCAGAGGTTAGAGGTCCTTGGGAAAGGTCTTCAACTGGCTCTAAAAAGACATCAAAGTGGTTGCTGGATGATCATTCCACAGGCATGTTTGCAATCAAGAAAGGTCCCCAGTTTCTACCTGCCCCAGCTTAGATGACAATGACACGCAGAGATAGGCCTCTGAAAATGACCACAGTGCACAGGCAGGTTGATGTGGTGTAGCTTTACAAGTATCAAGCCATGTAGAGCTTTTAAAAACATTTTGAAATGTTCTCCAAAATAGATGGTGGAGCACTGGAGAAATATTCCAAGAATGTGTTATGTTCATTGAAGGGATTGCTCTGACTTTAGTATTGTAGTTAACTTTCAATAAGTGAAATGAATAAATCCAAGACACTACCAGGCTAGGCAGAAAGGGACAGTGGAGCTGTGTATTTATGGACTACTTCACACCGGACATGGTTTCTATATGGAGGTAATCTCAGTGTAGGAAATACGTTCCTTGTGAAGCAGTCCTGGATACCCTACCATGTGAGGGACTTTGATACAGCTGTAAACTACATCTTAGCTGTGTTTTATATTAGGAACACATTAATTCATGTATTCACTAGAAATGGACAGAAATCAGGGCTGCTAAAACTACCTTCTTGTTTTGTTTCTGAAGGAATGATGCCAGTTAGTTCAAAGACTTATCCAATGCTGGCAGCTCTTTCTAGGAACTCAATTTCAATTGATCACAGAGTAGCATTTAAGCTATGGAAGAAGTGACATACATCTCCTCAAAACCTAGTTCACTCTTTGGATAGTTTTGTCCTTCCTGCAAAGAGCTTGGGTTGGTATCCATGCAGGCAAGCCCCTTTCCCTCTCACAGGGGTAGGTTAGACTACAAATGCATTACTGCCCTGTGATCACCCAGCAACCTATATGTCTGAGCAGGAGTCAGAAGTGAGATGCCTCTGTTCCCAGTCCACCATTCTAGTAATGCAGAACATTGGGTCTTACTGTTACTGTCAGCTGTCCTTGGGTGGGGGATTCTCTTACGTTTTAGCAGGTGTGGTCCATTTCTCTCTTAAATTAATAACATCATGAAACATCCTGTTACAGGTATCCCAACATGCAGCTAAGTGCATTCCAGCTATGGTATGCCCAGAGCTTACTGAGCAAATCCGACGTGAAATTGCTGCATCTCTTCATCAGCGGAAGGGAGACTTTGCCTGCTATTTCCTAACTGACCTTGTAACATTTACATTACCTGCAGGTAATTATGAGGTGCTTCTTTTATCTGTTATCTTGTCCTTAGCAGATAAATGGGTGTATGAAATTGCCCACTTCTGACTACTTCTTATACTTCCTCAACAGAAGTGCTGTAGGTTTTGAAAAATCTTCATTCATTAAGCTTCTTGACTACACATGGAGTAAATTTCAGATGAGAGGAAACTTCAGGAGAAAGACTGTTGTCACAGTTCCTTTATATTAACATTGAAATTACTTTGAGACTCATTCCTGTACTCTTTAGGCTAGTACTCTTTAGGCTAAGGTCACCAGATTTTTTTTCAAAGAATCCAGATTTTTTTGAAAAGAGAAAAAAAAAAGTTATTTAAAAAAGTGTTTGTTTTTTTTTAAAAAGCAATATCTTCTCTTCTGTGGGCAGTTGGCTGGGTGGCTGGGCGCTCTCACTTCTGGCTCGATTTGGGTTGCGGGGGGAGGGGGGTCAGCGGTTCCCCCAGTTGACGTGCAGGGCGTCCCCTGTTCCCCCTTGGCAGTGGCAGCAGCAGTCTCAGCAGCCTGGAGCCAGCTTGGTAGCACAGTTGGCTCTGGCTGGCTTCAGGAGCTGCTCGCTGCCATGGCGCCTGCCATTTTGCCTCACTGGAAGTCCGCATATAATGTGTCTTGTGCCGTTGAACCAATCACACAACATTCATTCCCTACTAAGAAATCTGTAACACTTAAAATATAAATCCGGGGACATTAAATGAGATCTGGGGGCATTCTGGGGACGGATTTTGTCCGGGGACAGATTTTTAAATCCAGGGACTGTCCCTGGGAAATGGGGACATCAGGTAACCATACTTTAGGCCTATATTATAGTCTTGGATTCAAACTGTTTTGTTAGTAAATACCTTGATCATGGAAATATTTTAAATTCTAATACTGTACACCTGCCTGAGATCACTGTAGCTGTAAAATAACCAGAATTCTGCTGCTGACTTCATTCTACTGCTGCACAGCAAAGAAATTGCTGAGTTCTGAAGAGCATTCAGTTGCGATTGCACAATTGGTATAGTACAAGGGTGGGCAACCTTTTGTCTGATGAGGGATGCATACCAGCAGTGGGCAAAGCTGCAGCTAATGATGACTGGAGCCAGAGACAAAATATTTATGTCTGTGTTCCTTAGCTTACTAGGGAGATCTGCTCTGGGAAACCTACTTCTCCATAAGGGTCTGTTGGAGCAGGTGTTGAAGCCCCTTTGCTCAGCGTGAAGTAGTGCAGCTCCAACATAGAAATGAATGTGACGATAGTTCAGTCCGTATGACAGGAGCCATTGTGGCAAAAGTTGGGAGTATGTGAGTTTCTGAAAGCCCTCACAATAGCATCAGCATGTGATGGTTACAGTTCTCTGTGTCCCATTTGGCTCCATTACAGACAGACTGGAAAAAAGAGAGAAGAAATTGGGTTCAGAGAATGTATGCCTCAAAGGCCCTGAGGCCTCCCCGCACCCTGGGTCCCAGACTCAAAGGATAGCTAATTACTGTTTGTTTCCCTTCAGCCTGAACTCCTAACTGAGGTGACCAGATAGCTGAGAGTTGGCATCTGTATATTTCCAATGGTGCCAACATTTCAGTGAAGTGTGGTTCCTTTCTCCCACCAGTTTCTGAATATTTTTGCAGAGCTTGGACTTAAAAAAAGAAAAGAAAAAGCACTTACTTGTATAACTTGAGGAAACTCTCCAGTATGTAGGGACCATTTCTGCTTTGAAACTATTTTTGTAGCAATTGTACGTGAGTAGTGACCTCATAAACACAGAATCCCTGTGTTTCTGTTACTGCAGAGAATTGCTTGATGCTAAAGATAGTATTTTAAAGAGGAAAATGGCCATAGCTTTTCTAAAAACAGAAACATTCCTTTTCTCCAACTGTACGTGTTGTACTTAATTTGTTCTGATTCACTAGATCATGTAATGCGAAATAGTCTTGACTGCTCTAGTAAGTGAAAATAATTACATATAGTGTATCTCTTTTGGTAAGTGGGATGAGATAGGGAAGGAAACATGCATGGTGTTACTTGAAGATATAACGTAGAGCTCTAACAATTGAGAAACTTCAGTCTTCTTTTCCTAATTTTGTTTTGTTTGAAAATGCCACTGCATCACAGAACTGATAAATATATTGCATTTCCTATATTAAATTTCCTACACAGAGATGCATACCTGTGTGGGAGACGTATGAGCTTGAATGTTTTTTTCTATTGAAGGCACCCTAATCAGACATACGAAGCTGCCTTAGACAAGTCAGACTACTGGTCCACCTAGCTCAATGTTGTTTACACTAGGGTTACCAGATGTCCCAGTTTCCCGGGGACGGTCCCCAGATTTGCGAATAAGTCCCCGGACAAATTCCATCCCTGGAATGTCCCCGGATTTCATCTAATGTCCCCGGGAAACGCAGCAGTGGCAGTCTCAGTAGCCCGGAGCAGTTGGCTCTGGCTGGCTTCAGGAGCTGCTCGAAGTCCCCATATGATGGTGGTGCAGGGGCTCTAAGATGCAGCTTCCGGGCTGCCTCCACCTTCCCTGACCCCAGCAACTAAGCTGTGAAGGGAGGTTTCATGCTGCCTATTGAAGCAGCCTCCCAACTCCTACTTGCATAGAAGCAGGAGCGGGGCGGAGATCTCTCCCTTCCCAGCTGAGGGATCCCTGCCCCCTCCTGCTTGCATGCAAGTAAGAATGGAATTGGGGATGCTCTGATGGCCTCACCTCCGCGGCTCTTGGCCCTCCTTCTCCGCCTTCCATGCCTGACCCACTGCGCACCGCTTCACCACCACCACCACCACTGAAGAACCGACAACTCAAGGGCTGCCCAGGTTCATGGAGAAAGGAGATAGAAGCCTCGGAGGAAAATGTGGCGGTTGAGGTCAAGGCAGCGGCCAACCCTCTGTTGTCCCCGGATTCATTGAAAAAAATCTGGTAACCTTAGTTTGCACTGTCTGGCAGAGGCTCTCCAGGCTCTCCTGGGACTATTTGCTCTACCACTGAGCTACAGCTCTCCCAGCACTCAGCTACACGCATTGGCTGCCTCACTTGTATACCCAGTACATATTTTATTCTGGATGGGGAAAGCAATATGATTGCTATGTAGATGATTATGCAGGATTGTAGCCTTAAGAACATTTAAGCATTTTAAGTTCCAATTTTAACATATCCTACACCAGTGAGGAATGTTGCAGTTGGCAACATCAAAACTTTATCATCAAAACTTGCCAGGTGACAGCAGCAATGGATAAATTTTGTTGTGTGCCCTCCATTCAACCCTAACATGCTGCTCTGGTGTCATCCAGAGGTGGCATTCCTGCGAAATGTATGCCTGATGCATTTTGATAGGGATGTGAGGAGCTCTAGGAAATACTTTTGTCAAGGTTTCTGGCATCTGGGCTGCTGCTGGAGCAGTTTACTAGGACCCAATGAAGAAACTCTGTCCTGTAAGCCACCTCCCCACTGTAACTCCCAGGTAAGTTTCTTTAGCATGGTGGAAGTGTGGCATGGTGGAAGTGCTGGACCTCATTGATTTACTGGTATTAGGGACACAGTGGGGCCCAATGTTCTAAGTGGGCTTCAAAATGAAACTTTTTTTGTCTTGTTTTTGAGTGTGAGGAGCATAATTAGGATTAGATGAGATTGGAGCCATAATTTCATACAGAGAAGCTATAAAGTATTTCGCATAGTGTACTTGCACTGGTTTGTCCTACCTCTTTCTTGGGACTAAAGGACCGTTTCACTTGGTGTGATTGTCATGTGAATAGCTGTTCATATGGAATATGCGGATTCTAGAGTTCAATCATTTGTCATGCTCATTCTTGGTTTTGCAGATATTGAAGACTTGCCACCAACAGTCCAAGAGAAATTATTTGATGAAGTACTTGATAGAGATGTTCAAAAAGGTAAATATGGTATCTCTGTTATGCAACGTTTTATATTATGTTGCATTGGATATTGTATCTTGATGTTCTGCATAATATTTGCTATTTTATTTTACTTATATACATGGTAAGATGCTTATTGTTGCTTAATTATGTTATTTAAAGTGGAATTTATCATTATTAATATTATTAGCAGTAGTATTATAAATGGAAAAAAAATGATATATTCATGTTAAGATATGTAAACCACTTACAGATTTCTGTTGAAATGTACAGTGGTGTGCAAGTTATTCATAGATACCTGATTGTTTTTGATAGCCTGCCCTGAGAAAACTGAAGTGCCAGTTGTTAGGCTTTATGGGAGTATTAATAGAAATATATGAAAGTCTGTACTATGATAGTCATAACTGAGTTGTACATTTGCATGCACGCCACCATAACTGTATTCACGATTATGAAAGGAACTTCATTGCTGTATTCTGCTAATCATTCTAGAATTTCAAAAGCACGTACACTAGTATCTTGAAATGCAACAGGTATTTTTTGTAGGATTTAGGATGATTAACATTGTGTTGCTTGTTATCTTCTAGAACTTGAAGAAGAATCTCCCATTATAAACTGGTCACTGGAATTGGGTACGCGTTTGGACAGTAGACTTTATGCACTTTGGAATCGGACTGCAGGGGACTGCCTGCTTGATTCAGTACTACAAGCTACATGGGGCATTTATGATAAGGACTCGGTGCTACGTAAAGCGCTTCATGACAGTTTACATGATTGTTCTCATTGGTAAGTAGAAATCAAGAACGAAAATGACCACAGCTTATTCAGATGTCTTATCTTGAAAAATGCAAGCTTCTTTGTTAAGACTACCTGGATACCTGTTGCTGTCATAGGATGGAGGAAGGAATTTGGAGGATTTCTGCTTCAGTGGCTTGGAATCTTATACAAAATTGCCTTTCTGGCATCTATGGAGAAAAAGTCTGTGTTGTACCATTAAAGTAGTATAATTGATCAATCAGTTCAAAATGGCTTTTGTCCAATGCAATTTATATAAAGTTGTTACTGAAGTAATCATGTCATCTTCGCTGCTTGTTGCTGTCCTCGTAAATATCTGGGCTCTGGAAAATGTCACAAACCTCTGTTGACATAGCTCCAAACCATATCACTCGCTTAACTAGAATTGCTGTGCAAAATATTTTCATTATGTGAACTTTGGCTCTGGTATATTGATTACCATAGAGCTGCAGACTACAGCTTCACTATGGATTAGGGGTGATTCTTTGTACAGCATGCCAAACTACTTCTCTGGAAGTGTGAACATCCTAAAATCAATAGGAGAGGAAAATTAATTGGGACTGGTTTAATCAGAACGGGGCATCTGGAACTGGGAAATGATTTGGGGACCTCACTTTTTTCTTGGTTTGTGGCCTTGGTTCTCAATCTGGTGTGTCACTGATTCCAGCCATGTTCAGCCAGATCACTCTTATGAGGGCAACAGTATGTTACTGTTTCCTTTAGCAACTCTCATGCATAGCTATACCTATTCTGACCATGGAAATTACAGTAAGTTATAATGATTAATAGAAACTTATATGGATGGAGTAGGTAGCACTGATGGAAGTTGGTGCCAGAATTACTTTGGAGTTGGTGGCTATGCATCATCCCAGTTTGTAAAGGCATCACCTACCACTGCTATGAGTTCTACTTATCTAGGCAAGGTCTTGGATCAACAATATCTCTTCTTTCATGTGTGATTTCTGTCCTTCTCCTCCAGCCATACCTTCTCCCATTGAACACTGAGATAGGTAGTTTTGCTGCACTCTTCAATATTTCTCCCACCTACCCACTCCTGGTACATTCTGCCTACAATCCACTCTCTTGAAGATGGTCACAGATGCTCAGCCAGACAAAGAACCCAGTTATAGGCCTATTACAGCCACTACACACAAAAAAAGGCACATCACAACAATTAATCTCCAGTTGAACTCCTTTCACAGGCATTCCACCCCATCTCTTACCTGGGGCATTGCAGACATACCATGTCTATTGCTTCCCACTCAGGGGATGCTAACTCCCAGGTTCCAACAGTTGCGCACACTGGGTTATCCAATGTGAACGGGGGGGGGGGGGGGAACCTTGTACTAATTCAGAATTCAGACAAGAGATGCTAAATGAGCTATGTTTCAACCAAATACTATCTATCTATCTATCTATCTATCTATCTCAGAATTTGGCATTTATTGTCCAATTTTTTATTCAACTTCTCTCCTCCCGTAAAATACTTGGCTGAAGTAGCAAGAAAAGTATTGTGTTCTGTGTGTGAATCTGAAGAAATCCACTTTCAGCGAAAGCTTGCATAGTTCGGTACGATCTTGAATTATGAAAATGCATCTTGAGTCCTTTTATGCCATTTTTGTAGGTTCTATACCCGATGGAAAGAATGGGAGTCATGGTACTCCCAAAGCTTTGGTTTACACTTCTCACTGCGAGAAGAACAGTGGCAGGAAGACTGGGCATTTATACTTTCGCTTGCTAGTCAGGTAAGACACGTGTGTGTGTGTTAAAAAAGCATGGGGAAGCACAGTTAAAAGTTACTTTATGTTCACAGCTGTGGCTTTTCTTTCTATTTTGCTCCTATTTATTTGAATCTTACGGTTAGTATTTATGTACTTCTGTTCTTCACCGACATATTCTTAGTTTAAAAGTTACTGATGGTTTGGATGTGGCAGGACCACTTCAGATTGTTTTCAATCCTGCTTGGGTATATTTTGCCAAAGTTTTTGTCTGCTGTAAGAATATGATGTTGGACTGAGTTGGCCTTTGGTCTGATCTAGTAGGACTCTACTTAAGGCCTATCTTGCTCTAGCATCTTATTTTCCACAGCAGCCAATCAAATGCCTATGGAGAGCCTAAAGGTGGGACTTGAGGGCAAGTATCTCTCTCCTGCTGTTGTTTCCTAGTGACTGAAATTCAGAGGTGCAGTGCCTCTTTCCTGGAGGTATTATATATAGAAGTCAAGACCGGTAGATAATTTCATCATGCATGGATCTGTCTTATGCACAAATTATCATTTAGCATTTTTCATTCTGGGTACTTTTACGTCACAAAATAAAACAAATGTGACATGAAGTAAAAGGCAAATGAGTAGGACCTCCAGAATAGAAGCCCTTATTCTTCTTCATTGTAATTGCCACTGTGGTACTGAAGAAGCATATGAGATTTCATAATGCATTGGTCACATTTTACTATAATGTTAAAATTTCTTCTCTATTGAAAATACAGTCTTGTATAGTAATTAGTACGGGACACGGGTGGCGCTGTGGGTTAAATCATAGAGCCTAGGACTTGCCGATCAGAAGGTCGGCGGTTCGAATCCCCGCAACGGGGTGAGCTCCCATTGCTCAGTCCCTGCTCCTGCCAACCTAGCAGTTCGAAAGCACATCAAAGTGGAAGTAGATAAATAGGTACTGCTCTGGCGGGAAGGTAAACGGTGTTTCCGTGCGCTGCTCTGGTTCACCAGAAGCAGCTTAGTCATGCTGACCACATGACCCGGAAGCTGTACGCCGGCTCCCTCGGCCAATAAAGCAAGATGAGTGCTGCAACCCCAGAGTTGGCCACGACTGGACCTAATGGTCAGGGGCCCTTTTACCTTTATAGTAATTAGTACACAGAAATTTCAGGTAAAGTGATGCTTTTAGGCAAGGCTAAAAATATAAGGGTGCCTGAAGAAACATGTCCTTGTTTGTTACTTTTACCCTCTTAGCCAGGGGTCGGCAAGGTTTACCTCGCCTGGGCTGATTCACTCCAGCGGAGATCCGTCTGCGGGCCGGATTGTGAGAGTGCGCGGCCACGATTTCCGCCGCCTGTGCAGACGCGATTTTCGGCACCGCGGAAGCGAGTCGCCACACTTCACCGGTTTAGCGCAGCACGCAGGAAGCTTGGTTCAGGGGCAGCTCGTGGGCCGGTTAAACGACCCCTGTGGGCCGCTTGTGGCCCATGGGCCTTAGGTTGCCTACCCCCGCTCTTAGCTATTGTTCCTAAAGGCTACAGGGGAAATCTGACTAAAAGTAGACAGAATTGGTAGCTGAATCTTGTAGATTTATTTTGGCCCCTCCCCCATAATAATTTAAGCACCAACCCAATGATGCTTGCATATACTTACTGGATAATTATAGCTTTCAAAATGCAAACATTTCCAAAAATAATTGATATGTAATTAACATCTGAACAATGTTCATGACTTCAGTTACATGAACATTTTGCTGAAATCAAAGGCTCAGTCAATTGGTCTGTCTCATGTGATAGATATCATTTTTATTTCAAGTGTTATTCTCTTTGATACAGCCTGGAGCAAGTTTGGAACAGACACACATTTTTGTACTTGCACATATTCTTAGAAGACCAATTATAGTTTATGGAGTAAAATATTATAAGAGTTTCCGAGGAGAAACTTTAGGATATACCCGTTTTCAAGGTAAGTGTGACTTATAATAATGTTTGTTATAGAAAGGATTGCTGACATCCTGAGTGTTCACATTTTTCTATTTTAGATTTGACAGAGAGTACATTCAGCAGTGCTTTACCGACCTTCTTAAGAGCACTTTGCTAATGTGGCTGTTTTCAAGGGGTCCTCTTTGCCTTCTTGCCTTAAAGTGACAAAGCCCTCAAAGTCCCAACAGCCTTCAGAGATCAGTTATGGAGGCTAGAGTCATTACTTGATCTTTTTCTCTCTGATGATGCTGTACCTTCTTCCATTCTTGGGTGCTTTCTGTAATGGGAGAGAGGCAGACAGGGGAGGCATGGTATAACATGGTATTCTGCTACAGTGCTCTGCCTGCTCCGTGTGTGTGCTCCGCTGCAGCAGTGTGTTTGCACTTGGATCCTTGGGGCTAGTCAGGCAAGAGCCTGATAACAAGGGTCTATTGTGGATCCAAATTGTCTGTATGTAAATGCTCCTTCCCCAGTACAGCAGTTGCAATATGAAGTCAGTCCATGTAAGTGAGTATAACTTTGGCTACAGATAGGTTGAGTGCATGGTACCATAACACTTAACTGCCATACAATTTAAATGCATTGCCACCTATTTTTCTTAAGAGGACACTAAACAGGAATTATGTTAAGTGAGTGCAGGAGAGCCACTGGTCTGTCAGGAGACATGCTGAGGGCAATCTCATGTGCAAATGCACCAGGCAGTTTTTTCTATGAAAGGTTGCTATGCTACATATGTACTTGGATTACTCACTGCTATTTTTAAACCCTCTCAAGGCAGGTCACGTTCCTAGTTTAGTTGTTTTGATGAAGCATCTATGAATAACTTCTGATGTGCTAGAAGACGGGCAGGGGGAGATTCAGTTATATGTAATGAGAGGCTGTGGGGACTAGATTAATGGACATCGAGTCAAATATGGCTTCCACTTCTTCAGTTACACAGGACAGTTTGTATTTTAAGTTCATGCTCATGGGTTTATCATTGAAAAAAAGGTTGCATAGAATATTAGATTGCCTCTTGGGAGTTGTTACTGCAGCTCATGATGCTGGCAGTCTTTTAATTGCCAACTTTAGGAAGAGAGTATTGTGTCTTATATTTTACTCTGTGGTCCACCGTAAAATATACAGTGGTGCCCCGCAAGACGAATGCCTCGCAAGACGAAAAAGCCGCTAGACGAAAGGGTTTTCCGTTTTTCGATGCGCTTCGCAAGATGAATTTCCCCATGGGCTTGCTTCGCAAAACGAAAAAGTCTTGCGAGTCTTGCGATTTTTTTCGCTCCCCCCCCCTTTTTCTAAGCCGCTAATAGCCTTTTAGCCGCTAAGCCTTTAATAGCCGCTAAACCGCTAATAGCGCTAAGCCGCTAATAGGGTTGCTTCGCAAGACGAAAAAACCGCTAGACGAAGAGACTCGCGGAACGGATTAATTTCGTCTTGCGAGGCACCACTGTATTTTATAACCACTAATTAAAATGAGTCAGCTTCCTAAATTTGAAACCAGTATCACAATGTATTAAGAGACATATTGAGATGTACATTGTAAATGTGGTTTATGTCATGCTTTCAGATTATTTTTTCCCCATCAACATAATTAATGTGCAGTGTTCCATTGATTTAACCCCTTTCATCACTCCTTCTTTGTAGGTGTATATTTGCCTTTGTTATGGGAACAGAGTTTTTGTTGGAAAAGCCCTATTGCTCTGGGCTACACAAGGGGCCATTTCTCTGCTTTGGTTGCCATGGAGAATGATGGCTATGGCAACCGAGGTGCTGGTGCTAACTTGAACACTGATGATGATGTTACTATTACTTTTTTACCATTGGTCGACAGTGAAAGGAAGCTGCTGCACATTCACTTCCTGTCTGCTCAAGAGGTAAGAAACACTAAGCAGTTCAGTGTTCAGTGAGACGCTGCATCAGCAGAAAAGGAAAAGGGGGAAAAAGCATCTCTGGAGAATCTACATGGCAGAGAGCCTATAGCTGATATGTAGCAGTTGCAAAGACATTTGAAAACAGATTGTAGTAGTTTGAGTAACAGGCATGAGAAGCCTTGTGTGCCAACTTAGTGTTGCCTTTCTGTTCTGAAATTGGTTTGTGAGAGTGGTTAGTGTTGGGGTGTGTGTGTGTGTTGTTGGTGTTCTTGTTTTTAAACAGATGTATTAGTAAAGCTTTTGAGGAAAAGCTAAGGCTTCCCAACCAGAAATAACAGGCAAAACAGTATGGTTGAATGTTCTTCTGGTGTGAGTTATAGATCTCTATAAGTTTCTCTCTCTTTGTCTCTGTCTCCGTCTCTTTCTCTTTGTAACTAGAAAGTGAAAATTTGAAAGCCTAAAAAAGGCTACAAGACCCCTTAATAATATTTAACCATTTCATTTGTATGCTTATTAAAAGAAGACTGCAAAGTTGAGAGTAGCTGAAAGCATAGGACTTTTATTTATTCTTATTCTCTGCCTGCCTAATGGTGGGGTGTGCATTCTTAAAAGTTCCAATACCTTGTGTTTGTAAAACACAGAGCTGGCAGTTACATAAAATTTAATTTATAGGAAGGAAAAAAGTAGGATATTTATGCACTGCTTTAGATAGTCCCTTTAAAAAATCCACTTTCCTAAGACAGTCTTCCTGGAGCGCTTTAAATGTTGCAGGGCACCCCTTTTTTTAAAAAAAGTTGTGGTCACTAATCTGATTTTAATCATGTCCTAAGTGTTGTGTTCTTTTTCTGAAGATTGGTAATGAGGAACAACAGGAGAAGCTGCTCAGGGAGTGGCTGGACTGTTGCGTGACGGAGGGTGGAGTCCTAGTTGCTATGCAGAAAAGTTCTCGCCGGCGCAACCATCCCCTGGTAACACAGATGGTAGAGAAATGGCTTGATCGCTATAGACAAATTCGCCCCTGTACATCCCTTTCAGATGGAGAAGAAGATGAAGATGATGATGATGAATGATAAAATTGAGATACCTGGCTGAGAATAATGTGTGGTGAGATCCCCCAGCACTTGGGGCGTGCTCTAGCAATTTGTTACACAACGACCTAATTGTAGCAGGAAGCAGCCTGCGTAAGATTTTTAATCGGCATGGGGAGAATTCAGAGGCTCAACATATATGTGAAGACAGCTACGTTGGTTGGACTACAGTTTGTAAAAAAGCAAAGCCCTAATTTTATTACCAAGACAGAAAGCATTTTTCTTTCCAGTTGTACATCTGCCTATAAATGTACCGCATGTAGTTGTGTAAGAAAGTTGTGTAATTGGAAAAAGTATTACCAGCATCTTAAAATAATTGAAAAAAATTCTTTTGAATAAGGGCACTTAAAAGCACACCGTAGATTAATATTTGTTCTTTTTGAGACTTACAGTGAAACTTGGTTCTTCTGCATCACTTCCTAAGCATTCTAACAGACCCATTTTATATGCAATCTTCCTAATGCCCAGGTCAGATGATGTGGCTTTTCTTTTTGCTGTTGAAGCCATATACCCAGAGTGAGTCAAAAGTATGAGCAGTTCATTGTTTTTATTCAGATTTGAGTTACCTTTGTGCCCATTATAAGAAGATGAAATGTTAAAGGGAAAAAAAACCACCAACCTATGGAAGGGATGATACATTTTGATTGAGTGAACTTTGTGTTGTTTTTTTTGTAAAGGATTCTCTGCTGTCCGTTAATATTTTGTATCTCTTATTTGGAATATTCCCCCCCCCCCTTCCAGCATACTTAAAGTAGTCAGAGAAGTACTGTTCCAGAGAGCTATATGCTAACTACCGTGTGGAATCTGCTACATCTAAACTGAACTGAAAAAACTGCATTTTGTCCAAACCTGATCTTGCTGTGAGTTGTACAATAGAAATTACTATTTTATCAAGCCTTTCCCCTGCAAGTTAAAATCACCTCCATTAAGGAGCACTCCTTGGTCATTAAAATCGAGTGAGAAAGCACTTTGGCAGTTTTCCTTAAAAGCCTTCATTCTAAAGCTTTGTTTTAAAGTACTGTATATTATCTTTCCTTGGTATGTAAACTTTGGAATTTTTTGCATGTTGATTGATTGTGGCCACATTTGAATATGTAAGTTTCCTGAAAGTATAAGTTCAGAATATATTCTCCAGTAGAAAATTCTTTTTTTATTATACTTGATAACTTTAGCCATGCTATCTTGAATGGATATAGCCTATCCAAAAAGCTCACTTTAAAAAAACACTAAAGGTTGAATAGTTTTGTATGCATAAAGCAGATCCTGATAAGCACTTTTTGAAGACTAATGATGGTGGAAATGAGGACAAGGAACCTCTTGCAAAATAGATTTCCTTGTTTAAGAATCTGGACAGGAGCCGTACATTTACATATGTGTAAAAATATATATAGGAACCCTTCAGAATTTGCTGCTTTTTCTAAATGTGGATTAGATGGTGTTGAAATATACTTTACAAAAGTAATCCTGTTGACAAACCTACCCTGAAATTTCTTCAAGGTACTACATTGAAGAAGTACATTGATTCAGCTTTTTGATCTCTGAAATGTAAAAGGATGGATGTGTTTGTATGTGTTTTGGTCATTAGTTCTCTCTTTTGGTGCATGCAGAGATTATTGGGCAAAGGTACATGCTTACCTTTGATGAGTCAAATTTCCTAAGCTGGAGAATAATTGGATTTCTTTTTTAAAAAATAGGTCCTGCTTTTATGTGCAGTTCTAATTTTAGGTTTTCTAAATGCTTTTTCTGCCTACATTACATACTTAGTGGTGGAATCCCCATAGTCCTGGACCAATGCAATAAGCTGTGCTTTTGTGGGAGGAGTCAGTTACCTAAAATAATGGAAGTTTTTTAAAAAAAGTTCTGAGTCACTGTGCTGCCATCTATAGCTGATTCTAGTTCGATACATATGTCTTAAATGTAAGCATTACTATCCTAGTAGGGGGAAATAGCTGAATCTCCAGCCATCTTTATTCCGCTGCAGTAGCAAAGCCTGAAATTTTGGAGTCTTTTTGGATGAAAGTGTTTGCTGCTGCCTGGAATAAAAAACACAATAATGTGCATTTTTACTGGCTCCTAGCTACACATACAGACAGAAACATTGAAACCACTTCTTGTAGCCTCAGTACATCCCTATGATAATCAGTGGTGGTTAGTGGTTTTATAGATTGTAATTCCAGTAGCTGTTACAGGGCTGGAGAATAGGCATTGAGCAAGTTGCGGCGAGCCTCAAACACTGCAGTAATGCATGGGTCTCTAATGTCATACACCTTTTTTTTTTTAAAGTCCAGGCTTTGCCACTTATTGTGATCTAAGTTACAGTTGAGGTAGTATTTTTTTTAATTAAACCACCATTTCTGAAGCTGAAGGGCAAGTTCCATCTTGAGTCTGTGGTGGAGATATATTATAAAAAATTATCATATATTTCCTGCTTTAAGTAGTGGTTTTTCATCCATTTGAATTGTTTGGTTGTGTTCTTTTTGGACTGCAAAATTTGCTGCCCCCTCTCCTTAGAAAAAAAAAATCACTTCATGTGGTAAACAAAAAGGAATGGTTTGGCAGCAAAATGGCTCCCCCTTCTTGCCATCTCAAACCATTTTGTATCTTAATTACTTTTAATATCTTGTTTGAAGCTTTGTTCTACTGCATAAACCTATGCTTCCTGAATCACGCTAACATTTTAAGAACTCTTCAATGACATACGTCCTCTGTACTAAGATGACTTCCACACCCACAACTGTTATATGGAAGTTTGACTTACAGCCTCCTCTAAAACTACATTTTCCTCTAGTTTTAAGTGGAAGGTTTTCTTTTCTTCAAGTTAGTACCTGGAAGTAATACGAAGATAATTGCATCCAAGCAGCCAAATTTTGCACCAGGGGTTCCTAGCAGATTCACTGGCAGTAGCAGAGTCTGCCTCAAATGTGAGTGTCCTATTAGAAAGTATACATTTTCATCAACATTAATTATGCCTATCTGGAATGCCACTGCCTGGTCTAAGAACAAAGTTCCAACAATAGCAGCTTCTTAAAATCACTAATGCCAGTGTAAATGTTGTTTCACCTTCATTTGTGTGGCTTCCTAAATGTTCTCTGTAACTCACCAATGTTCCTCCTCCTGATTGCTCTATACTGGTGTCTATGGTAAGTTATTCATAATTGCAGTGTTAGATCATTGACACAGCTATGAAGTTGACTCCCTTGAATATGTTCAAAGCTGGTAATGTGCTTTTCCATTAATTTAAAACAAAACAAATATAAGTTTTGTAACAATGGTTTGCTTTCAGTTTGTCTGTTAATGTATTATTCTGTGTCTTCTTTCTCTTCCCCCTACCCTCAAATTCCATTCTAGTCCTTACTTGTTCATTTCAAACGGACACTGCTGTTAGGTTGGGAGGTCATACAGCCTGCGTTTGCCATGAAATCACATCTGTATTACATTTGCGGTTGGACCTAGTTCTTACTATCCCAGTCATCTTGTCTTTTGCTGCCGCTGTCCCAACGGTTGCATGGACTCATTGTGTGGTCAGTGTTGGTGGCAGCTTTACTCCTTTCTCTTCACTTCCCATGGCTCTCAACTTCTGTTCCACATAGCTTAGCAATGCGTTCTGAGGATTGCAGTTTTTTAAAAAAATATTATCGTTCGTAATGGTGTTTTTGATGCACATTTAGTGCTTTACTGTTTAAAGGAATCCTGTAAATTTGGGTTGAGAGAAGAATGACTTGGCACAGGTCCTATAGTGAGTTAGTGGCTAAAGCTATTTTGAATTGGAGGCTTCCAATGCCACAGTTGGTACAACAACCAATAGTAGTTTGTAATTAACCAGTCTGGTGTGGGTTTCATGGGCCGCTTTGCAGGGTACAGCCTCATACGGATGAGAAGAGTAGTCCTTGGTCAAATCTCCCCTCTCCCTCCCATGTTCTGTTTGAAATGAGAGAATAAGCAGGCAGCAGGCTCTTAGGAGTTATGCAGTCTTGCATCTCTCCTGCTTCTGGTCTAGGAAACTCTGGGTTGCGTCCAACAAAGCAGTTCTGTTAGCACAAGGACTTGGGCTGTGCATTGGTACTTCTTCTCCCTCACCTCTCTCAGGGCACCTCTTGTAATTTCCTCAAATCTGTTACAAGATCTGGAGACTCAGTGTACCCATTAGTTTCTGCAGTGATGAGGGTAGGAGAGTGAGCACAGAATAGTGGAAAGTTCATCCCCATCTTGTTTTGGGTAAAGTCTTAGGTGCCAACTAATGTCTGAACAAGCCATTAACCGACACTCTGTGGTCTCTTCTTATATTCAGAGAGGATTTTTGCTGAACTCTAGTGCAGATACTTTAGAGGAGTCTTGTTGGCTTGCTTGGAACTTTTTTAAGTACACAGGATTTTTTGGGGTAGATGTAAACTAACTCTGCTCTTTAAAATAAATAAACATACTTCAGACCACTCATGAGCTTCTCACAGCCTGAAAAGAGGAGATTATTGCGTTTTGGAATCTTGACTGCAGAGTCAAGATTCCTTCTTTCATTGAGAAGGGTGGTTTTGGCATAGCTTGCTCTTGTTGGACCTGAAAATGTGTTAGTATTTCGTACAGGGTAAAGGACATGAAGGGCCTGGTCCATGTGAAATTATAGAAATTGTCACTTTTTATTGAAAACTGCACTGAACGCTATATGTCCACCTTTACAATAAACAAATACAGTAACGGTAACACACTAAAACAAAACATACTTCTGGTAGCCATTGGTTCTGGTTTTTTGTTTTGTTTGGGACAGCTTTTAAAACTTATCACAGAAACAGGAATGTACCCATACAAAGGCTCAAAATAGGCCATCTTTTTCAACAAAAAGGCGATGATTCACAAAAGACTATGAATATAACATGTAACTAGTTGATACAAATCTAATAGGATTTGTTAAAATCAGTCACATCTAATAACACATTTTGAAGTGTTCTTGTATAAAATATCACATGAAGAAAAGAAGACTTCAATGTCTAAAAAAGTGGGTTTGTTCATACAGTCTGACAAGTTACCATAAAAAGTGTTTCTTTTTCCTGAGACATAAGGAAATGCAACATTAGTCTTGAACCCCTTCCAGCCCAAGACGTTTCCACTCAATAAAATAGCTGTGGATTTAAAACTGAGAAAAATATATTTGAGTATAAATGTGAAACGTAACACTTTTTCTTTTTTTTGCATCATCAGCACGTGTTATTGAGTGTACAGCTACTTTATTAGGTGTATCTTGTAGAATAAGCATCCATTTCTGTGGGTAAGAGGCAGCTAGTTAACATGGGCCTTTTACCCCCTCTTCCCACCAAGATTGCTGTCCTACATGACGGTAGTTAAACTTGAGTAGCATCCCTCCAATACATTAGTGGCCATATATAACTGCAACAAGCAAAACAGTTCCCCCATCTCTGGGTTATATTTCCTCAGGCTATACAAGGAGGAGCCAGGTAAGTGAGGAAGGAAAGGGCTGAAGTCACATGATGGTTTCCTCTTACTATCATGTAAGCTTTGTTAGGACTGTTGGACCTGCTCTAAGCAGCAGGTCACCTGCTATTCCCCAAAAGGGACTGAGAAGAAATATATATTCTTGTGATTGATGTAAAGATGAAGGAAACTTAAACATACAATAACAGAAGCTGATCAGTAATGTATCATCGCATCCTAGTTTTCAGTGCTTCAGTAAGCAGGTGACTTCGTCTGCATTCCCCCTCCCTCCCCAAGTCTTGACTCCATTTTTTTGTAGTTAACACTGGAACAACATGATGCGTCAGTCCAAAATCAACCTTACAAATTTTGTATCAAATTCCCGTCAGTTCATGTGTCATCTCCCCTCCCCCCCCCCCCAAATGTCTCTTGGTCCCAAATCGGAGTGCTTTGAATTATCTGCTATTGCTCATTGGGATGTTCCCTGTTGTCCCCATGTTTGGACGGCTGATTAGGAGATGGAGCTTGGGAAGGATGCGCCACTGTCGGAAGATTGTGGGTAACAGGGATCCCTCCGGGGATAATACCTTCCATAGCTGCCGGAATCCCGCCTGGTGTAACGCTCACCATGCCTGGTGGATATCTAGGAAGAGTGTGATTTCTTAGTTAAAAGGAGACACGCAAGCATTCCATAGAACAACAGGCTGTGGGGGTAGTAGAAGGGTAATGGGGGAGGGGGGAAATACCTTGCAGTCAATTTCATTCATTGCCAAATCACTGCTATCCCGGTATGGTAAGAGAAAGTACTTTTTTTACTGCAAGATCTGTCAAGTTTTCAAAGTATGTTTGTAAGAGCAGTATTTGTTTGGGTGGGAGGGGGGAATCAAAGCTAATATAAATTATCACCTTCAAACTCTTCTTTTTTCACATTGCTTTTACCCACATTGAAGTATGAGACAAAAAAATGATTCCAGTGTTGAAAGAGAGCCGCAGAGTGCACATTTCAGCAGCTGAGGGACCAGCCTTATATGAATAATCCGCTGCTGCCATCCCTTCTTCCTGTCACCCTTTTATTGATGTCAAACATATTGGAACACAAAATACGACTGTGGCTTCTTTGCTGTTAATTCATTTGAGTGCCACAGAGGGCGACTGAAATGTTTTTTGGCTATTAGGTATCATCTCTTTCTTCCTGTAAAATCCTTTGAAGTACAAAGCAGAAGGGTGGACTGGCTCATGGAGATGCTGAAAAGAAAAACCTAAATGGAATGTGACATTGTTCTAATGTCAGTAGTTCGATAACAGCATCCCTTTCCTAAACACATACATTACATTCAGTTTTAAAAAATGATGTTTCCTCTTTCACTAAAATGACATAGGAGAACATGGTGCCTGTACAGGACTAGTTTCATGCCCCCACCCCAATAATGTGACTTGTGGCAGCCTGGCTCTAGCCTCTCAACAACCTCTTCTGGGGCTTTTGCTTGCTGGAATGGGCCCTTAAATTATGATAACACTTCTTACTTGTGTCTGTCTGGCTGTAAACCTCTTATATTTGTACAGTGGGCTACAGTCTAGACCTTCAGAAGTCAGCTCATCAATTGCTCCATCCATATCACCAGGGGCTGAGGTAATAATCAGCCCAAGACAACAGTCTAACTTGCATAGCTAGTTCTGGAAGCTCAAAGAGGCATTTAGATTTGAGTTTCAAAAGCATGTTGGAATGCAAGAGGTACCTGCTGAAGGAAATGAGGTGACTCCCCAAACTACTGAGAAATAGCACACCGGCCAGCTCTTCAAAGAAGAAAACCAAAGCTGTCACAGAGTTGGTGGAAAGTCCCTTGTGTGAACAAGTGTTTGGGGGGAAATTGAGAGAAATCAATGTGGCACGTGTCATTATTACTGTTAAACACATTAACCAGGCCGTGTAGATGAAAGAGCTTCACACTCTGAGAGAGCAAGTGTGTGTGTGTGTGTGTGTGTGTGTGAGAGAGAGAGAGAGAGAGAGAGAGAGAGAGAGAGAGAGAGAGAGAGAGAGAGAGAGAAAGTATGTATGGCATACAGAGAATGAAACAAGTTGGACTTGGGCTTTAGGATACTAGAACAGAAATTGTGCTTTGGGGAAATATGCATGATAATGAAACCCTACGTAAGGAAAATTGCAGAAAACTGGTATGTTATCACACTGTTAATCCTGCAAGATGAAGCAGAGCAGCTAATTCTGCAAGTCTCAAGTCAGACTGCTGTCAGAAGGGTGGGAAGCTGAAAAGCCCCCATGTGTGAGCAGAAGCAAACTTGCATTGTCTGGCTCTCAGTCTGTGAATTTACAGGACAAATTTAGGGAAGAAAGGTATATTGCAAATTAGTTTTAACATACAACTCCGTTCAAGGAGTGGGATTAACAAGATTAGCCTCTTGCAATAGAAGCATGCATCATAAGCAAGGTTGTACACTGCAGATGATATATATATATACTGAATTTAAATTCTGTAGTCTGCATGAAATAGGTTCAATAAACAAGCTGACGTATACTTCCATTATTTCTGCTAATCACACTAAAGAGCAAGGAGTTGCAAAAGGCAACAGATACTGGATATCTAGACTCTGTCTAGTTTTTCAGATTTTACTTAATATCACATACCTACTTTCCAGTCCTAGCCCCTTGCTTTCTGAAACTCAGTATTAAACTCTGTTCATGAGCAGTATTGTGTGGGTTTTCACACAAGTGCAGAAGAAACATAACACTATAAAAGAAGAGATGCTGGTAGATAACAGTTTACAAAAAAGACCAGATGTACCTGTGAGGCAAAGTTAAAAGAATAAAAGCTGTTCTGAAGGTATGCTGTAAGAGTATAGGAGAGGTCACTAGATTAGACCTTGGAAGGAAGGTTCTGTGCTGGACACAGGTAAGTCCCCCTCCCCCAAAATGCAAATATTAGTATACACAGTATGTAATGAAATGGGGAGGAGATAAATAAGAAGCCCAGCTCTTCTGACCCGAAAACAAGATGGAGAGAGACTAGTTCGTGAAAGTTCATTTTTGTTCTTGCTATAATATGTCTGCCCCTTGAGATTATGTCTCCTAAGTGAAACAAAAAATCTGGCTTTCAAAATGTCAGATTATGCTTGAGTGGGATCCTTCTCCATATAGGCACACTATCCATGCATGTGGGGATCCCAGAAAAACTCACAGCCCTTTTTATATCCTATACACATACCTACCTTTAGTGCACATGGAGGAAATCTGAGAGCACAAACTTTCATAACTGCCCTAGAGGACTATCTATTTGGCTAAAGGGAGGTGGAGAGAAAAGGGGTCCATTGAACCCCACTGGGATCCATCAGGGAAATTCCATAACTTCTGCACAGGAAATTTAAAACTTGGAGGGAAACAAATTCATCTGCAGAGGTTTGCCTCCTGTTTACTGCTCTTTTTGAAGGCTGCACGAATAGTCTGGTGCTTGAGGGCTACCATAAACATCCAAGGGAGGGCGTGTGCATGAACAGAGGGGGCTTGTGAAATCATGGACACTAGCCAATTGGGCTTTTCCTGCAACAAAATCACTGTCTCAAGGGATGTCTAAATTATCTTGTAACAAGCTACTGACAACTGCACATTTATTGCTGAACGAAACAATCGTCTGGAAGTGCCCTAAAAGGACTGATTGGCATTTCCACCAGCCAAAAAACCCCACCCCTGCCTAGTAACCATTCCGCATCTCTCATGCTTTTTCTAGACTTAAACTTAGGTAATATATTACCCCTTAACATTACATGGGGGGGGTGCCCTACAGTTAATTAATGTTCCATCTTTCAGCCTGTGCTGGGTGAACAGTGCATCAATATACCAATATTTATTCATTTACAATGGTGGCCTACCTCTGCAAAGACTCTTTGAAGTCCTTAAGGAACACTGATTATATTCCTCCCCACCCCACCCCCCAACTAAATGGCTGGTTTGCTGAAACTGACTTCTGGAAGCTCCTTTTGTCAGGTAAATAGTGGGTGAGTTAGTAAGACTGAAACAGCAGAAAGGCCTTTCAGAGAAGCTCAAAGTGACTCTATAGTAGCATTATTAAGGGGTCTCTGTGCAGCAGGATACCTGTGGAGATGCTATCTCTGAATAGTATTCCCAGAATAAAGGAAGCGCCTTCTGTGGAGGAAACCTGAATACACTATTGCTGAAGGGCTACCCTACCTGAGCCCTATACAAAGATGTGTGTATCTCATTCTCTAGCTCCATTCTTGGGTAGAGAACTACAAAGTATGGTGCTTTTTCCCCAAAAAGAGTTCTTTATCTTACCTGTATGTGGCACCATTGAGCTCCGGATGAATCGCTTGCTGATCTATTACTGACCAAGGAGCTGTTGTGACAAAGAATTCCTTGTTCACGCAGTTTCGTAGGCTTTCAGGGATCCGACCTGAGGAAGGGAACGATTCAAATTCATAACAGGGTCAGGTACAAATCAACCCGACTAATATGCAACAAGCTATATCCAAGTTGAGGTTTTCCACACCACTCGTTCTAACTCACACAGCTCTTTACTTCCCACCAAAATTCAGGGGGGAAAGGACTGCTGTACAATTTGATTATGAGTAAAACAATATGCAGTGCTTTCCCCTTGCCACACCCTGATACAACGGTCAGCGGCCAGATAAAAGTGCTTTGAAAGGCTGGATAATTTCCCACCCCTTTCCTGCACCAAGTCACTTTACAAGCCCCGTTACAGCAGTTTGCTGGTCATCCTGCAGACCTCGCCAGAATGAATGAAAGCTGCCCAAGATATTGTAACTTTCTCTACCCCATTGGCATTTCTCCCCAAAGCAACTCCACATTGGGTAATGGTAGGGAATCGACCCAATTAGACACAGGAAAGGATGCAGAAGGCCACCTAAAACAGTATAAAATTAGGCATGCTATAGCAGTGCCTGGGGACGTGGGTGGCGCTGTGGGTAAAACCTCAGTGCCTAGGGCTTGCCGATCGCATGGTCGGCGGTTCGAATCCCTGCGGTGGGGTGAGCTCCCGTCTTTCGGTCCCAGCTCCTGCCCACCTAGCAGTTCGAAAGCACCTTAAGTGCAAGTAGATAAATAGGTACCGCTTTATAGCGGGAAGGTAAACGGCGTTTCCGTGTGCTGCGCTGGTGCTGGCTCGCCAGAGCAGCTTCGTCACGCTGGCCACGTGACCCGGAAGTGTCTCTGGACAGCGCTGGCCCCCGGCCTCTTAAGTGAGATGGGCGCACAACCCTAGATTTGGACACGACTGGCCCGTACGGGCAGGGGTACCTTTACCTTTACCTTATAGCAATGCCTGTTACACGTTTGGCATGTATTGGATGCTGGAGCCCTAGTGATTATGTGAAACTCTCAGTTATTCTGAAAAATACTTAGATAAAAGTCCACATTCCTTTTATTAGGAGTTTGCTCCATCATTAACATGATTTGCTACCATATCTCCATTCAGCGCACTTGTGGTTTTGCCTTGAAGAGCAGAACAACTATAAATGCTTAGTATCTTGACTACTTATCTAACAACAAACCAAATACAGCGGTACCTTGGATTACAAATGCTTTGGGTTACAAACACTTCAGGTTACAAACTCCACTAACCCAGAAGTAGTACCTCAGGTTGAGAACTTTGCCCCAGGATGAGAACCGAAATGGCGCCATGGCGGCAGCGGGAGGCCCCATTAGCAAAAGCATGCCTCAGGTTAAGAATGGTTTCGGGTTAAGAACGGACCTCCAGGACGAATTAAGTTTGTAACCCAAGGTACCACTGTAGGTAACAATATTATGGCTATGCCTCCCTAAGGAGTACTTGCAGGTCCAGTGCAGGAATAGGGTGATGTTAAGGGAAAGGGACACTCAAACTAAGAGAGTTCTGGCATAGAATCCCCTAATGGCAACATCACTTTGGTTCAATGCAGGTTTTCATGTAGCAATTGCTCCTGATGTTGCAGCTGACAACTGATAGAATTTTTCAGCTTAATGAGCTTTCTGAACGAACATATACAGGCATGCATGTAGAAGATTTAAATATGATTTAAAACAGGTTGCTAGAATCACGTTAACACTGTAGGTGATTTAAGTGTTAACCACAACTGCTCCCCTCTCCACAGACTATGGAAGCAGAGGTCTGCACTTTCCAGGACTGGTGTGCCACATATGGTGGTGTGATGTTCAGAGGTTCTTTAAACTATGCACTGGCAAATACATGTGCAATCAACACTGGCGGGGACCACACCTGCACATGCTGTAGTGCCAGATAAAGCACTAGTACAGGCAAGCACTTCATGGGACCTATAACATTTAAACTGGCCTATTGTGGTCTAAACCACTGAGCCTCTTGGGCTTGCCGATCAGAAGGTTGGCGGTTCGAATCCCCGCGACGGGGTGAGCTCCCTTTGCTCGGTCCCTGCTCCTGCCAACCTAGCAGTTGGAAAGCACGTCAAAGTGCAAGTAGATAAATAGGTACCGCTCCAGCAGGAAGGTAAATGGTGTTTCCGTGTGCTGCTCTGGTTTCAGTGTTCTGTTGCACCAGAAGCGGCTTAGTCATGCTGGCCACATGACCTGGAAAAACTGTCTGCGGACAAATGCTGGCTCCCTCGGCCAGTAAAGCAAGATGAGCGCCACAACCCCAGAGTCCTCTGCGACTGGACTTAACTGTCAGAGTCCTTTACCTTTTTATGGGCAAGCAAGTTGGTGTACCTGTGATAGCTCGGCGTATCTCTGTCGCGGCAGCTTCTCTCATCTCCAGTGAGGCCTGTTCGCTGTACCAAGCAGTGTGTGGTGTGCAAATTAAATTAGGAGCATCTTTTAGTGGTCCTTGAGCAAAGCTACAGGAAAACACCCCCCAAGAAACAAAGATTGAGGTAAAAAAATAAAGTTCACCAACATTTGATTTGATTTAATATTTCTATTCTCCTTTTCCAACAACAAATGTTGATCTCTAAGTGGCTCACAACAATCAGAAAGCATTAAAAAGAAACAATAAGCATCACAATCGCTACATCCAGATATTGCTAGACAAACACAGTAACATACAAATGAAGCAAACAACAACAAATTCATTGAAATGATTAATACAAATCCATAAAGTCAAAGTCAAGAAGGTGCATGCTCCCAAATTAACAGTGGTTGTCTATATATGTATAGTGATTGCCTTTAAACAGAGGCAATCACCCTTCCACTATTGTTTACTGTTGTTCCTAGATACCTGAAAAATTAGGCTAGAAGAATGACACACATTGATCACGTTTTGAGAATCCTTTCTTGGCTTAATAACCGGAGTACATCTGAGCCTTTTGTCTACACACACAAGCCCTTTTAAGTGTGCAGTAATTAAACCCAGAAGTCTCCTACTAACCACAGAATCCCATTTTGCCCAAACCAGAAAACAATAGCTACCAGTCTTAGAAGATGCCAGGATCTTATAATCAGTTTTAAGTTGTTTTAACATCCTGGCTTGTTCCAAACCTCCAAACCGTAGTATCTGAAGTAGAACACCATGTATGGTTAATGAGAGACTTCTGGCTTTAATTCCTGGATGTTGCAAAGGCAGGAGAGAAGGGGCAGCATTGAGGGTGGGGAGGAGGGCAAAGGCATGTACATATATTGTCTTTAAGCAGACAGATGATTGACCAAACTCAAGTCACATTCTCATTTTCTTTTAAAGTTGATTTTTATATGGTAAAACATCTCTCATCCACATTTTGCTACACATGCTGTGCGCCATCTGGCTGCCCATTTCATAAAAATAAGTGCTTCCCACATGTCTCTTGATTCCAAGACTTGCTTCTCTTAGATCCTTCCAGCGGTATCCACAAACAAGTTCAGCTTGAGGGGAGACCATCTGCACTGCACGATGATTCAGGCTATGAACACACTCTCCATTTACTCTGCATGCAGTGTGCTCCCATTGTTGGTTTGGGAAGCAGTGGACACACGATGTTAGCCACAATCCAGATCTATCCTGTTATCAAACTCTGCATTTTGACACATTTCCCCCAAACCAGCTTTGATCCAAATTAAGAAAAAGAATGGCCTGGCTGCATTTTAAGCTGGTAATGACAGAGAGGGCCAGAAAGCCACATCTAGCCTTCCTCACCCCTAGCTTAGCATGTCACTTGAAACCAGGATCATAGTTAAGCTCTCTTCTCTTTAACCAGGATAAAGCTACCTGTGGCAACTGGCCACAACAGCTATGTTCTACCTCTGGTGTTAGGAGGCAGTATGCCGCTGAATGCCACTTTCTGGAAGCCATAGGAGTACCGCTGTGCTTGGGTCCTGCTTGCAGGCTTCCCACAGGCACCTTGTTGGTTCATTATTACATGAATAGAATACATTATTACATGACAGAAACGGCCTAGACTGAGCCTTCGAGAACATGCAAGATAGAAGTGCAAAATGCTACAAGTGAGATCTCGACTTACCTAAATGGTTCCGATTCATGCACATCCAGTGCTGCCCCTCGTATCCTTCCTTCCTTCAGGGCTTGAGTTAAGGCCTTTTCATCCACCAGACCACCACGGGCTGTGTTTACCAAAAATGCTCCCTGCCTCATCTGAAGGGAGCCAGGGAGAAAGAAAGGACTATTCAAGCACTACTATTACCAACAGTGGGACATAAGCAGAGCATTGCCACCACTTCCCTGGCTTACTCCCGCAGTGTAGCATCCTCTGGCCTCTGCTCACATACTGTAGGGCAAGAGAGGGGAAGCAGCAGCCCTCAAGATATGGCTGGATTGCAACACCCATCTGACCATGGGTTATGCTGACCGAGACTGATGGGAGTTAGGTTCCAACTATTCCTCGAGGGGCATAGGTTCTTCACCACTGAACTGATTCTATGAACTTTTTTTGGGGGGGGGGGAGGATCTCTCATCCTAGCAAAGAATGCTGTCATAGTGGGATGATTTCTGGGTCTGCATGAGGCTGGAGAGTATGTGAGTCAGCACAAATACTGATAGCAGCAAAGGAACAGACAAGGCTACAAGCAGATGCTGGAAAGAGATAATTTACTTCATGGAAAATGCCCAATAATTTGTCAACCATTTTCATCTTCCTCTGGAGCAAAGGGTCTCCTCCTCCAGCAAACGCAACTGACTCATTAACATACTTTGGAAATTGATTAATAGAATGGAAGTATATTACCACTTTCCAGCACCAGTGTCTTGGCTTTTGAAGTCCTGAACGAGCTCAGTGGCACAATGGCAAACCATTGCACTTGAGACGAGCCCCTGGTATGACAATGTCTAAGAGGCAAAATACTGGGGATGAGGCCATTAAAACTAGCACTAGGAAAAAATTATCTGTTTTGGCCTAACAGCCTGCTGTGTAAATTTTTGAATGAGAGCACTGCATATGTGCTGCTAGTTTGTAAATGCTACCTGAGACCTCTCTTTCAACCTCAAAAGCACTTCTTACAGATTTCCTGAACTCTTCACTATGGTAAATAAATATCCAAATAGTAGAATATACTACTCTGGAAGCATTACATTTTTGCACCAACATACTTTGTGTCCAAGGTGCTTTCCTAGGTTATTAAACGCTGTACAATGAACATTATGCTAAGAGTCCATTTGCTACTTATCCATGTGTTCATTTTGCATGGAATAGTGATACTAAAGATAGCTGCAGAACCACAGCAGTATAGGATAAAAACAGCAGGACAGAAGCAGATTCCTCAGCCTTTGGGGGAGAAATCAGCCATTTTGGGGGGTGGGGCGGGAATCTAGAACTCATGACTGAATTAGGAACAAAAGAACAACTGCTGACTGAGATTTCCTCTGGCAGAATTTAATGCACAGTTTTTCTGGTCACCTAGGTGACCTTTGCCCTGAACATGTCTGGGAAACTAACTGCTTGTGTTGGGCTAGTCTGGGCATTACTTTATGACTCACAGAATCATAGAATTGTAGAGTCAGAAGGGACCACATGGGCCATCTAGTCCAACCCCCTGCAATGCAGGAGTTTCCCCTACAACATGGGGTTCAAACCCACAACCCTGAGATTAAGAGTCTCATGTTGTTATTTCAAAAGAGCAAGGATGAGAACCTGGATGAAAGACTCCAGCCCAGTTCCTCAAAATGCACTACAGTGGTACCTTGGGTTAAGTACTTAATTCGTTCCGGATGTCCGTTCTTAACCTGAAACTGTTCTTAACCTGAAGCACCACTTTAGCTAATGGGGCCTCCCGCTGCTGCCGCGCCACCAGAGCACGATTTCTGTTCTCATCCTGAAGCAAAGTTCTTAACCCAGGTAATATTTCTGGGTTAGCGGAGTCTGTAACCTGAAGCGTATGTAACCTGAAGCGTATGTAACCCGAGGTACCACTGTATTTCAAATAAGCCATTGATGTAAGCAAGTCTTGCGCCAACAAGACCAAATGACTAGAGCAAAAAAACCGAAAAGTATTGTAGGTGTGTTGCGTTCTGCAACGTTAGGCTGCTAACTGTAATTTACTGGCAAGCATTAAACCAACCTGCTTAAGTTCCATCACTTAACATATATAATGTGCAAAAGACAGATGAGCAGATTAGCTATAACTCTCAACTATCCCAAAGGTAAAAATGCATATGATTATTGTTTGCAGCTGCTTGGCATTATCACTGTGCCAGCGGGAATTCCAGACCTCAGCAGCCACACATTCCTAGAGCGCAGTTGGAGCCAACAAGATGATCCTCCTCCATTCAGAATTACCTGCTTAATCGTAAAGTCATTGATAAGGTGGTGATTATGTTCATTGAGGTTACAGTGTAACGAGACACAGTCGCTCTGGTACAGCAGATCCTGGAGTGTGTAGACCCGCTGGACTCCCAGGGACCTTTCTATGCCATCCTGCAGGTATGGGTCATAAAAGATCACATTGAAGCCAAACGCCTTGGCTCGAACTGCAACTGCTTGCGCAGTGCGACCTAAGCCAAAAGAAAAAAGAAAAAGGCAGAGAGTTGTTATAATAGGCTTGGCATTCGCTGCATGAATTCCAACGGGTGCATTGAATGGTACCAATTGGCATGACTTGCTGCCAAAGGCTTTCTCTGACCACAGCAAAGGTGGTCATGCTGCACGGATTCTCTCCTGTGTTATATCCCTGTGTTAGTGCTGCTGAAATGCAGCACCTGAGAAATGGGAGGAAATGATACTAGCACACTGGTCAGAGCCAAGGAGAGGCACTTTGCAAGTTTTACCACTCGCTTCATGCATCTTACTATCTGCCACATGCCCAATCAATGCTGGGCTACCATACCAGCAGGCTTCATAAATAGGCAGCAAGTTTGCAACATGGCCAAACTGTAGCAGCTTTATATTTGTGGTACATTTTTAATTTAATTTAAAATTAAATTGAGGGGCCCAGGTATCATTCACCTCCCTGACCAGCACTGAAATGCTCTATAACCAAGAAAATAACTCCCGGTGAATGCTAAGAACAGAAAGCCTACCTGCACTGTCCTGTCATTTCAATGATTTTGACTTTTTATGGTCTTATTGGCTTACTTTTTTCTGGCACTACAGAAATGGAAGTTTCTGCAGTGGCCAGTGGGCTACGTTTAGTTCATAGGGTCACAAGGTGTGCAAAGTTCCAGTGGCATAGTAATAATACTGTCCTGATCTGCCTTTAAAGGTGATATGGACAATAGCTCTTCTTTTAGACTGCAAGAATTCACAAATGCATACCATGAATATACAAATGATAGCTATTATCAGCAAACCCCCATTACTCATTACCTGTTACTCATTATATATTTTTAAATGCTGGCACCTTGCCCTAAGCACTTGACAATTGCCTCATGTCAATTGACCTGGAATTTCATTTACTGTAATGCAAAATTGGGTTGGGGGAAAGAGGGGACAACATACTAGAAACCCATCCAGGTATACTGATATTTTTACATGAGCAAGAGGGTATTAGAGAACATCATGATTTCTGTCTTTCTCCAAGAGCTGGATTCTTAGGACAGAGTCTTACTGCCAACTTAGTTGAAGGTCAAACATGAACCATGTAATGCAGCGTGTATAAGGGCATTATTTGAATCTGCCTTTAGAATACAAGCAGCTACGGCATTATTTTTTTAAAAAGTCCATTAACTATTTGCCAATGCACTTCAGATGCAATTAAAATGAACAGACATTGCTATATGAATCCATAAAGGGAATGCAACACTAGTGTAATACCAAATTCTCAAACTGGAAGGGCAAGGAACAAATGTCCACTGCAAAGAAGTAACACAGCTTATCAAAAGTATTAGAGTGCAGATCTTCCGCACCCACAGTGGTAATTAAAGTGCTGGGTTCTAGCCACATTTAAGCCTCTGACCTAAAAGAGGAAGTCATGTTAAGGAAATCTGATTATGATCATCTTTGGTAGAAGAACAACAACAACAACAACAACAAAACCCCTCTGAGCCTTATTTATTATAAGAGCAACTTGTTTGCTGTAGCCTCCCCCCCCCTTTCCTTCTGCGCTCTTGCTGAATGGCTATTTAATTGGGCATGACTAAGACAACTGTCATGGTTTGGAAGCAAAGGTTTAATAAGGCTCTTCTGATAAAGAGGGACAGCTGCAGTGCAATCAGCAGGTCATTATCCACAATGTCATTCCAATTCAATGTCACCGCCTGGGCTCAACTAACCGACTTCTACATCAAGATAGGAGTCTTCTTTTCAGAAAATGGAGAGAAAGCCAAAGAACCAGACGTAATCATGCCTTCATGTCGAAAAGTAGGTGAATGGAATAAAATAATGTGGATTCTGCTAGGATGGTTTTTTCTCTCTCCCCTTTCTTGACTGCCATATTTCTGAACAGATGGAATGGAAGAAGTACACCTATCTTTGATTGCAATTACTCATTAAAGGACACTGCACAAATGTACAACTCGGGACCTGGTGTAGAAGAAGTTGGAGAAAAATATGCACAAATGCCTATTAATTTGCCAAATTTATACTGAGTGTTCACGGAGGTGGGGTGAACCAAAAGAGTACTGAGTCTCTCAACAGCAACTACTGGAGAGTGACCATAGCTCACAGAGCATAAGCTGGTTTGCAACTGAGCATCTCTAGTCTCATCGGCTCATGAGTCTTTGCTCCTTGTTTTGCATTGTACTGGAACAGTTAAACTCAGGAGCTCTGAGCCCCTCACAAGCAGGGCTTCTGTGGACTGTGTGCTAAAAGCAAGCAGATGTTTTAGCTGAATTCTGCAAACTGCATAAATGATATTTTTCTCTGGCGAGAGAAAAACAGCCGGGGATTTTAAATACCCGCCTCCTCCTTCAACACACACTGTGCAAGGCTGCAGCTTCCTCAAGCAAATGTTGCAGTTGCAAAGCACGATGTCAGAATCCATGCAGATCTCCTTGTAAAGCCCAACCCCCTGTTGTTTTAGTGAAAGAAATGTGACCCATTTTGAATAAACATACCAAATCCAATTAGGCCGAGGGTTTCGCCTCTAATACGAGCTGCTCCAGAAGCCACCTCCCGAATCTGCTCCACACTCTGCACTCTGGTTCCTTCCCTCAGCGCCTGGTAGAGCCAAGTGTTCCGTCTGTAGAGATTCAGGACATGGCACATCGTGGAGTCTGCCGTCTCTTCTACTGCAGCTGAGGGGATGTTGCAAACAGCAATTCCTGGTGAATGGGGCAGAAACCTACGTTTTAGTGATCAAGACTGTGGCCAGGAAATCTCAAGGTTTCACACTAGTGCAAACTTTAAAAATACTTTGAAGGCTACCTGCATGGTGTTCCGAGTTAACTAGGTTCTCTATGTTCTCTTGGAACAATTCATAATGCGTAATATCGGAAGGCTTGAATCCAGACCCATGTTGCATGCTGCATGAGAACAAAGAGCTACTAATGGCTCCTAGCCACGAGAGCTATCCCCGACCTTCACGGTTGGAGGCAGCAATGCTTCCTAAGAGCAGCTGCTGGAAACCACAGAGGGGGAGTGCTCTTGTGCTCAGGTCCTGCTCCAGTGTTTCCCACAGGCATTTGGGTGGCCACTGTGAAAGCAGGATGCAGGACTAGATGGTCCCTTAGCCTGATCCAGAAGGCTCTTCTATGGTGGTGCTGAAGTCCCTGAGCATAGAAAGACATGGTAGGTTCTAAGCCAGCCTCCTTCTGCTTGGAACCAGGCCAAGGAACATAGGAAGTTGTCTTATACCAGGTTCCCCTAGCCCCATGCTGTTGACTCCAACTGGCAGCAGCTCTTTGGAAAAGAAGGGTGTTTTTTCTCACCTGCTCCCTGATCCTTTCAACTGCAGACACCAGGAATTGAACCTGGGGCCTTCAGTATGCAGAACACATGCCCTGCCATTGAGCTACAGCCTAAAGCGAACAACCCTTCCAGTGGCATTCTTAGAGTCCTGAGAATCCGTTACCATATGCCTGTTCTGGCCGTTTGTACCAGCTTTGAAGCTGATGGCCCTTATGACCTTCGTACAGCGCATCTAAGTTATGGTGCATCTAACTCATGAATAAAACTCAAAGGAAAGGGGAAATGTTGTATGAAAATTTTAGTAGACTGCACCAGCACCACAGTATGAAAACCATGGCTAAGGACAGGCCCTTTTAAACTTGTTTCACCCCACCCCCCAAACAAGGCTACTATGACAAAGAACAAATTTATGAAAAATTCAGGGCGAAATTCAGATATTGTCAACTATTTCCAACCTTCCTGTGGATGTCTGGAATGGAATTCACAGAGCAATAAATCAAAACTGAGCTGATTCCACACAATATCACCATATGGGGCTGATTTCAAACCAACTAGGGTTTAAAATTAAATGCTGTTTTGTGGAAGCTCTTAGACCAGTGACTCTCAGATGCTGGTGGGAGTCCGACTCCCACCAGTCCAACCCATCATGACCAATGGTCAGGGAAAATGGGAACTGTGGTCATATGGAGGGCCACAAGTTCCCCATCCCTGTCTCAGTCCTAACACTCCTTACTCTTTTTAAGTCATCCTTTCCTGAAGATTTCAAATGAGGCTGCTAAGTAATATGGCTTTTCCTGCCCCTTCTACATGCAGGAAGATTATTCGCCTTCATGGGATGGAGCTGCTACCCAAGGTAATGCCTAGACATGCAAGGTGAGATACTAGGGTTAAGTAGTGTAAGCAGCTTTGGCAAAGCATTAACAATGTTCACTCAGCACAGGACTGACTCCTGCCAGGATTCCAGAGAATGAAAAGTTCAGCACAATTTGCTCCTTTTCCAGGCCTGCAGAATTATGTCCCCATCGCACCAGGAATTATGGCATTAGCATACTTTCCTCCATCTGTCCAAAGTACTTTAAAAACAAAACTCAACTTGATCCCGTTTCTCAGTCCTTTTATCAATATACAATTTTAAAAATAGCATTAAAGAGCTATTCAGGGGCCTGAAAGCGATCGCCAAACATGATGTGTATGAAACACTGAATAATATGCACATATTGCTTGCTGGGGGAGGTCAGCTGGTGAGCTTCATGGCTCTGGAGTGTCTTGAACCCATCCCTTGCTTGATACTCTAATGCAGGCATAGGCAAACTCTGCCCTCCAGATGTTTTGGGACTACAACTCCCATCATCCCTGACCACTGGTCCTGTTAGCTAGGGATGATGGGAGTTGAAGTCCCAAAACATTTGGAGAGCCAAGTTTGCATATGCCTGCTCTAATGTCTACACTTGACTACAGTGCACAGTTGCACTTCCCACTGTAGTTTGGTGCTTCCCTATAACAGTATTTCCCCCTTAAATCAGCCTGGGCAAATATTCACAGGAAAAGTGGCAGAAGTAGCTCACTTCATGCTACAGATGAGGGCAGCTGGAAGTGGTATGGAAAAAGATGCAAAGCACTCAAGTAAATGTATAACTTTTAATAGCCACCAAAAGTTTGCCATGGGCAATGTACCAAAATAAGGAGAAAAAACAAGATGGAATTGCAATGCATACATTAAGACCTAAATGTCGACAAGGCCCCAAAGCCTCAGGTGCCAGTAGGCATTTTTCTCTCTGCTGTCAGTGGTTTTCCTGTTTTAAATGTTACACTGCTATAGGACAAAGATAAAGAGCTAATAATGAGCTGGACCAATATTCTACCTAGATCACTTGTGCCAATTCCGACGGAGTCTTTACAAGCCAACTACCTGAGGTCTTTTAAGCAAGAATGCCAGTGGTGGCTCTTCACTGGACTAAAAATCTTCCCAATGGATATTGTAAATATATAGATGTAGGGTTCACACACACACAATTAAAGCAGTTAGAATTACATCTGATTATATTCTCTTTCTTTTTTTCCATTATTTCATTCATTCACTATATGCATAGAACAGCAGTGGACTGGAGACAGGGAAAGAATCATCAGAAGGAAAATTTCAAAATGTACATGGCAGCCCTTGATTACTTAAAAAAAAAAAACAAACCATGAGAAGCTTCTCAGTCTACAAATCTCTGACAGCAAAGTCATGCTGTAAGTAAAACAGCAAAGAGCTCTCAGGCAGGTTAGGGATTTTTTTTAATAAGAAAAAAAACCCCTGTAGATGATCCAGCAAAGTGTCTTGTTTAGAATGCCTGCTGCAGAGAATGTGTGTTTCTTTAGTTTTATTAAGATTTACAATGGAGTACTCCATAGCAATTAATCACTTTAATGACACCCTATCGACAAACATATACAGCTGGCACCCTATAAAGATCAATTTTATTTTATATGCTAATGCAGTGGCACTCATTAGTGATAAAACAATTAACGGTGCTGCTTGCAAACAGCTCACTAGCATTTTAGTAGCACACAGAAATGGCCAATATGTTATAATTCTTAAATCTAGTTAAGGATAACATAATTAGTTGCCTATGTTTGTTGTCAGGCAAAAAGAGACTTCATTGCTAAGAGATTTAAAACCAAGGGGACTATTGTCTACATGCCAGGCCATTCCGTTAAACAATGTTTTTTTTAAAGAAACCTGCCAACTGTTGATCTGGAGCATTAGTGTCTAATCAAATGCTTGCATGGACATGGATGTTGCTCTATGGTATTGTATCTGTGCTGGCAGGCTATCCATGTATGCAACAGGCAGCAGCCACCAGAAAGGAGGAGGCAAAGTAACCCACGCCATAGTAATCTATGGACCATCTCTCTGCCAGTGGAGCTTCATGTCCCATCAGAACATTACACAATGTTTTATTCCATTTACAGTTGAGAATGTGGAAGCCCTTTAGCTGCAATGAAACTGTGCTATCTGCACTGGAGTTCCCATATGGTCTTTGAAGCAGCTGCATCACAGCAAGCAAAACAGAGCTGCTTTGTCGTATGCAGGGATGGAATCAAAGTCACTCCAACCAGAAACCTGCTGTAAACATGATTATGAGACAATCAAGTAATTTGTTCTACTTAGAACGAAAACCAAAAACTTAGTTAAGGAGGAGGCACTGAAGTTACGTCTAAAACATACCAAGTTCCCCTGCAGCTTTGATGTCTATGTTGTCATAACCGCTGCCTATTCGAACAATGACTCGTAAGGCCTTGAACTTCTCTAGGTCTTCCCGGGTGAGAGTGATAGTGTGGTACATCATTGCTCCAATGGCTTCATTTAAAACCTAACAGACACACACAAAAAAGAAGGAAATAATAGACATTAGTGAAGCAGATGGACGTGTTCCGGTAACAGCTGTTGAAGTCCGGTGATGAGTCATGCACAAATATCTAGCAAGGCACTTGGTTCAATCTGATTAAGTGGTTAAAGACTCCCAAGTAATAATGAAAACCCTAAAGAACTCCAGAATAAATGTGTGTAGCTCTCACTATGTGTGTGTACATGTGTGCAAGTATGTATGTATGAAATTTTGCCCCAAAGGATCAGTCTTCATTTGAGGTCAAGAGGCTTAAACTCTGGAAGAACTTAGGTGGAATAGGGCCACTGCCCAAACTAGAATCATAAGCAGTGAGAATCTGCGTGTGCTTTGTGCTCTTTTGTCTGGTGTCAAAAATAGAAATACATCACTGCTTCCCTCTGAATGCCTCTGTCTCTGGATAATCTTTCAGTTCTAGAAATATTTTGCATTAGATCCTGGATTGTATTGAGTGTACTACATGCCCCCATGTAGTCCCATGATAATACTCAATCAAAATAATACTCAACAATATCTAGATCTTTGCATATCTAAACACTCTCAAATCCCTGTGATGTAGGCTACTTCTCTTTCAACAACAGTAATTTAAATGGTAGAAAAGGAAGTGTGACTTCTCCAAACGGTCAGTGCAACTGGCCCCCCAGCTCAACCCATCACTAACTACCTCCTGTTCTCTTTCTCAGCTGGAAGTTTATTTTAGCCTCTACACTATCCCTTAGGATATCAGAAAATCCACAAATATATATTACTGGGTGATGAAAGGACTGATTTCCCCCCTAGATCAAGTAAATATGGGACTTCCTGGAGGCATTTGCAGTCCCTTTCTCTAGCCCCCAGAATGCACCCTACATATACGGGCTCTGAACTGAACATGCGGGAGACAAAGATGAAACTGTTCTGGACATAAGCTAGATCACAAAATACTTCTCACTTTGGATACTCACTAGTTGACTAGAATTCTGCAGCCCATGAGGCTGCCCTGCTTGTCTATGGTACTTACTGACAGAGAGTTGCATCCAATGCTAGTCCTAATCAAAGTAGACCAAATTAAAATAATACACATGACCAACTTAGGTCAATTAATTTCAATGGGTCCAATCTGCGTATAACTTAGTTGGATACAACTCAAATACAGCAGAACTTCTGGATTAATACACATGACCATCATACAATGTAGTTAATGAAAGAAAGGCGCTTGATAGAGGTAATTTTTATCACACACTACCAATCTTCACTGATGCAAGGGGTGGTGAAATACCCCTACACTTTTTAAAAAAGAGAAAATTGAAAAATCCACTTGATAGTTGGTCATCTGCTTCTAGCCTATGTTAGCTAGATATTTGTTACTGAGCACTCCTGAATATTGAGGTAATATGTGTCACTTTATATTAACTGCAGTTCTATATTGTCAGGGGTTCAGGGAGAGAGGCACAGGGTAGGCAGGAGATGGAGAGCGATGGGGATGAATCCCAAGCCAGCGAGGAAGAGGATGACAATGACTCAAGAGATTCCATGAGTCTTTCCAGCGAATCAGAGGATTCCCAGAAGGGGCGCCGGTGGTCAAGGCCAGGAGCCCCAGGGGGGACGTGTCAGGAGCAGGGGGCCAGCGGAGGATCCCAAAGTGGCAGCTGGGCGTCAGGACCAGCCTCCCCACCAGAGTGCAGCGAAGGGGGTGGAGTTTCCAGTGTATCAGGGGAAGCAGCTCCGGCAGCAGAGAAGGGAGGGAGGTCAGAGCAAGCCACCCTCCCGGAAGGGGAGGGGAGCAGTGAAGGGAGTAGTGTAACTGTCAAAAGGAAAGTTAGAGGTTTGGCGCGCGCGCCAAGTTCAAATGTAGAGGCGCGCGGAAGTACAGGGAGCCCGGAGGAGGGGCCAGGTCCCAAAGCCCGCAGGAGGGGGGAAGAGCAGTCTGATTCCGCGTCAGAGGAATCCAGGAGGGGCGAAACCCCAGCGGGCAGAAGGACCCTGCGGAAAAGGAAAGAGAGAAAGAGGTGGAGCAGCGCAAGCCTCTTAAATTGGTGCAGGGGAGGGACGGATTCAGAGGGGACTTCAGCGGTCTAAGCGTAGCAGACGTAGGGCTGCGCGCCTAGGATGTCAAGCAAACAATGAACTGCAATAAACACTTTTGTATATAAGAAGACACAGGCGTTGGTCTTTTGTGAGCTGAGACTTGAGGCAGCCCTGACATATATATTTCAGCGTTTTATTATAAACCAGATGCCATGAACTGTCCTCCTGAATGGTATTGTATTCAACCAAAATCCAGATCATTTCATTCCCAGCTGGTTGCTAGTATACTGAATGCTGAGTTGGGCTCTTCCATAAGCTGAGCAAAAGCCACCACCAAGCCACAAATGTGCTCTCTCAGTGCCTAGTGGATGAGCTACTATGACAATAACACGAGCTGATGAAAACTGAGAAAAGAGAAGGCAGGATTTGTATTTGGGAGATGGTTATAATCTAATTTTAAAGGGAAGTATGATAAAGGAAATACGAAGTTTCCAGACAGTGGTTAAGAGGGGGAGGAGAAAGAGATAAAACAACAGCCTCTGACATCCAATTGGCCTCATGTGACTGGATACTACAGATCAGAAGGCCCTACATGCCCCAACGGGATTTACACTCTAATGCACAGATTTATACTGTCTGCCAGAGAGTCACTAAGAGTAAAGTTATATTCACCCTCATTATTCCGTACTCAGTGTAAACACAGCATGAAAACAGAAAACAGAAAAAGCTTTGAACAGGCAACATGCTTAAGATACCTTGGATACAGCTCTACATTTGTATTGACCAGGCTATTTACTGCTGATTATTTAAACTAGCACTGAAGGCTGCCCTACCAAGGGATAATTCCTTAGGTCAGGAGCATTATAAGGACAGACTGAGCGATGAATGACAGTAAGCCTTCTAAGGATTTGCCTGCCACCTCCACCCCGTCATTTCTGATCTTGTCATTCTCCCCTCTCCTCCTCCCCTTTATCTTCATTTCTAGGAGACTTAGGTTTCAAGCCTTCTGCTCACCCAGAAGTATCTCTTTCTACATGGCATTCAGGGTGAACAACTTTTCAGGTCAACCCTTCTTTGTGCAAAGATATCCATTGATATGTTGTATTTTTTATTGTACACCACTGCAGCATTTTGTAGTGTTTAGAGGTTTATAAATAATCCAAAACAAACATACATAGTGTTCTGGAACAAAGATATCATACAGAATTGTTCATTACACTCCTAAGATCCATTTTTTTCAGAGAATTTTGAATCCTGGAAGACCTGCTTCCTGCCTTTCAGGCCTTTTCCACCTGACCTGGGAGGGTGGGGCCCTGATTGACTCCAACTACAAAAGCTGAGCCTGCTGAACAGGCTGGGGTATTGTTTAGGGAGTTCTGTTGAGGGGGATGGGTTGTTACTGCTATTGATATTAATTTTTGTATCTTTATTTGATAGCTTACGGTTTATGTGGAAATTGTTTAATTTGGTTGTTTACTTTTGATGTTTTATTTATTGTTTAGAACTAATTTAGTTATGCTTGTAATTATGTAATTTCCTTCATGTTGCAAGCTGCCTTGAGCATGTCTGAACTATGGAAAGGGGGTATAAAAATAAATTTATGTATACTTGTGGGAAGGAAAAGAGTAGTACAAGAAAGAAAGACTAGGATGACGGGGATTCCCAAAGCCAGTAATCTTGGCCAGTGGAGAGAGGAAGATGGAGAAGAAGGAGGAACAGGAGTCTTGGAGCACATTTGCAAAGCTAAGCAGGGCCCAGTGTGGTTTCAACTGGATGGGGGACTGTGTGCAGGAGATTCCTGCACTGTGGGGGGTTGGGCTAGATGACTCTTGGAATCTCTTCCAACTCTACAATTCTATGAATCAGACATATGTATTCCTGTCTCAATAAAATGAGAAATAGATAAGGGGTGATATCCAACATCACGTGAACAGATTTTGGTTCCTGCAGCAGGAACTCCCTGCCTCTTTTCTCTCCTATAGCATCCCACACACGTTCCAAAACTGCTCAAGAGGGTTGAGACTCCTTCTGAATCAGATTTCTGGGGGATATGAAGGCTGCAAGGGGGGTGAGAGGAAGGCAAGTCCCATTGCATGAGCAGAAGTCATCCACTCATGGATGGACACAATTTGATATTATCTTTTGAGAAGTGAATGCCAAATTCTACAGGTTTTATATTATGTGCTCAGTAAAACTACTAATACAGGAAATAGAAACAGCTTTTACAAGTCGAGGTAAGGATCCACCACATCGTAATGATCTAAACAGGCTGTAAGTGGCATTCTGCAACCTTTTTTTTTTTTTGTTAGTCTATTTATTTATTGAAATGATTTTTATGCCAGTTTGCAGTTCCGAAAAAGATTTTTAAAATTCTAAGCACTTTGCAACCTATCTTAAAACGTCAAATGGATTTTGCTGCATCTGAAGCACCAAAGTAACCTCTCACAAGGCACAAGCCTGGCAGTGTGAACTGGAGGTCTTGGGCTGCCCGGATAACAAGACTCCCCTTTGGGCCACACTGATGTGGTCCGAAGGAAAGGAAAGCAACACATTTGGCACCAGCTTGGCTGCAGGAGTTGCTGGAAGGAGGTATTCAAGACACCATCCAATCACCTTAGGGACTCCACTACGAATTTGTGTAGGGTTTAATCCTTAACTTTTTCTCCCTGAAGATGTCCTGTAAGGCAGTGGATATGGATTGCTCCTCAGGGTTTACTTCCAAAGCCTTTCTCACAAGTGAGTATATCTGCTTTCCCATCTGCCCCTCATTTCCCTCTACAGCATGTGCAGAAACTGTCTTTTTGACAGTTGGACCCACGTCTGCTCAATCCGCCTTGCATGCAGGGGTTTTGAGATCCATTGGCTACCTTCACCTGGTTTAGCTGGCCAGTCAATGCCATTTCTGGGGTGTGCCCACTGTTGCAAGCCAACAGCTTCTAGGAGCCACAGACAAGAGCTCAGTGCAGGGGGAAGACTTCTGGCAGAAAAGGAGCATGATGTGTCCCCCAACAGATACTGCCTCTCCCATGGCACCTCATACACTCCACACAAAATCTCAAAATAAAACATTTCAGATAAAGGCTAAAAACAAAAATACAATAAAGGAAAACAAAATATTCCCTGAAAAGATAAAACAAAAACACTGCAAACAAAAATATAATACAAAGATGTAATAGAAACTTCACATATAGAGTACAATTAGCAATGAAGCAGAGTAACTTGTGTAACTTACAGAGTAAGCAGAGAAGCTGTGGATGTCCTTGAATTAAAAACCTAAAGGAAGCGCTGTTCCCAAATATATTCAGGATGACATTGTTGCTACCTTAAGGCCAAACAAGATGTTTCACACACAAAAATTAAAAATGTTCTGCTGATACTCCCCCCTTTTAAAACCAAAAGCACACACACACATGTGGAAATCTGTGAGGAGGAGAGGACTAGCAGGGGACCAGTGTTTTTTTTGGGGGGGGACAACCCTAGTGCGTTGCTTTTCTGTTCCTAATCTCCCTCTCCCAAAGCTAGTTTAAAAGGGACTGTTTGAAGAAGGATCCATGTGCGTACATATAGTATCTAGTTTGGACCTTAGCTTGCCTTTTCAAGCTGCATATTTTGACACTTTTGACAAGGCTTCATTTCTATTACTTCAGTCATTTACCCGCTCTACCTCATGGGGTCCCTAGCCAATCCAGGTTCAAAAGGTTACTGAAAGACAGTTATCTAATGTTTACATGAAATCCAAGTATGTTTGATCTTTTATACATTAATTCCTTTGCTTTCGCCTATTGATTTTGTATCATTTAAGAAAATCAATCGGGGCAGAATAGCTAAATCTGTTCTTCATGAACACACACTGTTTGCAAGTACACTGAACACAACGAACACAGCACCTGGACCAGGCAGATTGTTTACATTAACCTTTTCCCCTCTTACCCACCTATTTTAAAGCCTATCTAACAAGATCAGTCAATTTTTGAATCCAAGAGATTGATTTTGCCTAAGCAACCAACATGGTCATAAAATCCAAGACAGGTGCCATCAAAGAAACTTTAGCTCAGGAATTCACATTTCAGGTGTATCCACTGTTAGTTCTGTTAATCAAAAGAGCAACAGCAATACAAAGAGGAAAAGACAGAGTAAACCAACAAACACACACAATTACAAATTCGGTCTCCAAGACACCTCTTGTAATCCAAAACTGCTTTATTACAAAATTTAGTCATTTTTACTCTATAAAGCAGTGTACAGGTAAGGGGAACTGAACTTGAAATGGATTCAAAACTAGACAGCCATACTCTCCCTCATTAGGTCGGTCTACAAAACCTTTTTTTTACCTTTTCGTGGATTTCCTGAGTTGATTGCGCATCACAGAATGCAACAGTAGCCAAGTCCTTCAAAATTGGCATCTCCACTGTACAATCCCTTCCATCTAGTAAAGCCACCAATGGACGAGGATGCATAGGGCCATTCATTATTTGCGGGCGAATACCTGGAACCAAATGGAGCATAAGTGTTAAACCAACTTAATAGTACCCCTGATTGCCACATGGGTTTATCTGAAACTGTAGTAAGCAGTATTGGCTTTATAAAAGGATCAGGATGCTACCTGAGAAGGTATTCCGAGCTTAACTTCCGGTTTCTTTATTGTACCTCTACCTGAATCAACATTTGGACAGTTTGCAGTGCAATCTTATACGTGGTGCTTCCATGTACAGGAGGTCAACCTTGGGGTTTACATGGAGCCAGTAGAGGTTTGGTATATTAGGGCAAATGGCACACTGCCTCAACCAGCCTCAGCCTGCCCTGCCCCTCCACTTGCATTCTTACTTATAATCAGTCCAGGGAAAGTAGACTTTGCCTACTGTTGGATCTCCCTGCCTTCTGCAGTCTGACCACCAGTCACAACTGCATGGAGCTCTTTATATTTACCACCCAGGCACTGAGCCCAACTAGCATCAACAATGCTACAGTTTCAGGTACTCCCAAAACACAGATTGTAGTGTAACATCCCCTTGTTTCTAAGGGGAGGAAAAACAAAGGACCCCTAGAAAAATGGAGAGCAAAGTGGAACAGACACCTCTTTATTCCCAGAGGAGATGAGTGACCAGGTCCTTTAAATGGGACAAAGGCTATATTCTAACCCAAAATATCATTAAACACAACATCTAAAACACCACCATCACCAAGTAGACAGCAATCTGATTTCACACAACTCTGTGAAGAAATGAAGCCCAGTGGCTTTGAGGTATTATTTGATTCAAAATGCACCACATTACTTCCCTATTATTTTACTTGAGGAATTTTGGTTGGGCCTACCGCATGGGATGCTGTTTCTGAAGCAGAGAAGAGGTTTCATAAACAGTTCATAAACAGTTTTTGAGGTAGCATGAGGGTTTGCTGTTGCAAGGAAAGGGAAAAACACCAACAACAGCAACAGCGAGAATCCTGCGGGGGAGGGGGTTATAAGCCAGAGCTTACCTCAATACCTCTTTGGGCCTCAGCTTGAGGCATGCATTGTACTTTTTAGATGTGGCCCACAAACCGCAATGAGTACCGACATTCAGAGCACACTTCTCAACATGCACACAAACAGCTGGGGCTCTGTGTGATATAGGCCAGTAACTTCAAACAGTAAAAGCCACTTTTGAAAGTGCTGCCCTGAGGGATGCTTTTCTGACAAAGTAACTTAGCGTTATCTTACTAGTTTTTTTCTCTCTTAAAGACTCAGGGCCACAGTTCAGTTACAACACATGCTATTGAATTCTCTGCAACTCTATCTAAGTACTCAAATACGTCATTAATTGCTTTAGAATTACCTCCCTGCTAAGCCTGGGACTTCCTAAATTTTCATAGAAGAGTGATTTAAGATTACTCCCTTTATAAAACACTGGATTGTTTAAAATCACCCTCTTTGATTTTCCTGTGCTAAAGTAAAAAAAGAGAGAGAGAGAGAGTATTTATAGAATGAAATCCATGAATGGTTTAAGTTAATAGGGAAGTTATAAATACATAACAAGCTATGTCATGCAATCCTACAAGTCATCAAAATGTTAAGACAAATACTAACTGAATTTCCTGTTCTATTAAAACAAATTGCTACATTTATATGTAAATACGTAAGCCTCTTATGCTTCCCTGATTGTTTTAAAGTACAGAGAAGTGATACCTCAGACCAGGGCAAGGGGAACCTGTGGCCTTCAAGTATCATTGGAGTCCAACTAGCATATCTAATGGTCAGAAATGGTGAGAGCTCTAGTCCAACAGCATTTGGAGGGACCAAGTTCTCTACTTGTGCATTAGATAGATATTAAAGATGTTCTTAGAGTCACTGTGAAAATGCCCGGAAACTCGCAACTGCAGCCTCCTGAGTTGTTTTCGCTGTGTTAGCAGCCCTGAAGAGACCTCTCCAGGATGCAAGCCTGAGCAGTGGGTATGGAAGTTCTGGGCTGCCCCATGAATTAAAGGCTAAAACGGAGATCCTTGGCTTGCAGCATTTGAGACAGCACCCCAGCATCTAACTCATAGCTGTCAACGTTTCCCTTATTAAAGGGAAATTCCCTTATTCAGAATAGGATTCCTTGCAAGAAAAGGGAAAAGTGGACAGCTATGATCTAACTGAGTTGGACAGAATGCCAAATGAAGACCAAATAAACACTTGTGCCCAGAAAAGGGCAACATCTAAGGTAAAGAGCAACAAAACTGATGCCAAAGAAAAAAGAATACTGCATTTGTGCTTCTATTTAGGGTGCTATGTAATAGATATCATATTAGCTCAATATATAGCATATGGATGTTGACAGGAAAAACAAGGACAATATGCCGGATCACAGAGTGGTCTTAAGTGAAATGAGTTTTAATTAACCTGTGTAACGTTTCAGGAGTACAGGATGATCCACACATAGAACAAATGAGAATCCTGTCTTGGATGCAGGGCTTACAATGGGTATCTGTGCCACCCCCTAGACGCCCCAACTGCCTTCCAGGGCTGCTGGCCAATTTGACTGAGAGGGAGATATTTGGAAAGTGGTAGCAAGGGGTTCACAGGTGTGGAAAGTAGCAGAGTAAAATGGAGGTAAAAGGGAGCAGACAGGTGCTTATGGCACTGAAATGCATTGGAGTGGCTTTTGAGAAGTTATGGCTTGAGGATTTAAGGAGAAATTTAACCCAGCTCTTGCCTTGTGCATTTAGTATACCTGAAGAAGCCTCTCCAGCCACATTGTTCAGCCCAGACACTGAGGTCCAGTTCTGAGGGCCTTCTGACCAGAGCCATCTTAAGCATATCCAGCGCTGTGGTGCAAAGATCCCTCCGGCGCACCGCCCCCCTCCCCCGTTTCCCAGAGTTGTCAACCTTTTTTAGGAAAGGTTCCCCAGAGTTGTTGACCTTTTTTGGGAGCTGACACCACACTTACATATTATCTCTAACAAGCCCTTAAAACAAAATAAAATGAAAAGGCAGAAGAAAATATAATGAAGTCCTCAATTCCAAAGCAAGACTCGTTCAAGACTCAGCAGTTCTTCTAATTCATCCTCATGATTCAAATCACCACATATCAAAAAGTTAAAGCAATCACCAGTTTGTTGTTCTTTAAATAAATTAATAAAGACACAAACAATGAAGTTCCCGGCCAATTTATATTTAAGTACAAAGCCGTTTTCGAATATTGTGGGGGGTGGGGTGGGGGTGGGTGTAAAGCAGTGACATCCTGAACCTAAAAAGGACCCAAAACCTGGGTCACAAAGGCTGCAGCTCTAACTGCACTTACCTGAGAGTAAGCCCTGCTGAATCAAATAGGACCTTACTTCTGAGTAGACAGTAGGACTGCAGCAAGAAACACAGTTGGGAATTAGGGCTTTCTGTTTTAAGTCTCAGCCAGAGGAAAATGTAATATTGGAGATTAGGGAGAAAGGAATATGAATAGATTGGGGGGAGGGGGCTGACAAGAGACCAAAAACCACAGGTAGCAAGACAAGACACACTTTCTGGGGAGCAAGTCTCACACACAGTTGTTTGGGGCGAGGACTGCAGAGGGACCACAGTTGGGTTGTGCGTGTGTTTTTCATAAAAAGGTAGAATTGGAAGGGACCCTGCGGGTCATCTAGCCGAACCCCCTGCAATGCTTTTTAGCTTGCATTGATCTCAAAAACCTTCAGTGCCTTTTTTTTTAGTTGGATAGGCAATTAACAGGCTTGTTTCACAAATAAGGGAGAAGGAGGGTTGCTGGCTTGGTTTGCCTTTGTTCTAGTTTTTAGCATGTGCTTAGTACCCTAGTTTCAGGCTGTGAGCCACCCTGATATCTATGGGTGGAGGGTAGTAGTAGTAGTAGCAGTAGTAGTAGTAATGGTGATTATATTTTTCGCAAGGCTTGGAGTGGGTGATGGCCAGCTGGTGGAATGAATGGGGTCACTGCTAAATGGTCTGGCTTGCTTTACAACCCCTAGAGACCTTGTTGGTGGGGGTGGGGTGGGTGGAGAAGGAGCCCACCCACGAAGAAGAGCGAAGGGAGGCTTCCCTTCCCCCGCATCTGCGCATGTGCGGGTTGCGATTCGCCACTTCTGTGCACGCGTGTGGCGTCATTTTGAGCATCTGCGCATGCGGCGAAACCCGGAAGTAACCCTTTCCGGTACTTCCAGGTCGCCGCGGGACGCAACCTGAAAAGATTTAACCTGAAGCAAACGTAACAAGAGGTATGACTGTGATGCATCTTCCAGCCTTGTATCCAGATGGAAGTGCAACTGTGTCACAGTATGCATGGCCGAGTGCTGAGATGATTTGGATAAGTGAAAGAAGCTTGCCCTAAGCAGATAACCAGGATAAAAGGGGGGAGTGGTCACATAAAACTGGAAGGCTTACAATCCAGAGCTGAATGGCTACGCTTTGTCCCGACTAACCTTTCTTCCTAGTTGAATAAAGCACTCTGACTGTACTTTGACTCTGGTGCGTAGTCTCCAGGATTGAGAATATCACTTAATGACAGCCTCGCCTTGTTACTGTCAAAGGCAGAATGGGGAAGCAAATCAGAGGATAATTGAAGCTAGATTCCTTACCAGGACAATGGCTTCAGACTGAGGCTGCCAGTTTATACACTGTGTATCACTTCCTATGTTCCTCAATAATTTGTAATCAGAGCTTAGTTCCTTAGGAAAGCAGGAAACATTTACTAGCAACAATACAGTTAGGGTCGGTGCCTGCTTCTTGAAACCATAAAATGCCAAGCACCAAAGGCAGTTATCTCAAATTTTATTGCCCAATTAAATAAGTGATTTTAAGCAAGGCAAGAGAAATATAACCTTCTTTCCTATAGCAGGTTTGAGAGCGCTGATGACCTAAGCTTTTTAAACAATGCCAAGCCCCTGCATTGATTTTTTTTAAAAAAAGACTAAAGATAAACATTAGTGGGAAATGTGACTAAAATATTTAAGAAAGATTTCTCCCTCTTACTTTCCAGCTTAGAGCAACTGGATGAAATCAATTACTTCAACTTGACAGAAACAAAACTTTGGAACGGGAGCAATAGGAGAACAGGATGTGCCAGTAATTGCTTTTCAGTACAGAGCATGAACTGATTGCAGCCCCCAAAACCATGCAACACAACGTTAAGACCCCCAGCCCTAACAGTATGATTAAAATAGCTGACCTCTTGCCATACCTTCCCTGCAAACACAGATATACAAGCTCTAGTTATACCAATCTTTAAAAGATATAAATGATAGTTTGAAGGCTTTCATGCCTGTAAATACTGTATCAAAACCTAAGCCCAGGGGTTAGAATTGCGGGGGGGGAGCAAATGAATAGTTTCAAATATATATGAAGTGCACCATGGTTGCTCCTATAGCAAATGCTTCATTGATAACACAAAGGACCAAAAACAAATTACTTCATCTTCTAAGTAGAAATGCTTAAATCAGGGAGCAATTAAAAAAGGTAGGAAGCCACTCTTTCTTCTATCACCTTTGTTTATATTGTGAAACCATGCATCTTGCTTCTGCAACCATCATTTTAGACCATATTTGTCTGGGACATGAATCAAAGAAAGTGCAGCATTTTAGAAAGTAAAACAATGAGAGATGATAAACTACATGTTTTTGTATGTACAGAAAGCAAATCAGAGAAAGGGCCAGAGGAATAAAAGCCTACCATTCTATTCAACAGGAACTAAGTGCCAATAAAGAAGGGTGTGTACAATAGGAAGGAAACCGAATCCAATTTTCTGACCAGAATATCAACAAGGTGCCCCAGAACTGTTTTCAAAATTAAGATTGTCTGTTTTCTCTTTCCAAAGCTTTCAAATATCAAGCCAGTTGTCAGAAGCATTGTTCAATAAATATTTTCTGGCTTTTTCAGCTCTCTGTGGAGTTTAGCCAATGTTTCAGTGGAGAGCTTTTAAGGAAGGAGGGGGGTAGGGCTTTCTATGTACACTGAGATCTCAAAACTACTCCATCCCACTCACAAGCTGCACAGCTTGTTGCACCCAGCTCAATGTATAAAGTGCTTTTGTTGCATTTTTAAAAAATACACAAAGCCTGCTTGTCCTCTTTTGCAGCTCCTCCCCATTGCCACCCACTTGTATCCGATTCCAATGGCACCCCTGCCAAGAGAATTAGGGAGGACTCCCTGGTAAATGGCAGCCTTTGTGTGGCTGCAAGACGGCTGGTACTGTCTCACCGAAACAAAAGCAGAAGAAGCCATTTGCCTAATTCTTATTAATCTCACTTGCCTACGCCACACAGCTTCATCTTCGTCGCCGTCTTCTTCTTTTTAAAAAAACGGAAAGGATTTAAACATCTTCTCCAGCAGTATATAAAAAGTGCATCAAGAAGCAAGCCAAGCGTTGCCTTGAATTGCTCGCTTGTAACAAAAGTCGCTGCAGTTCTTAAAAGTCAATGGCACACTTTATTAAACAAACAGGAAAGAAAAACAGGAAATTTCCCCTTGCCTTGAAAACGTTGCCTCCACATTCTTCGTCTTATTAAAAAATGCACATGGTAGAGAGGAGGAGGAGGAGGAGTAGAAGGAGGAGAAATAAAAGCATAAGAGAGGGAAAGGGAGGGGGAGAAAAAGTATAAGATACTACACTACTGTTCGGTGTGCCGACTCTCCTCTCGCCTACAAGGGGGTATCTTCAAACAAGCATCCCCACGGCCACAGCTGCAAAGTCTCGAGACAAATGTCTCTTTGAACACGGGAAGCAAAAGAAAAGGCTTTTGTCCTGCTACAGAAGAATAGTCTGAAATTGCTAGAGGAGTTCTAGTCACCTCTCTACGGCTCCCAACTCTTTCGAACACTCCCTCCAGACCTTACTGCTGCTTTTAACTAATCAAAGTTTGTCGTCCCCCCTCCCAACTCCCCCGGCAGCCCTTGAATGAAATTACGTGTGTGCCGGTCAAAATAATAACAGTAAGTAAACTTTACACTGTGCACTCTGAATTGTTTGTACATGTCACCCTCTCCCTTCCCCCAAATAACTGACTTGTACATTTGCCTCACTTTCCTAGTTATCTCAAAAACATATTTAATCTGTGCCACGCCCCGTTATTTCACAACTTAAAGTGAAACGTGATCTGTTAACGTAGGCTATGTATTTGGGTGTATGCCTTTGGCTGCAGCAGAAACAGCAGCCACCAAAAGGAGTTTAGATAGATGCCCCCACCCTTCAGGCCACACACAAAGGCTTTGCCAGACACCTGCTGCCACTCATGTGACATATTTTGCAAGTAACCACACAGATGCTCAAGTTAGCAGGACTAACATGCCAGCTAAGTATCTAGGAACAGGGACTGGGTCTAGTACTGCAACATCAGTATCTGTCTGCTGGGAACTGAGCTATAAGGGGAACCAACAGTGTCCAATACATTTTCACAGTTTTAAAAAGTAAGTTGGGGAGAGCTGTTGAGGAAACCATAAGGCTTTATCCAGATGGCCATAAGTTAAGAGGCTAAACCTGAAGGGCAGGAAGAAATCTGGGGGAGAAAAATACTACACTGTATGGGATCTTGCGCGGGACGCGGGTGGCGCTGTGGGTAAAAGCCTCAGCGCCTAGGGCTTGCCGATCGAAAGGTCGGCGGTTCGAATCCCCGCGGCGGGGTGCGCTCCCGTTGCTCGGTCCCAGCACCTGCCAACCTAGCAGTTCGAAAGCACCCCCGGGTGCAAGTAGATAAATAGAGACCGCTTACTAGTGGGAAGGTAAACGGCGTTTTCGTGTGCTGCGCTGGCTCGCCAGATGCAGCTTGTCACGCTGGCCACGTGACCCGGAAGTGTCTCCGGACAGCGCTGGCCCCCGGCCTCTTGAGTGAGATGGGCGCACAACCCTAGAGTCTGCCAAGACTGGCCCGTACGGGCAGGGGTACCTTTACCTTTACCTTTTTATGGGATCTTGCACAATGATATCCAAGCACTCTCTTAATAAGAATTAAGCAAAACATACTCATAATTTTTAAAAGGTATTATGGAATTCATAGAGGTGAGATGAAACGGTTAAAAATAATGGGAAAGGTTTATGTTGCACAAAACTTAGTGATTAACCCAGAGGTTTGAAAGTGGTTCTGATACCTCCACAAAAAGACAGTCAGTGGTCTTGGATGAAGAATCTGTCTTATAGAAGAAGCCACTTTCATGTAAGGCATGTGAAAAGCCACATGTGAAATGGAATGGGCAGGTGCTGAGAGTCTGCTCTTACTTGAACCAGACTAGAAGGGAAAATTACAAAGGATGCAAGAAAGGTATCAGAATACAAGCTGGATTGTCAATACATTGCAAACACTTATGCATAACCTTCCACTGAAAGCAACTGTAATTCTAAGTGGTTAGCTTTAACTAGCTTGTGCCTAAATGTATAGATAACTATGCCATCTGCTGTGATGTAAATGAATTTTGAAGTTTAAAATTGCTTACATCTGTAGTGTCTTTAAATGCCACGTTGCCTATAGTACAGTCTGTAAATGTGTCTAGATCATGCAATCAGGTGTTGCTGGAAGGATTTCAGTTGCTAAGTCCCACTGATGTGCACAAGGCACCTGGAAGAGTTTGGTCAACCCACCCACCTGCTCATCTAGTATGGCAGGGCTGACCACCAGAGTCCAGGAGTAACCATTTCTGAAGAGCTTGAAGGAGACCTCTGCTAAGGAAGATTGTTCTATCAGCTGGTCAATCACTAATATATCCTTCTTGGACAAGGTGCCTAAGTAGATAGGAACTCTGAGATAACACATAATCTGGATTCCTATCAGTACAGCTTCAGAACTAGGTTTAGCATGGACTGGGTTTGGTCACAAGATAACCTTTGCCAGAAGAATGACTCTGCTGGTTTTCCTGGCTCTCCCAGCAGCCTTTGTAACCACTTATCACAGTATCCTGCAGAGTAACCTTGTGGAGTGGCTATCTGGGATGGGGAACAGGCATTCTGTGTTCCAGTGGTTCCACTCCTCATTGGCCTGCTGTTTCCAGGATTTGTGATGGAAGTCTACTGCCGCCATAGCCATTATATTATAGTGCACCACAGGGCTCTTATTTTGTCTCCAGCACTATTTAACATTTACACAAAACTGTTGAGTGATGTCATGAATATCATCCGGGGTGTACAAAATGTTTGGACAAATCCTGAATCTAAGTGGGGCTGTCGCAGACAAATTAGAAGCTTGCCTGACTAAAAACAGGTCACACCAAACTAAAGAGAGGACATCTGAAGCACTTTTGAGGTGCTCTGCAGATTCCAGTGTTTTTTTTAAAAAACTGAGCAGACCACATGTCTGCAAAATTTGAAACACTTCGCCCCAAGTATGTAATATAAGAATAATGTTGGGGTGGGGAGAGGAAGAGCTCCTTTGTGACTAATCAGAGGGAATAATTTTGCCAAGACTTTGGGGAAAGGATGTTGAGGTACTGTGCCACTTTGCTACTTCTGTTTCTAGAAAATGTTGGGCATCCTCATCATTCTGCCTCAGTGCCCCATGCCCACAGATCCATTCCTGTGGAATCAGCTTTGCACTTTGTTCTTGTGACATTTGGTGCCAAATGAAAATAACACAAGACTGAAGCTGTCTTCCCCCCCAAACATTCATCCCCCCTGCCATACCTGCACTTTACCTTCCTAGAGGTAATGCATGCTTATTTTCATAATGAAATTGCTGTCCACAAAACCACAGGGAGAGAAGCAAATCCCTTTTAGTTCAACCCCAATAAGAACTTAAAGGAGCCTAGTATCAAAATCCCTGCCCATTTGTCTACAATTAGGCAGGTTTTTTATCTGGGGGTACTTCTCTCATGTATGCTATTTTCAAACGAAACACCATAAAACAATAGGGAAGGTTAAGTGAATCTTAAAAAGAAAAGAAGAATCCCCAAACTGTAAAGGCAGCCCTTTTGAAGCTAAATCAGACAGTCTTCAGACAAAAATCTTGCTCTTTTCTGAAGTGAGGTCCAAGCAAAATCTTGTAGTCAATGGATTATCAGTCTGCTGATGACACTCAGTTCATGGAGGGACCATAACTCCATGTGCTTGACATGAAGATAGGCCCATGCTCAATCCTGGGGTCTCTAGTTAAAAGGATTGGGAAACAAACAATGGGGGATACCTTTCTGTCTGGGACCCTGGATGATTGCTACTAGCTGGAGAAGACACCACCAAGCTAATTGGTCAAATAGTCTGGTATAAGGCAGCTTCATATGTTCTCTCTTTATTCTTTTGGGGGAGGGGCTATGGATTGGAGGAAAAGTGCATAGTTTTCATGCAAAAGCTTGCAGGTTCAGTACCTGGCATTTCCAGTAGCACTGGAAAAGGCTCCTGTCCAAAACCCTGGAGAGGTGTTGCTTCCAGAGTAGTAGATTCTGTGCTAACTGAGTATCAGGCATCTTTTTATGTTCCTGCTTCTCATCAAATTCAGGTAAAGCTGTAGAGATGCTGACCCTGTGTCTGGAATCAGTAATATGCTGAACTAAGAGCAAAAAACTGTATCAGGGTCAGTACTGAGAAGCTTGAGTCATCTTGAATTGCTGGAGCAATAGAAATACTTCATATTTGTATACAATGTTATTTTTCTAGAAAAAGAGGTACCAGAATCCACCATGAATGAGTCCCTTGTTGTCTTATAATGGCATTGTTGCCCACCTGAGAGAAGTTTCAGTTGAAAAAAGCTCTGCTTGTATATTTATTTGTATCTGTATCTGTACTCATACAAGCTGTTATGTATATATTGACGTCTGGAACTGTACTGCTGAAGCCTTATTTTCTGCAACAGTAAACTATTTGGACCTTAAGCTGCCTCTGTGTGGTGACTGAAACTGGGGGCAACTTTCGCTACGTGGGTATCCCACCTCAGATTCCCAACATAAACTGAAGCTGAATCCAGGCAAGGTGGATATGTTGTTGGTGGGTTGTTCTGACTTGAGTTATAGTGTCCAACCTGTTCTGAACAGGTATGTACTACCTCTGAAAGACCTGCTTTGCAGTTTTGATATGCATTGTTGACATTAATTGCTCAAGCACTTTATGTACATCAGCTTAAGCTGGAACATTGACAGTGACCCTCCTGGACAGAGATGGCCTCTCTCCACAATGGCACAGACTCTTGTAATATCTCTTTTGGATGACATGTCTTGCACACGGAGTTGTCCCTGAAAGAAATTTGGAAACTGGATTTGGTGTAAAACACAGTGGCTAGATTGCCAAATGAGTTTGAGAATATGGGATACATGACACCAGTTTTTAAAGAGCAACACAAGTTCCCAATCCCAAGAACAATTCAACATGCAGCTTGTAACACGGGAAGTTGTACAGCTTCATCTTCCCACATGAACCTGAATTTATATTATGCTACAGTAATTTCCCCAGATGTCCTGTAGAAATAAGGTGGGTAACAACTAAGGGTTATTTGGTTTTTGGTTATGGAGCCTTTTTGGTTATGGAACCATTATCCTGGAACTTTCTCCCTAGAAATGATGCTCTCCGATTTGGCACTGGCTGAAAACTTTCCTATCTGCCCCTGCCTTGTCAGGTTTTTAAAATACTTTCTGAGCTTTATTTTTAATGCAGAATTGTTATTTGTTTTGCTTTTAATGCCTTAATGGTTTTGGTATTGTTATTTTATTGGACATTGCTTTGGGATCTCTTCTGGGAAAATGAGGGGAGTAATAAAATGTTAAAGCAAATAAATAAACAAGCAAATACACACACACACACACACACACACACACAGATCCATGCACATAAACCTCTAAGGAATGCTTATTATTTATTAGCTAGGATAGGTAAATTAACAACAGCTAAGGAAATACCAAGCCATCAAACAAGTAAAGAGCAGTACAAAGAATAATTACTAAATGCTGATTTAAATCCACAGTGGCTATAACCACGAACAACGCTGCTGATCCAGCCTCTAGTGGTGCCACATCCAACTCCCTGCTGTTCTCAACATGAGAGAGAAGAGAAAGGTCAATAACTATCTACGGAGTTGCTGATCCAGAACAATATTCACATAAACAGTTCCTAAACTCAACAAATTAATTTTTGGAATGGGAATGCTACCACCAGAGACAGTATGATCCATTGATGAACTAAAAAAAAAAAAAAGTTTAATATATGCCAACTTAGCTATATCAGTACTCACTATTTTTTAACATCAGTTTCCTTCTGTGAAATGGGAATAATGGTATATGTGCTGGATCGACATGTCAAAAAGAACATTTTGAAAGCTGAACGTTTTCATAACACTTTCAACTAGAGGAATGCAGAAATGCAGAGAAGACCACATTTTGTGCTTTCCCACTGTAGCCAAGTGACATTTCCATTTATTTCAGGCATCACAAAGAATATGGATGATCAGCAGAGGGAACCCTTGCTAACTCCATGAACTTAACAAATGAAACCCACCAAGACAAATAAAATGCATGCCACAGCTTTTAGCTGTGTAAATATTCACCACATCTGGTTTATGGAACCAAAGTTTTATAAATTCATCGGCAGCATAGGCTAATAATGCTAGCTAGCTCACCAGTTTGTTTTAAGGATTATTGAGATAATGCATGCAAACTGCTTTGAGCATCTAATACTAAGTGGAGCTAAGACACCAGGCAATTGATGATCAAGTATTGTGAACAGAAGGCGTATTATCCTCCCTGTCTGCCCTGGCACAATGAAATGAACTGCTGTTTTGGGGACAAGAGAGCAAGGAATGCAGAGCTATACAACTGGCTGTCCAGTTGCTAGCAGTCAGCTGAGTATGATGGGAAGAAAAGGGAAGGAAACAGCTACAATCTAATGCAAAAGTGGGAACCTCTGGCTCATGGGCTGGATACTGCCCACAGGTCATCTCCATGGCAGGCTCACCAGCCTCTCTCCAGCCCCTTTCCCCTCTCCTCATGCTTTGACCCTGCTTAATTCAGACTCTGGCACTGTCCACTGCAGGACCACTTCCTCCTCAAAAAGACAGTTCCTCCACGCTCCCCACTCTAATGATAACTGATGAGAAGGGATGACTGTCCTAGAGCAATGTTCTGTGTTAGAATGGATGGAAACAGCCTTGGTTGAACTTTAGCTTTGGTTTGACATGGACACAACTTCTCCTGAAGCAAAAAAAGTGAGGTTAGAAATTAATTAATTAAATTTGAATAACCCATTGACTATGTATTTTTTTCTTCTGCTATCAGAAGACAGACACAGTCCACTAAACGTCAGAAAGATCTTTGGAAGCTTAAGAGTTATCCGCCACAGAATTACACTCCTCTTCTCCTACTCCCAATCTGCCCGGCATTTCCCATTTATGGAAAACTTGGGAGAGATTTATTAACAAATGTGTCATCCTGGACTAAAATACACCTATCTGAGGAATTGAAGCCTCAAAGTTTGGTTCGCTTTGGATAAATCCAACACTGGGATATCCCCCTCAAATTTGGGATTCCAAGGTCCTACTATTTATAAACTTCTGTCCTTTAAGTCCTATTTGATGGGCAGAATATAGGAGAGAGAAAACAGTGAAGAATGAAGCAAAATATTGGATCCAAATACTTTTTGATTTTGGGGGAATGATTTCCTCATGTTTCGTTTTCCGTCACTGGAGGAATATAATTAAACATGTATCATGCGCTACAGATTTTAAAACTATTTCAGCATCAAATGTCATGCCATTTCTTATAATTCATTCTAGCCACTGAAGAACTGGTTTCAAGAGAAAAATCAAACATTAGGAGGAAAAATTAATTTAAAGGACCTTGTCTACTTACTGCATTTCCAGAACAGAAAGCAAAACTGACAATCTGCTTGACTAGGGAAGATCACCAATACACACAGATTTAGCTTCTGAAAGTCTAAAGAGGCATTCTTTGATCCTCCAGTTCCTGAGCAATATGTGCAGGTAGAAGAGAACGTTCATTTAGCAAAGCACCAGATGCTTGTGGAAATGCACCTTTTCATGAGGAGCCATTAACAAAAACATTAACCATAAACTTGCATGTTGCTGTGTTAGAAGATGAAAAAAGATAGAGGGGAGAGAGTGAACAAAAGAAAAACCCAAGAGAAGGGTGTGTGTGTGTGTGAGATGTGAGGCTCAGGATGGCGCTGAGAGGAAAAGTTTATTCCAGGAGAATAAAAAGCGCAAGGTTCAATGTGCTTCAATATAAAAATCATCAGAGGCAATTGAAAGAGAACTCTCTTGGGAGTCTTCTTCTGGAGAACAAATTGTAGACTCAGATTCATTTTTCATTTGAGTCTTTAGAGTATGTTCTAAATGTAAACTGTAGATTAAACTAAGCCTTAAAGTGAGGTCAGATTCCTGGTCTATCTGTAACAGCTAGATCATCTGGTCTGGTTGAATAGCCCTAGGATTTCAAAGTCCCATTACTCCTTTTGAAAATTAGGCTCCACTAACATAATTGGTTACAACAGAACATGGGATAGACACTGCCCTAGTTCAATTTGTGAGCCTTTAAGGAGCCTCAGGTGTGCTTCCTGCCTCCCCACCCCTCCCACACCACAATCCTGTTTGTGATACACCAACTCTTTCCCACTTAGTAGCAAACCATAGTTTGCTGCATTTGTCTGAATGAGCAAAGTATGGTCTGTGCAAACTCTGCAAAGCAGGATTAGAAACTAGGGAAAATGTATTTTTCAAACTAGCAAAACATATCAAAGAGGTTTTCTCTCAGCAAGCATTTTAAGTAAGCTATTTGATTTTATGGTTAGTTTTAACTGATTTTTATCTTTTTCGTCTCCCCCTTTCCAAAAATTCACATGCAATGTGTCAAGGTCATGCAGCCCACTTTATGTGGTTAACATGAAAGGGGACAGTTATGATATAACTGTGTTGCAAGTTTTCCCCTCCTCATAAAGACAGTCAATGAAAAAGTGTGGCACAGGAAGTGTAAACATGCAGTGCAACAATATCACATGACTTTAGTTTACTAGATATTCCCAGGGTGGGAGGGAGAGAATACTTAGGGGGTGGGGGTGGCACAAGGAACCAGAATCGGACTGTCAGGAAGTAAGAAAGGAAGATGTGTGAGGGAGAGGAAGGAAAAGCAGCTGTAAGGGGGCTGTATGTGTGGTTGCTGCCCTCTCTATCCAATGACTCCACTGAGATGATCATGTTTGAAGTCCAATGTAAGGCAGAGCAAAGTGGGAATATTCAAGAGGGCAGACCTCACCCCCTGCACAAGAAGTGGCAGAAAATATTAGTAAGGATCCTGTGGCCCACAGTGTCATAGGGATAGTGAGGTGGAACTAAGGAAGCCATATGAAGAACAGGAAACCCAGCACAGCATTTTGAATCCCCAAACTGCAGCTGCCTGTGATATTCTTTTCAGATAGGAGGATCATAAAAAGGAGAAATAAGACTAACCTACCCGTTATCTGCTTGTGCAGTTTATTCTGAAGGAGTTTGGATGTTCTATTGAATGTAGCTATTTTCTCCCTTGAGTCAATCTTTAAGTGTGTTTTGAGTAAGCTGAATCCAATGGATTGTAAAATCGCTATTCTATACTATTGTTTATCTGTAAGATAATAATAGTAGGCTTTATAACAGCATAGCGAAAATTCAGAATCCCTCACTTAATCTCACCATAGTAGGAAAAAATATATAGGGTTCTAATAGTATGCCCAGTTCCATTATCTGCATCTCGTTGTTTCAATAAGATTTTAACTACCTAATTGTACCTAGGATTATAGCTTAAATGCAGGACATATTTGTCACGTTATGACATTTATTCTGACCTAGATTGAGTGGTTCTGTTGGTTAAAACCAGAAAGGAATTGGTTCCAACTGCATGTGGTCTTTTTGACATATATAAAGATAAGGGAAACAATTTTCAGCAGTTCAAGAAGCTGATAATAGCTTTCCCAGCAAATTCTACTCTAACATAACAACAATAATAAAGGAATAATAAATGGAGTATAATTTGAAGCAGACATGATCTCATGATCCTTACATCCATATGGCTAATAGCAGCACCAGATCAGTATTAACATTAAACCATTCCATGGCCAAATTTTATTCAATCTGCCAAACATCTGAAGAGTAACAATGTGCAAAAATGGCAATCATTAGGCAGATGTTGGCTTGATGAAGTAGGGCAAGACAGGAAGGGGGGGGAGAAAGAGGAATGGGTTTTCGGCCTTTCGGGACTTCCGGGGTGGCGCCATCGGCAATGGCGGACTCCCTCTGAACTGGAGGGACTAGCTCCGCGGGAAACGGGTCTTCTCCGCTACGGCGAAGCGGGGACCCTTTTAAAAATCACAGGCGGATGAAGCCTGTGACCATGGGACTCGGCGGGCACCTTTAGTGCCCCCCCCCACTCGCAAAGGAATCCATTAACGGGCTCCGAAGTGAAGAGGGGGAAGTGGCACGGTGCTGTGAGTCAACTGCTATTTCCGTGGAGCGAAGCCGCATAGCCGTTGCCGGAGAGCGCTGCCTTTTTCCTGGGACAATTTGGACTCTAAAATAAGCACCCGTGAGTACTTAAACTTTGAACAACTGGACCTTAAATAAGGACTTGCGAGCAGAAAGGAATTGGATTTAAAAATTTATTTCAATTTGGTACTGAATGGTAAGGTCTAAACAGGAAGTCAGCCTTCCGTTCTTTTGTAGACAGAATAAAGCAAAGACAACGTAAACTAGATCTTAGAAAATCGCCTTTAAAGGATTGGATTTCATCATTTAAAATTGTGGAACCCCCCTTTGACAGCAGGAGAAGAAGGGGGATCTTTTCCGGACTGTTTAAAGTGAGTTTAAAGTAAAGTAACTTTCCACCATCCTGATCCTGGAGCGGGGTGTCAGGACTGACGTTTGAAGCTCATTGACCAGAGACAAACGTTTTTGACAGATAGCTAAAAGAAGAGAAACATAGTGATTCCACTGTTTCCTTTCGCATTTTAAAGGAACAAATATTGACAAAATATCTCAAAAAGGGAAACTTTGTTGCAAGAACAAATAGAAGCTTTCCCCCTAGAGGGAGACTGTGAAACTGTAACCAATTCCAGGGAGCCGGCAGCTGTTACAGATTACAATCGTGGGAACAGACATTTGACCTTGCAGGACAATGTATTCAGAAGCTCTGTTGTGCGCTTTCTATAAAACAAATGCCCTACTGGAACAGTTACATGAGAAGATGAATTTGATGGCAACTTCGACTAGAAATTTTGAACAGGCAGTGGGAAAATATGTGGAGCCCACCCAGGAATTAAATCAGGAGTGTGTCCTGACAGAACAGGCCCAAGAGGAATATGAGCTTTCGGATTTGACAAATGAACTTGGAAAAAGCCAGATTTGGAAAGAAAAAGTTTGGTTTGGCTTGGAAATGGGGGGCTGGATTGACCCCCCCTATGCTGGGATGTTTGGACTTTTCAAATCTGGCAATGGGCCGTGAGATGTTTGGGATGGTGGGGGCTCTTAATCTTGGAGGGTTTTTGAAACATGTTTTTAAATATCACATGGAATTTAGTGTTGAATATGGAAAAGGGGCTGATCTGTCGAGAAGGGTCAAAAATATTGTCAAGCTTGAGTTACCACGAGCAGGAGACAAGGGAAAATACAGTTTCAAATATGAAGAAGAGCTGCGGAAGGGACATGGAAGAGACTTGAGGGCCTCGGATATAAGGTTGCCAGGTTAATGCGCTAGATCGACGGGATAATAAGGACTGACAAAACCCGGGACCAGGAGGAAGGGACGCTGGATGAAGATTGGATCTGTTTGTATTTCTTTTTTTTACTATTAGGACTGTTTTATAAAATTGATGAATGTTAGAAAAATGTTGGAATGAAATTACTCGGCTTTAGTGAAGATGCTTAAAGAATTATGAAAGAATATTATGGTTACGAGAAGTTGGCAAGGATAAGATTTAAGCTTTAAGTTTTAAGGGTTTTTTTTATAAAAAGATAAGATTAAAACAGTTTAAGGTAATGTAACGACAGAATATTATGAAATATGGAAAGGATTTGCTGGGATAATTAATAACTAGGATACAAAGAAAGGGAGGAGGAGGAGGTCAAAGAAAGAAGGAAATGACAGTTGAGGATTTGAGAATAATGAATTTGTTTTTAAATGTTTTTAAATGTTTGTGGTGTATTTTTGTTTTTTTCTGTTTTTTTTCTTATTTTGAATTTGTATTCGTATTGTTGGAAGGGTTTGTTTCTCTCTTTGTTTACTTTGTTAACCATTTTTATTTTGTATTTTCTTTTATTATTATTATTATTTTTATTTTGTAACATTTTGAAAATCTCAATAAATATCTTATATAAAAAAAAGAGGAATGGGTTTTCCACATAGCGAATGATTAGACCGAAGTTCCACAGGTGTGGCTTCTTTCATTATGTTTCAGTATTGGAAGGAGGGGAGAAACCATCTTGCGCTTGCTGGACTGTTGTTCACCTTCAGAGTCCTTAAAGGAAGAGAAGTTCTTTTTTTGTGGTCTGAATGCTGGGAAGGCAGAGAAGAGGCAACAAACAGAATATCAAATTACCAAAGATTTAACAACCCACAATTTCTCCTTCTCCTTTATTCATTAAAAAGGAAAATAATGTTGGCTGCAGCTAAGATTTCAGCCTCATCATGATGGATTCGATCCAGAGAAAAGCCTGCAGAAGAAGACTTGTGGAAAATGACTTTCCTTCACCAGAACTTCCTCTCCCTAGGGCCACAGGACCCTGCTGAATGGGTCAGGCTGAAAATTGGAGGCAACTCCCACGAGTGGAAGCTATGTTCACATCTTTCTGGAAGTGTCCTTTCCCACTCAGCCTCCTGTGCAACAGGCCCATTGCATTCAGTAAGTGCCCCCTGAACCTTGGAAGTTCTTTTTTTTGGGGGGGGGAGCTGTCAGGTTCAGGAGGGAACAGGAAAGTCAGCTTCTGCCAATCCACTTCTACAGCCTTTTCTCTGGATCCAACCAATATGCTTGAAGCTAGAACTTAATTATCTCTCCCCAATAATAAAAACCGATTCTGGTTTGCTGGTGGGAGTAGGGGGAAGAGGGAAAATCAAGCATAGCTTCTCAGCTTGTGGTAAAAAAAACTGTGAATACACTATAATTAACATAGCTGAAGGCAATATGGAACTGTCCATGTTTGTTTTATTTAACATGCTGTAAACAATCTTCTCCACCCAAAGTGGTATAAAATGAACACTTTCCACCAACAGCTTTGTTTCAGTGCAAACCAAACAGCATGAATGTAAACCAATCGAGGAAACAAGCAAAGGCACAAAGAGAAGTAGAGTACAATTTTAAAACATGTAGTCCAGTGTGCAGTCACACAGAACCCTTGGAACTTAATATGTGCTACCAGCTAGAAGATTATTTTAAGCTCCGACTCAATGTCCATTTTAGCGTCATCTACTTATAGCATTCCCTTTTTCTTTGCAAATCAGACCAATTTTTCTCCTCAACTGATAGCCAACCACTTTCAAGACTTATATACTGATTGGCTTTAGGACATGGCTATTTACCTGTTGCTTAATCCAATATACTGGACACGAAAATAAGGCAATGCTCCAAAAGGATTGCTTTGTGCTGTGATGATGGCTGAGTTTGGTAGTGTCGTATGGAATTATTTGTGAGTTAAGTTCCAAACACATACTCTCCAGTAGCTTAAATCAGAATGGTCAACAGTAAATTCACAACTAGACTGAATACTTTAGTCTCAAATAGTTCCCCCCACCCCCGCTTAAAGGCTGCTCAAGGTAAGAGGCTGATGCCCCCTGAAAGCTGCTAATCTTGAGATCTACAGGTCCTCAAGATCTACAGGTATAGGGTGGCATACAAATTTAACAAATAAAATAATAATAATAATTCCAAGTGCAAGGCAATGCATAACACTGCATGTAAGATCAAGGTCATTTTCACATGGCCTAATTCATCCTAATTTGTATGTAATAATTTGCAGGAAGGTTTATTCAATGTCCACAGGTTACCAAGTATTAATTCTGATGATCAGGAAATAAACACACGTGTCTGCTAAGCTCCTAAAGAAACACACCAGGATAACACTGTAGCATCTTTAATTTTAATAAGTATTTGCTGATAGTATTTTTTTCATCTTTGTTAATACAATTCATGGGTATTTGGAATTGCAGGTTTGGGTGCACTGCCGTGAACAAGAATGTATGAATGAATGGGTTCTCAAATCTCAACCAAAACTGAGAACATGGCACTGCAACTCGGTGTCTCATATGCATGGATGGGTTTGGACAGACTCAGCCTATAAGCTTCAGCAGAAATGTAAAGTACAGTTCTTGCACTTCCAGAAGCCCAAGAGAAACAGTTACTGAAGATTATCTGTGTTTTGCATCTTAGCCAGTAATCTTGCACTCAGTCCCACACATTTAAATCCCTCTGAAAGCAGTGGGAATTAAGTGTCAGTAACTGAGTACAGGACTGCAATCTTTCTCTATAGCACAGCTTTAAAATATCCTTGACAGGCATTATCTTAATGTGCCATCAAAGAAAATTAGATTTTGTCTTAAATAGAACTGTGGTGCTGCATTGTGTAGGATTAGTTCAATGAGGGGTGGGAGGGGAACAGGGACTAGCAAAACAGATAATGCAGTTTGCAACAAATTATTATTTGCAAAAAATGCCTCTCCCAGGCGGAGATTATTTTAAGTGCTGTTTGTGTGTGACAAAGGAATATTTTTAAACAAGATAAAAATTACTGTTGTTGACAGGCAGATCCCAACTATATCCACAAAAGCAAAGACAGAATGTACCACAGTACTCACATTAATTGAGATGTATATATGTACAAAGATAATTTCCGGCTGCAGTATTTAGACTCAGGGTTCTAACCAGTTCCTGGAATTATAATGACAGCCATTACCTGTACCTTTTACAGAGATTCTGTTGTCAATATTGACAACCACTGGAACCAGTGCAGGAAACAGGATTTTTACAGGTTTGTCATAGGGCTAGAGCACTAGTTTAAATATGTTCTCCCACTGCCCGGGCACACCAGCTCCGACAAGCTTGGCACTGTTCCCTTTGCTCAGGAGACAATGCAAACAACCCATGGGGAACTGAAGCCCAACAAGGGAAGAGTGACTTTTGGCCTTTTCCCCCCAAGTCTTGCCTCCTTGCTTTCCAAGTCCAGACACAATGCCAACTTCCAAAGCACTACAACAAGCTCAAGATGAGAAACCTGAAAGTTTCTGTCATCAGTACCCCATGCTTTTCACCTTTCCTGACACAAAATTATGTGGCTCAGTGTTACTGTCATGATAAGTGAAACAGCAATCCCATATGTACTGTAGATTCTGTAGGGACTTTCTTTCAATTAGAAAAGACATAGGGAATGCTGGCAATGTTTTACTAGGGAGGCCCCTGGGTGGGGAAGACCCCTTGAAATCAATTGACTTTAATAACAAGTCCATTGATCTCTAAGGGTCTTAAATTCCAGAGTCACTGGATTGTATTTATTAATATATTCTTAGAATTTTATAAAGTTATGTTCTTTGATAGCAATGCGACCTCAGCCGTAAATAAATTTCTTAACTACCACAGTTCAGCACAACCACCATCAATCTAACAAACTATGCTATTTCCTGTTGCCCATTTCCTCTCTCTCAGTCCATTGAAACCATTATTAGGGTTGGATTCTCCATACACAGTACTTAGTGAAAATTTACATTCCAGTACAACATAGGATTAGTTTATATTACTATACATTACTACTGCTGGTAGTTCATAGGCCAATGGGGGGGACGGGACCCTGCATCTTGGGTGACCTGTAGTCTTTGAGCTACACAATTACACAAAAAGCCAGCTATCGTTATGCTCTCTTCACTTTTCTGATGATCTGATAGTATCACACTCTTCAGAACAATTCCTCTTAAAATGATTACTTTTCTGAAATTATATTCCTCAGTTTTTCACATATGGAATTGTCTACAATACATCTTCCATAAGCTATGCAGGTTAGGTTTCCCGTGTAGTGTTTGAGCATGGGAAATGTAAATCAGTTACCAGTTATCAGCCTATAACAACATAAGCCTAGGTCTTCAGGCTAAGATACTGACAGTCCTTTGCAGCTCTGCACACCCGGTTTCCCTTTTTCATCTGTATATCTGAAATTCGCATCAACAGATGTCAGATAGTGTCAATCATATAGACACAATTCAGATTAAACCCCTTTCAGGAATATTTAATGCAATGGAATGGCTCTGTGTCACTTGTAAGGAAATCCTGCATGCAGGACTGAAAGTTGGAAACAAAACAACTCCACGGTCAAAAGCTCTACCAAAAAGTATACAAATAGACATAAAAAGGTGAGTAAGTATGTTGTGTCTTGAGCTACTAACCTTGTGGTTTTGGCACAAGTTGATACCAGTCTTAAATGAGGTGCAAATATTCTCAGGTGTGTATGGTAGTTACCTCTTAACTCTCATTATTGCTAAATGGCATTGTTTGTGTAATTGCTGCTGCTGCTTCTTCCAAAAGGGTAATAATAGATTAGCTACAGTTTAAAATGCTAAAATGTAATGACAATAAAATCTTTGATTTTCACTCCTGCTGTCTTTTACACTCACAGAAAATGAAAGTCAATTCTGATGTAGGTGAGACCACACTATAGATTTATCTAATAATGTATACTGAAGCAGTTGAAAATATTTCAGATGTGCCTAAGGTTATGAAGATATAAATCATGTGGAACTACGCTGATGTAGTAAGCCATTTTCCCTTAATGGTTTTCTATATTTTATTGCCCTAATAAAATCCATCACCTATCAACCTAAGAACTCTAGCCATATACCCTAAGGTTACTCTCAATTAACACATGCACACATGGCTAAACTAAATTTCAGTCATTCTAAGCTTGCAACACAAATGGAGAGACAGAAACATGATCAGAGAATAGAATAGGGGAAAATATATAGACTATATGTACATGAAAGTTTAAGCACACAAACATATTTTATCCAGAGTCAGAAGCCCACTTTTTCTGAAGCATCTTGTGTGCACATTAAGATTCCCAAATAAGTTACATGCACCTTCAATCAGTTGTAAAGGAGAAAGTGCACATGGGCTGGCACAACTCTACCATTTGGGATATAAGAAGTGCCAGAATACAGTGGAAACTTCAAGTGGAAGCCTTGGAAAGAGACATGGATGAACCATTATCTGCTGTTTTCTGACTGTGTCTCTCTATCTTGCTTCCTTCATTTAAAAAACAGGGAAAGGAGCTGCTGTCAAGTAAACTCTAGAGGAGGAAACACAGTGCTATCCCCTCCACAACCTCAGCATTAAAAAGATGTGTGGAGGGAGCATACTTTCACTTAACATAGTGATACAGCTTGAACTAGTCCTTCATGTGTCAATTGTGGCATGTATGTTTCCAAATACATGTGAGCAGAAGCATAATATTTTCCTAATCCTTCATGCATATGTATTTGGAAGAGGAAACTGGTTTTTATATACACCTATGACCTTCATATTTATGACCGTAAGACATGTAATTTGAAGTTGGGTATCTGAATTGTAATCTAAAATTGCTTATAAGCAGTAGTTCCTCTACAAGACTTCGTTAAACAGGGACACTTACAGTATAATATTACAGTGGTACGTTGGTTCTCCAATTTAATCCGTTCCAGGAGTCTGTTCGACTCCCGAAACCATTCAAAAACCAAGGCATGGCTTCCAATTGGCTGCAGGAACTTCCAGCACTCAAACGGAAGCCATGTTGGATGTTTGGCTTCCGAAAAACGTTCACAAACCGGAACACTTACGTCTGGGTTTGTGGCGTTAGGGAGCCAATTTGTTCGACAACTAGGCCATTCGAGAGCCAAGGTACCACTGTAATTACATTTAGCAAGAATTATATCTATATCTATCTATCTATGAATGGGAGATTGAGGGAGAGACATGAACACCTACCTCACATAGAATCATTTAGTCCAAGTACCAGATTTTTTTTCACTCTTAAGTAAAGGCCCAGGTAATATAAATTTCTGATAAATGCTGACACATATGCATCTACCAATTATTTGAACAAAGGGCATTTTGCTATGTGTCAACGTGATACAGCTCTTTCAATGAAGAGAGAAATGATGCAATACTGTTTTATGCAATTTATACATAATTTCAGTTCCACATCAGCCCAGAGCAGTCTGCAAACCAAATGCATCACAGAAACTAACCTTTCTACAAGATGTGCCAGGAATACAGACAGGAAGAAGACAACATTATGCCCATAGGAAAGTTATAATTTTCAAAAGGCCTTAGGATGCCTTTTATCCAGAGCCTTCCCACTTCTGGAGTCAGGCTATGATACGAAAAGCCCCAATGAACTGGTCATAATCACTAAGCCCATTTCAGTGCTCTCAGCAAGTAGCACAGCTGCAGCCATTCTGACAAATTTTATTCATTTCCTTGTTTAGAAGGGAAGGCTCCAACATTCATAGAAACTTCCTAAATGTTTCCAACAACCGAAAAACTGCCTAAAGGCTCAAAGCACAGGATTTTAGAAATTATTTCCTGTGGTGTTTCAATCTATTTTGTCATTAGCTGAAAGAAAGAAGCTCTTGAGGGGAACCTTGGGAAGAAGAGACCACTTAAATGAGTCTGTCAAAGGTTCAGTTAGCAAATAGCAACGTGCTTCAATTCTTTGCTATATGTATCTGAACATACACACACAATCAAAAGGCATTATTTTTTCTACCAATGCTTTTGCTGACCTGATGATAGAGGTTGCCCACTTTTGTTCATTTTCTGCTGCTTGTAACATTACTCTGTGTAGACTTGCAGTAGCTGATGTAAAAATGCATCCAATAAAAAGAAACACTCCATTGGCCAACAGCTTCTTACTTGGGACTCAGCAAGACTGGTAAAGAAAAAGCTCTTCATATGTGTTGTGTGTGTGATATAACATTGTGCCACCAGATGGTGACATGGAGTCCCGTTTTCTCTACCTGTTTTCCCTGTTTAAATTTACAATGCTTTGAACTGAAACGCTTCTTTGATGTGTCCAGATCCAGCCTTGGTGTCTGAAATGCTGTGTCTTTTTCTTGTTTTTAACATTTTTACAGAAGGGCATATAATTAAAACTGTATGTGGCTACTAAAAAGAGAATTTCTTTAAGAAATGAGAAAAAGTATTTTGCTCACAACAAATCCTGAAAAGTTGGCCTCAAAAGCAATAGCATGTTACTTGCTGTCAAACATACTGCACATAATTTCAGTGTCTCAAACCAGTTTTGTCTTCATATATATGATAAACCAGATTTTTTGCTTTGTGATGGCCACTTGACACCTCTTTTCAATACAAGTAGAAGCAATAAAGTTTCTTATTACAGTGGTACCTCAGGTTACAAACGCTTCGAGTTACAAACGCTTCAGGTTACAGACTCCACTAACCCGGAAGTAGTACCTTGGGTTAAGAACTTTACCTCAGGATGAGAACAGAAATTGTGCGGTGGCAGCAGGAGGCCCCACTAGCTAAAGTGGTGCTTCAGGTTAAGAACAGTTTCATGTTAAGAATGGATCTCCAGAACGAATTAAGTTCTTAACCAGAAGTACCACTGTATGTTGTCTAGTTGTTTAGTCGTGTCCGACTCTTCGTGAGTATACTGGTCCTCTAATGTGTTGCCTCATCACATGGTATAGCAGTAAGTTGTAGCACAGCATAGTTGCACTATTGTTATTTTTTGGGTTGTTGTGATCTAAATCAGGCATAGAAGGGACATGTGAATACAAGAGAATCTACTTCCAATATCTTTCATAACACACATGGAACATTTTACTAGTAGAATAAATGCTTATGTTTTTCATACATCATTGAGTTGTGGTCGAAATCTATCATTTCTCCAGCTATATGACTCTTCCTCCTAGCTGAGATGAAGCAGGCTATTTCTATTTTTACAGAATCTATTGCTAAGATATACACCTAGTAAACTTGCAACTTGCATAAGAAACTTGAGGAAGGGGAAAGGAAGAAACCAGAACATAAGGGTAGATGGATATGTAAGTTATGCATCCAGCATGTGGAGTATCAGAAATCACACATTATGAAAGAAAATAGTTATTTTTAATTACCTTAGAAAATAAAAGGTACAAGGTGGTTATTTAAAAAATCATTATGTTTTTTCATCATTAAGTGGAGAATAGGCCAATTCTGGTTCATGCATACACCCACACCTAAGCACACCCACAAACTCTTGAGAGAGACAGAGAGAGGAAAAAATAGGTACTTCCCATAATGCTCCTGAAAGAGTTTTATTACTTAAATAAAGCTACAGATACGAAGGCCTGGGGAAAAAACTGAAAAAAATTGGGATGGATCCTGTTCTGCACCTACCCCAGGCCTTTACATCTCTAGATAAAGCAAAGACTTCCCTAAGGAACGAAACAAAGAGGAAAAGGTTATGCTATTTACAGGTACCACAAAGCATTCTACAGCAATGAATTAACTACAAAAGTGATTATCAACTGGTGTGCCATGGCATCCTGGGGTGAATGATGTTCAGGGGTGCCGTGGGCAACATGGGTGTAGCCAGGTTTATTGTTAGGGGAGGCAGGACTTTGGGGGGGGGCAGGACATTTGTTAGGGAGGGCAGAACCAGCGTGACTGGTCAGTTAGTTAAATATTTCTATTGTTTTACTTGATCTAGGGGGGCAGCTGTCCACCGGACTACACATATGACGGGTAACACTGGCTTCGAGCCCTCTTTTCTTCCCTCTCTCTGATGCCCACTCGCCTCTCTGCCTCCCAAAGGCTTGAGCGGCTCTTTGTTGCAGCAGCCCTGGCTACAAGCTCCACAGGCGAATGGTGCCTCTGGGGCTGGCCAGTGGGTGCTTCCCAGGCCCCTGTGGGGCAGTAAGGAGGCACCTCTCTGTGGAGCAGGGGTCTCAGAGACCGGGGGTGGCAGCAGTGGCTGCCTGGAGGACTCCCAAGGAGAGGGGAGAGGAGAGAACATGCCACAAGGGAGGGAGTTCGAAAAGTGATGAGGGGCTGTTGGCTCTGTAGGCAAGGGGTGACATAACTGGGCTCCTGAGCCCCACAGGGGTGCCACAGAAAGAATATAGCTGGTCAAGGGACCCGTGGACCCAAAAAGGTTTAAAACCTCTGAACTACAACATTGTTGTAATCCTGGGTGACAAGTTTCCCTTGTACATTAAATATGGAAATGCACCACAAAATGCATTGATTCTTTAGAACAAGAAACTTTCCTTTACAAAAAATAAACATAAAGAATAAAACTGGCAGCTGCATTGCGTGTCTATTTGCCAAAGCATTATTACATGCTACACCATCCACTTATATTGCAAAGCAATCAATCAAAAACTGAAGAACAATGTTTTGTAATAAAAGGTTTTGGAGGATGATTTTTTTAAAAAACCCAATCCACGAAGATCAAAGATTTGTCTTTATTAATGTTTGTAGTATTAGAGAAGTAAGCTCACCCAGACTGGGGCTCTAATTTTGTCCTAATCTTGTTGGGTATGGCTATTTCTAGGCTGTCTGACTCTCTCAATCTCAGTTACTTTTCTTTTGGTTGATATAAGTGTTTTCCTAAATCACAACAGCTGGCTGGAACAGCCCCTGCCCTTCCCTCTTTTCTCTTCAACTTTCCCTTAAAGTATAATGATTTTTAAATCCTTCCAGGCTTGAAGCCCAGTAAGCAGTAAAGCACTAAAGCCTGTCACAAAGTGATGTTTACTCCTCCAAGCTATTATTTTTTTCATATAAAACTCCTATGGAAAAAAACCCCCTCTAATACTTGTTATAGTAAGAGGAGGATTTGGAGCTCTTATGAAGGGTACTTTGTGGAAACTAAGCTAGACAACTGGCATGATATTTCATTCTTTGTTCACCTTTTAAGTGGAAAGAAATGTCATAACATGTTCCAGATTGAAACTGGGACTTTTTCTTTACCTGACTTGAAATATATTGAAGAGAAGTTTGGCTTTTTCAGCCTTGAGGGTCAATAGACAATGTTTCCTACAAGACGACTACACTGACCATTAAAGATGGACTCTATGATATAATCTACTTATTGTTCATACCCTCTTAAAAGTAAAGGGACCCCTGACCATTAAGTCCAGTCGCGGACGACTCTGGGGTTGTGGCGCTCATCTTGCTTTACAGGCCGAGGGAGCTGGCATTTGTCTGCAGACAGTTTTTCCGGGTCATGTGGCCAGCATGACTAAGCCGCTTCTATCAAATCAGAGCAGCACATGGAAACGCCGTTTACCTTCCCGCCAGAGCAGTACCTATTTATCTACTTGCACTTGACATGCTTTCGAATTGCTAGGTTGGCAGGAGCTGGGACCAAGCAACAGGAGCTTACCCCGTCGCAGGAATTTGAACCGCCGACCTTCTGATCGGCAAGCCCTAGGCTCTGTGGTTTAGACCACAGCGCCATCTGCGTCCCTCTCTACAAACACTTTAAACTTCTCTAGATTGTGCCATTGGGCATGGCACTGTAAGATTTTACTTTATACAAGTGACATGTATTCTTACATATCAGATAGTTGTAAAGTTAAGTCAGCTAGATAAGCTGCTTGCAATTCTGACAGCATACTTTTAAATGACTATTTTGAGTTGTTATAATTCTTGAATACTATCTTTTTGCAAAAAAAATTTAGTCCTTTTCAAACTCATTTTAGAAAATAATCCAGCAATTATTTACATCTACATTTGCAAAATGTTCTGAAATCCTGTTCCACTGTATTTGATTTCTATTTTCTGTATAGTACTTTGAGATTCTTTTGAATATAAAGTGATTAAGAAATTTTCTAAATAAATTGAATAAATAACTACCACCAACAAGTTGCCTTCCATTCTCAATAACAAAATCCTATCCCATTGATCAAAATCATATATTATTTTATTCACAGCATGCTGCAAAGAACATGCCACCCATGGTGAATGATCTCTGCCCCAGTTGTAATATCTAAACTGCTTACCATGGTGTAATCACAGTGAGAGTATCCATGGTCTTTCCAGTGGGAGTGGTTGCTAAGAAAGTACCCCCATGAAGGCCAGGTATAACTTTTACAACGAGAGGCAAAGCCACTTTCCACTAGGAAACTGCTCAGAGGCATCCTCAGAGACACAGAATGTCCTTTTAAAAAAGGTGTTGTTCTTCCCTGCACTTCCAGAAGCAGATGCCACAAACTAGTTATGCCAGAAACAGTTGTGCTAATAATTATGACCAAGGAGAAGTAGAAACCAAAGGTCGCAACAACAGATTGAGTACAATGGTACCTCGGGTTACAGACGCTTCAGGTTACAGACTCCGCTAACCCAGAAATAGTACCTCGGGTTAAGAACTTTGCTTCAGGATGAGAACAGAAATCGCGCGGCGGCGGCGCGGCAGCAGCAGGAGGCCCCATTAGCTAAAGTGGTGCCTCAGGTTAAGAACAGTTTCAGGTGAAGAACGGACCTCCAGAACAAATCAAGTTCTTAACCCAAGGTACCACTGTACAAAAACTGGAGGCATGCCCAGCTGTTGATGCCTATTGGAATTAATGGACCTAACCTATATTCACTCATTTCAACAGGTCAAATTTAGTTGAATTCCACCCTGTGTTGCCAATCACAACTTTTTCACTCATCCTTTCAGCTGAGTTCTGCGATAATCGGCTTCTTTCAGAATATGGAGTAATCTTATGAAAGTTAAGGGATGGCATGCTCAATTTGGTGTATCTGCAAGCTCTGGAAGCTACTTTTTTATTCCTTTTCTTAGTATCAAGGAGTAGACAATCATTTTGTCAAAGAGCAGAGATGCTTGGATGTGTCCTTGCTCAGTTTCTCTTGCTGTCTGGATATGTCTGCATTGGAAGGTTTGGATTTTGTTCAGAATTCACATGTTTTTGTTATCTGCTTTAAGAGAGGGAGGAAGTCAGGAATAAATACTGTTACACACCCAGCTCAGATTTGTCTAGACTGCCCCATTCTCATGTTTACCATGGCCATATAAGACCAACTGCTCTGTGTGAGAATACCAAGAAAGGGAAGGAGGAAGACAAATACACACCATCATAATGACTCCTTCTGTAGTATTTGTGAGCATCTTAAGCTGCTTTGGGGGCTCTAATCCAAAAATGATACAAATCAAATAAGCGAAATAAGCGAATAACAGATAAAGGCCATCTTGAGCCTGTTTTCTTATGGTGGTAATGGTGAAGGAAAATGAAATGGTTGAATTTTCCTTCACCATTGGAAGGAATCCTAGATTCATAGCATAGATTCATAGCATAGATTTCCAGGTGAGAGCTGGGCAAAAGTTCACTCTTCTGTGTGTGGAATAAAGATATAAGAAGCTTAGTATTAATATACTCACCCCTCCTTCTTTCTTTTTCTCTTTTTTTGGTTTCTTTCCTTTCCTTTTAAGATTAGTTTGGCTTTTATTGTATTTTAAGTGGAAAACTTTTTTAAATAATGACAAAAAAAAAAACCTTTCCAATGTGAAGCTGCCTCTCCTGGACTTTTGCTTTCTTACAGCAGATGTAACAAAACTTGTAAATACAAATATTGTGTGCTTCTTTTAGTTTCCAGAAGCACAGGCAATTTGATGATTCTTTGACAAACATCTGCAGAATTCTTTAATTTCTTAGACGTGTAGGTTCATGTGCTTTATATTAATTACCAGTATTTAGGACTCTGAAAGGTATAACTTACATTTCCGGACTTTGAACCTCAGTTACTCTCCACTTAGCAGCATTACTGTTCAAACAGAATGCAACTAAACCAGATTCAAAGATGTGCCAAGGGAGCAAGAATCATATTAATCAATGAAGTGACCCTTGTTCACCACTGTGTAGCCTACAACAGCAATTAGTCTTACCAGTGGGTAGCTGGGAAAACCAGGAAAGAGGCACAATCGTACAGGACTTCCCTCCACCATCTCCCAAGGGGAAAGCTTTCTATCAAACCCACAATATACTTAAAGGAGACTTCTACTAAGCTCCAAAAGATCTGGTTTCAGAAACAGGTCAGTCAATCATGATATCCCATTTCTCATTCGCTACTCTCAACAGAACTTAAGAATTCCTTATTTGCTCTGTACAAACTCACTGAAACAGGATATTCTCTTTCATGTATCGGTCCTATGTTTATACTACACACAGCTGTGCTTATAGGAGCATTGTGTTTTTTAACTGAGAACATATTTACAAAACTTTAAGTGTTACCTTTCCAGGAATCGCTCAGAGTTTAGGAGCTTGAACCATTTAAGACATTTCCCAAATTGCTCTCTACAAACTGATCTTACAGTGACCTTCTAACACCCCAGTCCTAAGCATGTGGTGGGTCCTAAACAGCGGGTCCTAGACACAAAGGGGAGTGGCCTTTGGGTTCACATGCTTCTTCATATAAGGTAGCTCATAAAAGACGCTTAGAAGATAACATCTGAACCAAGAATTCCCACCATGCATCTGAATGGAGTCCTTCCCCCAAATCCACTTGGGGGAACCGTGGGACGTCTTGGTACACTTAGTAAGAGAAGAGGAGAGAAAGCATAATAGCCTGCCTGTATCGTAAGATCTTCAGACGAGGCCCTTCTCCAAGGACCTTCCTTATTGGAACTGTGCTATAAAATTACAAAGGTTTTTTTCATCAGCGGCACCTAAGTTCTGGAATGCCCTCCCTAAGGAGGCATAGCTGGTGCCTGCTTTACAAGCTTTCAGACCACAGGTTAAGCTATTTTAATCTACACAGGCATTTTTTTTTAAGTGTTATTTTGGGTTATTTTATTATTTCTTTTGATGGTATTGATTTTTCTTCTTTGTTGCACATCATGATCTACATTTGTTGTTCACTGCTTTGATGAAGGCGAGTATAGAAGCATTTTAACAAAATAATAATAATAAAAATAAATGTGAGCCTAAACAATACTTCTAATCCCTCCGTGCAAAGAAGTGATTACAGCTGTTGGAAGTTTGAAGGGATTTTCTTTCAAACATTCCTTTCTTTTTCACAGTGTTAAAAATTCCTGAATTCCTAGTTGACAAACACGAAGACCTAACTTTACATTTGACAACACTGCTCATGTGACTAATTAAAAACAATATATATGGCAGCCAATAAATTACTATGTACTCTTACACCAAATGTGGGCTGTAATTTCTCAGAATAACTTGAAATTGTCTCAAAGGGACAAAACAGAAGTTGTTTCCTCAGTGTGCTAGCTTGCTACCTCTACCATATCCTCAAGTTTAGTTGTGCTGAATGCTATTCAATTTGCTCACTTATTTACTGAGAATCCAGAGAAGACATGGCAGCTCTGAAGGAACCACTTCAAAAAAGTTAAAACTCTACAAATCAGTTGATAAGGAGGAAAGGGGACCAAACTCATCTAAACTCCTGTGCAACTGTTCACTAGTAGACTATTTCCTCCCTTGAATGGACTCCTCATACACAGCCTAGCCATTTGATGCATGGTGAGGAACTTCAAGGATAAGAAGGAGGCAATGCACATGAAGTACTTTGAACACTTGCGAAGTATCTTCACAGTTAGCACTGAACAAGGCTAGAGCCAGCATAGATCATTGGGGTGGGGACAGGACACTAATTTTGCTATTGACTGGAAGTCTCCCAAACTGTGTGTTTGGCTCTTTCCACCAGTGCAAATGAGCTGTGAAGTTTTGTAACATATAATCTCTTCTGGTTTGCTGACAAATATTTTAGACTTTTACGTTTAGATTGCAGCAATCCTGTATTGCATACCTGTCAGCCAGTGGACAGCGTTCTGAATGCAACTATTCAGAAATGTCAAACAAAATTTAGTAGGCAGCTTCATTTGTCAACATGAGAAAGGAAAAAGGAACACATGAGCCAAGAGCCCCCAAACCACACAACCAGTGTGCGAGGGGTTGTTTATTTGGAGGTGGGGGTGGGAGAAGCAGATTTCCCCCAGGCATGTCCAAGCCATGAAGTACACACAAAGCAGCCCTCTGCACACAATCTCAGCTATTGTGAAATAGCAATATGCTCAATATGGGCAAGCTAGTGCAAAATGGTGCTGCATAGCTCTTAATAGTGACTAGGAACATCCTAGCTTTTGCAACAGCACTGGCAGCTGATTTGTTTTCACACCGAATGCAAGGTGCAGATGCTTAACTTGAAGACCCTCCACAGCCTAGGACTCACAACATAAAATCACTTCTCCCCATATGTGGCTGGCAGCAATTATTGTCAGAAGGCTGGGCCCTGCTCCAAATACCCTCACAATGGGAAGCAAGAACATCCGCTTTAAGGAACAAGGCCTTTATCCCGAGTACCTTCCTAGGGGAAGTGCAGAGCTGTTGTTTTGTTTTGTTTTGTTTTGTTTTGTTTTAAGAGGGTGCAAAAAAAAAAAAAAAGGATTCTTGGTTCACAAGGCATTTGGCTGTTTGTTTATTATAGGGTGGGTGCTGTTTTCTTTCAGTTGACTTTACTAGCTTAAGATTGCATTTAATATTTTTGTTACTGTGATCTCCCTTGAGCCCAGAAATGGAAGGATAAATATATTCAAAATAAATGAATAGATTTTTAAATTGTTGCTAAATCTCAGGAAATTTGAAAGTAAACACAATGTACCTTTCTCTAGGGAACCAAATAGCATGCACTTTGCTGGAGATGAGGCAGGATGGTTGATACATAAACCTGTAATTTTAGAACTATCCACATAACCACATGCAGAAAATTTGAACAGGGTGCTGACACAGTGAGCATTACCATCACCTTGGTAGCACTTTCTCCTGCTATCCAACCAGATCGCGTTCAAACCATAGTTCAAACCAACTCTCTTTGGGTCTGTGTGCCCACATACATGATCACATGGAGAAATTCAGGAGTGTAAACTGACACTTGGGCATAGCAAATGTTTGCCGTTTTCTGTGAGGTACAAGTAACAGTTCATATAAAGTATACTGGTTAAATGTAACATTCTGTAATAGGAAAATGTTACGTATTTAGCGTACTTTTTCATGAAATAGTTCTAATTTTCATTTTGATAAATTGTTCCAACATTTTAAATACTGTACAAATATTTAGTGTTTGGAATTACTGTCATTAAAGCATTAGACTAGGATGATAACTGCCTTTAGGTACATTAAGAAAAATCACCCACCCGGGTACAGAAATGTTTTTAAATCTTCTTTAGAAGTTGTTGGTGAGGGAGACCTCACCAAAGAAGGAATTCCTGTATGAGGAACAGGCTGATTTAGAGCAGGTGGCTCTCTATATACCGTATTTTTCGCTCCATAGGACGCACTTTTTCCCCTCCAAAAATGAAGGGGAAATGTGTGTGCGTCCTATGGAGCGAATGCAGGCTTTCGCTGAAGCCTGGAGAGCGAGAGGCATCGGTGCGCACCGATGCCTCTCGCTCTCCAGGCTTCAGGAAGCTATCCGCAAGTCTTGCAAGCCCGGTGGGAGTTCCCGTGGGCTCACAAGGCTTGCAGGCAGCAGCCTGCAGCCCCGGAGAGTGTCCGCAAGCCTTGTGCGCCCGGCAGGAGGTCCCGCCGAGCGCGCGAGGCTTGGGGCGGCAGCTTGTCGCCTGAAGCACGGGAGCCCTCCGGAGGGCTCCCGTGCTCGGGCGAGTGTCTGCAAGCCTTGCGAGCCCGGCAGGAGGTCCCGCCGAGCGCGCGAGGCTTGGGGCGGCAGCTGTCGCCCGAAGCACGGGAGCCCTCCGGAGGGCTCCCGTGCTCGGGCGAGTGTCTGCAAGCCTTGCGCGCCCGGCGGGAGGTCCCGCCGAGCGCGGCGCGCGAGGCTTGGGGCTGCAGCCTGTCGCCCGAGCACGGGAGCCCTCCGGAGGGCTCCCGTGCTCGGGCGAGTGTCTGCAAGCCTTGCCGTGCCCGGCGGGAGGTCCCGACGAGCGCGCGAGGCTTGGGGCGGCAGGTTGTCGCCCGAAGCATGGGGAGCCCTCCGGAGGGCTCCCGTGCTTCGGGCGAGTGTCTGCAAGCCTTGCGCGCCCGGCGGGAGGTCCCGCCGAGCGCGGCGCGCGAGGCTTGGGGCTGCAGCCTGTCGCCCGAATCCCGGGGAGCCCTCCGGAGGGCTCCCCGTGCTTCGGGCGAGTGTCTGCAAGCCTCGCGCGCCCGGTGGGAGGTCCCGCCGAGCGCGCGAGGCTTGGGGCGGCAGCCGCGGGGGGGGGGAATAATTTTTTTTATTCATTTCCCCCCCCAAAAAACGAGGTGCGTCCTATGGGCCGGTGCGCCCTATAGAACGAAAAATACGGTAAATGGAGAACGTGTAAGGACAAGGATGGTGAGGGATAGTTGACTGCGATGCAAGCATGTGAAGAACAGGTGCTAATATTTAGCTGGCATCCTGCTCAGAACAAAGCAGGATGGGAGTCAAGCTCACACCTTTGTGATTTAATCACAATTCAGTAGTATAATTCATCACCTTTCATCAACATCCTATTCACATCCTCATGTACCACCGCTAAAACTTCATAGCTGGGGAGAACAGTTTCTAGTGACAAAAGACACATATTTAATGGTTTCAGATATCTTCCTAAATATTACATGGACACTGTAAAGATTGGTATTTATTAAAATTTGTGAAGCAATTTTACATATGGAAGATGAAATAAATAATTCAAGGACAATTCTGTTTGTCTCTAAAATTGCATGTGGTTTATGAAGATGAAATTGTGCATACTCTTTGTTCACTGTGAGAGTAGCATTTCGACACCTCAAGTGAGGAAAAGTCATTTGCATTCAATTTTTATTATTATTTAGAAACCCGTATTGTCATTATTCATTTTTCTGTTGTAGGATACAGCAAGCATGAGCACTACCCAAGTTAACACTAGGTTGCTAGTGGTTATCGTCTGTCAAGCCGATGTGCACATTAAGTAACATTCACCAGCTCTGTGTAGACATAATGCCACTGATCCCTTAACCATGGTTAAGAGGCTTAGGGCTGCCTCATTCTTCCTTCAAACCTACCTTCCCTTTGCACAACCAACTGTGGTGTCAAATTACATCAGCACTGAGACTAATAATGGTTACCATTAACCACAGTTAACTTTCCATTAGCGATTGAAACCAAGATTTGAAGTTGGTTTCCAAACATTAACATTGGTAAGTACAAGTGTAAACAAGCATGGTTGCAGCTTATAAGAAAAAGGATGAGGAAACACGCAGAAAATAGGAAGAAGGCAGCCCACAAGCTACTCCCAGTTTTTTTTGACCATGGTAAAGATGCCAGCAGTATTACACCTATTTGCTTTAGCCCAAGGAGCATATAAAGACTCTTAGGAAGATGTCAGAAATCCTGAAATGTCCTGGTTCTTGGGTGTAAAAATGGCGCCCAATTTTTTGCCAATTTTGGGGGCTTCCTAAAAAAAGCCCCGCTCTCTAGCTCTCAGAAGGGCTTACATATGATCAATTAAAACAAGACAGTCCCTATCTGTAGGCTTGCAATCTAAAAATACATGAAAGACAAGGGAAAAGTGACAGGGAGGGAAGAAGAAAAATTTAGGCACAAATTTCTAAACAGTTGTTCCTCTAGTCACCAGCTGGCATAGTTCAGGGGCAGGAAGTGCCTGATGGAGCTGGACTTCCAGAAAAGCTAGTGAAATGAGCTCTGTTTCCTATCTCTCCCAGTGAGGCAGTCTGATGGAATGGCTGCCCCCAGATGACAAATGTAAATGTTGTAATTATATATTTATCAGGCTGGTGGTCCGGCAGAAGGAGAGCTATTCCCTGTCTTTGTTGTTGTTTTTAAAGTATTGCCGATTTTATCTTATTTATTATATACACAGCTTAAAGAGTTTTCTGATTAAGGTAACTAACTAAAGTAAATTTAAAAAGTGCAAATTTGAATCTGAGCCAATCAGTTGTAAATATACTATGGACACAAATGTAACTCAGAAGTCTTAGGTAGGGAGGATCCACAAGTACGGGTTATGAGGCATCTATTATTTAATGTGACAAGGTTCGTCACTTTTTTTGCTGGTAGTATTACTCAAACCTGGCCTGGCTTGCTTGCATCACTTAGGATTGGCTCCTACAATAATAATTATAAACTACACTTCGGTAATCAGGAACAAGCTGCAGTGAAGGTTGGACTTGAGGGCTCACTCCCCCAACTTCCTTCTTCATTTGTTATAGGGGAATGAAAGCTTCTATTTTCACTTTTGATTAAATCCCATTTCCTGTTATGTATACTCAGAGCACCGTGAATTATTCTAACTCCAATTGCTTAAAACAAAGTAGGATTAAACTGTGCTCCTGATCTCCCCATCCCATATCAATGAGTGACAGAAAAGACATCTGAAAACTGTAAATTTACTGTCAACAAGTGGGATTGCTAACTGCTGTAGCTTTGTCACAAGTCTCATAATTTAAAAGATTATTTTAAAGTCTAAATTCATGACTATTCTATTTATTTTTTGTGTGCTTTCCAAAGTGTTTTTCTAGCCAAAGCTTGAAACTATGGCAGACGTGAAAGGCATTTAAAGCAGTTGGCAATGCTGGGTGAGCAAGGTTAAGCTTTTACATTTTCAGAGAGAATTGCTTGGCAAAGGAATTAAGTTTACAGCCCATCTTTGTAGGTGATGTTGCAGAGTTCCAGAATTGGAGGTGAAGGGCTGGGAAGCGAGCCTCCCCCAGTCTGGCAATAACATAACTTTTATGATATGAGCCCAAATCCCTTTAATTTCAGCTAGACTTGTAAATAAGCTTGGCAAATCTGATCTGCCCCCCATCCCCTTCCAGTAGCAGCAACAGTGTTATGGAAGTGCAATGATGCCCAAAAACCTGACTGCAAACAAAAAGCTGCTGGTGAAAAATTGTAAGAATTGTAATTATACAGGACCCAGCAGCCCTGACAAACTAAAATGCTCTGAGAGCTAAGCAGTTTGTGTTGGTAAGGCTTTGAGGACCAATGAAAACCCAAGGAGTAGCCCTATTCCTCCCCTCCTTGTTTGTCCATTCACATCCCCCCATACCTACATGCCTGCTGCTGCTGCAGAGTTAGGCAATGGGTATGGAGGCTCAGACAAGCAAGGGCTAGCAGGAACAGATTTGTAATGATTTAAGAAAAAAAATCCCCAACCCCTTTTTTCTTTTAAAATTAAAACAGAAACAGAAATAAAAGCTTGGAAAGAATGAGCCCTTCCCAGATTGATGTTAGACCAGTTTCCCTACCTCTAGTTTTCACATCAACTCCTTGAGTTTCTTGTCTATGCCATATTATAAATCTTTTTATTCATTTATAGAAATATTTCCATACCGCTATTCATAAAATATATCAGAGCAGTTTGCAACAACAGTACACAAAACCACATAAAGAAGTTTAAACCAGAAATCAGCTATTGTGGAAAGATGAATTCCAAATCACCTGAACAGGCCTGATGGAATAGAAAAGTTTTCAGTGGGCATTTAAAAGTTGAAACCTGCTGATTCTCTATTGGCTGAGTATTCAACAGTATTGTGCCAATTACACTATAGGCTCAGTTCCTTGCATTTGTCAAATGATCCCTGCCAACTCAGGGAACGACCAGTGGTGCTCCTGCAGATTATCTCAGTGGCCAAGCTGGGAAATAAGGGTCCCTGAGGTGCCCTAGACCTAAGTCATTCAGGACTCTTTAAATTAATACAAGGACCTTGAAACTGGCTCAGTTGTAGATACATTGGCTTGCATAATTAAACAAAATATATAATAACAACTTACTGCTGAAGTCAGTGTCCTTGAGCCTGAATTGCTGTAACTGAAAAGGCAAAAACTGAAAGGCATGAAGCTATAAATTGAGTGAACTGATTTTTAAAAGACATCTCATTGAAGATATTCAATGGAAGCCAGCCTTGCATAGGTGGACTTCAGCTCTTCCTCAACTCTCTGGAACAGATTTTGAGGCTGCTGGGGGGTGGGGAGAGGAAAAGTCCATAAGCAGGCATCTGTTCTATATGTGCATGGACAGAATTAGTTACAATCCATTATATATCATCAATGCAATCTTATGTATGTTTACGCAGATGCAAGTCTCACTCTGGTTCAATTGGGACTGCTCTCTAGAAGGTGTGTTACAACTAAAGCTACCAATTAAATCTTTACATTTTAAAATCAAGTTCACTAGAAGCTTATGATATCTATATACTTCAACCAATCTTTATATGCCAACAGTGCAGCCGATTAGTGGAAATCCCTTTAATTTAAGGGGAAAATCTAACAGTGCAAACCTTTACATGTTTACTTGAAAGTAACGGAGCAACCCAAGCCCCTGCAGGGCAGCTGTTGGGGGGCAGAGCCATTACCCCATATGCATCCCTGCCACTGGTAGTGAAAGGTTGGCTCGGAATCTCTTGGAGCCCACATCTGTCTAGCTTCTCCTCCTGCCTTGGAACGAACACCCTCCCCCAAGGGTTTGGAGTCCCTTTGAATTCAAGGGGGTTTACACATCAATAAGTGCATGTAAGATTAGAGCCTAACAATGTCATCTTATATATATATCTACTCAGAAGTAAGTCCCATACAGGACTGCAGCCTAAGCTAACATTTACACTGTGATTCAGATACCTTAAAAAAAGTTAAGGTTCCCTTGGCATTCATCTCATAGCAGTAAATATAAGATATATATAAGCATTCTACCACTGGCCAATTCTGCACCCCAACTATGACCTTGCAACTGTGTTTTTAAATGTCATATGCATGTTCAAGTACCTTTCCTGAGCATTATTTGAAAATGTTTTAAAATAAAGATTTATATTTCTTCATTATTAAGATACCCTGGATCTACATTTCACCCATGTTTCCGTAATCAATGGATCTTACCTTAACTCCTAGATTAAATTTGCATTTTAAGAAGAGGGGCAAATACCTTCCTTCATTGTTTTGGGCAGAAAAAGAAACAGAACAAAACAAGAATGGAAGGGGGGGGGAATTAGCAGAAGGTCCTACTTCAGCTAAACCTTTGCAGTGACTTCAATAGAAAGATAATCTTTCTGTGATTATGACCAAACCCTCTCGTTGCTTAGCAACACATAATTAAGGAATATGTTTTCAGATCCGCTTTGCAAGCTGGCCATTATCAGATGAAATTACTGGAGCAACAAATGTCATCCTCATGCAAATGAATTGGTTGTAGAGAAAAAATGTTTGACTCAAGAAGGAGGCTGCTCACATCTCAACAATGCTGTTGGTATTGTCTTATAAACAGACTAACACATTAAAAAGGGAAAACAGCTATAGATTTCCCCACCACCACCCAAATACGCATCCCTGAAGTCTTAATAAGAGTGATGAAGGACTAAGCAGTAAAGAGAGAGATATTCTGAAGTGTATGACATATTATCTATATTCAGAGGCATTTGTTTTCAGGGCACATAATGTGTGTTCAAACCATTTTCACCATGTTTAGAAAGAACGCCTGCCTTAATCTTAAAAGTGCATGAGCTCTACTGAAAAATGTTGCGCTCACAAGCTACCAGAAGCAACCAGAAGCTTTTACCTACAGTATGACTTGCACAGGGTCGCTATTTGCTTTTTGTATTATGTCTGAAGTTTCTGAAGGAACACTAGATTATCAATTAAAGATGCACTGGATAACAGCTATGACAAAATGTTGGCCTCTCCAAAAAACATTTTATTACTCCCAAATTGAAAAATTCTGAATCTGTTTACAAGAAATCATTCAGAAATTGTTCTACCTGAACAGTCTTTAGAAGCTTTCATTTACAACCAAGCCCAGTTCAAATGGCAGTCACAAGGGCTCTTCTTTCCAACATTGCTAAAAACATCATTTTAAGCAAATGAAGCATTTTCACAACCCTACCTTCAAATTCTTTCAAAAGCATTTATTTATTTTTAAAAGCAGTATACTCTGTTTCTAATATATTTGTACATATGGCATTCTCATATATTCAAGGTATTTCTACATATGTATTTATTTCACACATCATGAAATCTAAACTAAGAGCAATCTGTGCTTTAAAAAGCGTAAGAGCAAAAGTGGAACATTGTAACTTTTATCAGTTCCACCTTTAAAATGACTGTCATTGTTCAGACATTGTTTTCACGCTCATAGATAGTACACTTTGGGGCACAAGCCAAATGTAAGTACTTTTAAATTTATTTTATCATAGCAGAATTGAGTTAAAGTATATGCTTAATTCTCCTATTGAAATCAATTGGATTTAAAATATGCTTCACCATGGTTGGATTGTGTCCTTTGTTAAGTCACTCACTTTCAATAAACATGCAGATCAATCCTAAAAACATTTACTTAGAAGAAAATTCCCCTTAATTTAAAGGGATTTAATCCCAGTAGCTGCACACAGCATTGGGCACAAGTCAAATTATACAATTTACTAATCTGAGGCAATTTCTACAATTTCATTGATGGCAAATGTTTTCACTGGGATTTAACTGAATGTAACCCATGCTAAGGATCTGCCAGTTATTTTCTTTCATTACAAATTTAATTCCATGGACTATATATATATATGTGCTTAGCTTCATCAATGTTAGAAACTTATCAGTTTATGTATTCTGTATACAGCTTGTAAAACCTGTATACAGCAAGAAAGGAATTTTAGGAGAAGCATTCCCACCTTTTAATTAATTAGTTTCTATATTTCTATATTCTTCATCCAAGGATGAGTTTGCAGTATAAAAAAACCAAAAATAATAACATGGTAACAAATGAAACCAATAACCCCCACCACGAAGTATTTATTTACCTAGTGGTTAATGATTGACTTTAGCATTAAATGCAGACTTATTTTGTTAACTGCTTCTATAGCCATAAGTAATTCCAATAAGAAATCAACAGCATAGTGTTTTATTTGAAAAATCTTATTGAAAAAAGAAAGGAAAAAAAGAAAAATCAATCCAAAAGGAATAATGATTACTGTCCAAGCTGGGGAGTTCCAGGATCACATCATTAGTTACTTGATAAGTTACTTGATAAATTTCATCAAGGAAACACTAACTGTTTCCTCTGAAAAGCACACTTGTGCTGATAACAACTGGGGGAAATCAGTCTAAAAATGAAACCTTTCAGCCTAATTGCCCTAGAAAGTGTTTAGTATCTAATCTTATGTCCCTTGCAAATAACAGAAGCTGCAAGAGTCACTGTGAAATGATGGTTTGGCACAGTTGCCATTTTTATCTGCTGTGAACTAAGAAAAAAATTAGAAAAGCTAAATTAAGTCACACTGTGCATCCTCATGCTGGAATTATTTATTATATACCAGGTAGATTAATGACTCTTCGGGTTGGTGCAGGTAAGAATATATATATATATAGCAGTTTATTTCTAAGGCTATTGGTATGCTGATCCCCCCTCCCAGTAATTAAACATGAATACAACAATTCTAAAAAAAACCCCATATAAAGTAATATACTTTAAAGTAATTACTTGGTTCAGGCGATGCCATGGTGGAGACAATGACTGGTGGCCCTGTGCGCCTTGTGGTTTTCTGATATGGAGAGTGTTGCATTGGAAAACTTGGTCCTGCTGGCACCAGGTTGGGCTCCATTTGGGTTCCTTGTTTTCGAATGAGTTGGGGGCTGTTGTGAGGACTGTGCATTGGGGACAATGGAGGATTCCTTTCCCGCTTCATCAGCTCCATGGGTACTGTGTATGTGGTCGAATATGCTGTTTTGGGACTTGGGTGTGGATTTGTTTGCAGTGCATTCATAGCTATTCCAGCTGGAGCAGTATAGCCAGTTGCTTGTCGGGTGTGCATATTGCACGGGCCAGAAGCACTGTATCCAGAGTTGAGAAGAAAAGGAGCACCTTGATGGGGCAAGCCAGATGCAGGGTAAGTTGCAGTTTCTAGAAGGTGTTGTGTCGGAGCACTAGATGGACGGCGAGTTATTTCTGCTACTCTTGGCGACACGGGCTGCATAGAAGCAGCTGCAGGTGGGTGCATCACTGCACCATCTGCCATTGGGCTGGTGGCTGGGTGCATCGCATACTCATTCTGGAGCAATTCGCTTCGGTGACTAAAGCTGTTAGACCTGTGTCTGGGACGGATGATGGTGCTTTTCCTTTCCTGCCTCTGCATCTGCATCTCTGCTTTGTAAATATGGGCAATTCTAGAAAGCACTCTCGCTTGCCCTAGATTCGGAGCAACTGATTTTATGTCATTCTCCTCCATCATCGCCAGCATGCTTGGAGAATCAAATCCCTGCTGCAGCAAGGCATTGAGCGTGCTTTCGGATACTCCTTCAGAACGCAGAAGTGCCAAGAACTCTGGATCCACATTCCTTTTAATGTCTTGTCCTGGGAAAGGTGGAGGCACCTGAGTTTGTGAAGGAGTTGTGGCTGTTTCGCAGCTGTCATAAGGAGCTTTTGCACCGACCGTCTCCCGGACTGGTCCATAACCACGGTTTATGCTTCCATCAGGAGCTGCCGTTGAGTTTGGATCAACTACCAAACATGTTGGGGTAACTTGCCTACTGCCTGCAGCATCTATAGATCTGTCCACTGTGTCATTATAAGCTGGCCGGTTCAGAAATGCTGGAGGTTCTGCCCCGTACCTGGGCATTGGAGGTTCAACACCATACCTTGCATGAGAAGGATCTCTGTTTCGAATCCTCTGCGCCTCAGGGACCATCTTAGTCATTGGATCTCTATACATGCGGCTGGCTTCATGCGGGGCAGGTGACCGGACTTGCATCTGATCCCAAGCCAATCTGCCATAATTCGGTAATGGTCTGTTAATCATGTGGTCTCTATAGTAGCGTGGATCTTTAGGTGATCTGGCAGCTAGCGAAGGGTCACTGTAGTAATCCTGAGGTGGCAAGGAGCTTCGTGCAGACATCGTAGGCTGTCTGTCGTAGTAAGCAAACTCAGGGACGGAACCTTTCCGCAAAGGACCTTGGTGAAAAACTGGCTCCTGGTATGGATATGGCTCCTGCTTCAGCTCCGCACCTCCCGGCAAGATGATATCGTGTGGTCTTTGGGTTGGCTGCTCATACCAAACTCCCTCACCACCGTAGGTTAAAGAATTCCTTCTCCCCGGAGGTCTCTGGTAGTCGAATGAACTTTCATTCTCCCAATTGCCTTCATACCATCCTGCAGCATCCCAGCTCTGAGAGCGGCCAATGTGTTTGCTTGGAATTGGCATTGGTACACAGCAATGTTCAGCTTAAATAATGGCAAGCAAGCTCTCTTGTTAAAGCTTCAGTTACACGCATAAAAAAAGCAAAAACAAACAAACAAAATGCACTGTATTTGAATCCTTCTGCGGCTTCAAGAAACAGCCCAACAGGTGGTTTACGATTTCAAAGCGTTGCCTGAATTATTAATTCTTCGAAACATAAGTAGACAAAACACAGAAAGACCCAACAGTAACCCAGCCTGGCTCCAAAAACTGCAGAATGGAAAGGTCTTTCCTGTAGAATTCAGAAACAGAAAAGGGATGCTGCACTTAATCCAGATGGTTTATCCCTTCCTGCTTGGGATGGCTTGCTCACATGGACAACTAGTCAAACAGTGTGTGGGGATTAAGGGCTAAATAAAGCCCCTAAAGCTTTTGTTCCATGTGACACCATTTGAGCCTGATGCAACCTACTGCACCGGCTGACCCAGACACCTCTGTATATATTCTTCCTCTGATCATAGCTACTACATGCTATTTATATTTATTTGTTTTCTGTGCATAACACAGGATTCCTTTAAGATTTTACCTTCCCTCTCCCATGGCAGGAAAATAAAGGGGGTGGGGAGAATGGCAAGAGAGCTTCAATGTCAATTCAATCTTAATCCATTCTGATGAAATGCTAATCCACTATACAGAGCTAAAGACAAATTAAATAGGAGCAGGCATGCTGGCCCCAAACAAGGCTGAAGCAAGATATACAAATATATAAGATCATGAGTTGAAACAATCTAGGTATTGGGGCAACACGTGATGAACACTGCACATTTTTTGAAAAATTACTGGGGGATCAGGGGAAGGGACAGGGAAGATGAGAGGCCAGTTTGAAATTAGCTCCACTAATTATTCTCCAAAACGATTCTTCATATTATTACCATAATTCTCAAATCCTTTCATCATCCCAGGAAAGAAAATTGCTAAGGTGTAATCTGGAATTTATAATTTTAAGACCTGAGAAGAGGTCACAGAAAAGGGAGGATGAAAGGCTCTCAAGTCTTAGTATTACAAAGCTGAAAGAAGAGAATGGACATTACATATTGTTCACTGGTACACTATTTAAACGCACACAACACACATACTTTATGCACAGCAGACACAATTATTATATTTTTATCACTTCAATATTAATGTGGACACTAAGAGGTGGAAGGAATAAGACAGATGTACAGTATTTGGTCTTTGCAAACCTACTGAACATTTTTACACTTTGTTAATATTTAAGAAAATTACAACAAACACTTTATAAACACCAAAATAGTCAACAGAATGCAATTAGCCATGGCTATCTTGAATCCTGGTTGCTAGAACATTTTTAAAAAAGATTCATCAACACATTTGCTATGCTATGTTGTGTACATTAAAACTATGGAACATACTTGTCAGGGAACTGCCATCGGAAGGAAGGGAGGTGAAAGGGCTCACACAGGTTGGGAGAGACTCAGCAGCTGAAGAGGGAACCAGTAGGGGGAGAGGAGCTGAGCTGAGGGAAAGTGAGCTGGAGGGATGGCTCAGAGACACTTCCAGCGAAAACAGTGGGGAGGTTTCAGGACCTCCTGTAGGAACACCCACTCCGCCGGAAACTGTCACGCAGAGAGTCCAGAAGACGTGTTTCCGTTAAGGAGCTTTTATGTTGGAAGCGATTCCGAAAGCAACCACTGTCGGAATCTGCTAGTGACTAGAGGAGCCATGTCTGAGGGGCTCCATCACAGACAGAGGTTTGTGGACTTGAACAAACTCTGAGGGGATACTATTTTACGCACAAGCAGCTCATCATCCCATCACAGCATTCCGACAGTCTTTGAAAGCAGCTTGTGCAGGAGAAGGCATCATGAGCAACCCAGCCGGAACCGGAGAAGCAGGAGCTGGAGCGGGTCCAAGCCTGGAAGAAAGGTACCGGGTGTTGGAGGTCCAGCTAGCGCTGCAGACGGCGAGGCTTGAGGAGAGGAGGGCTCAGGATGCAGACAAAAGGGGAAAGCCACCCAGCTCGCCAGAAAGGTACCAGGATTGGTGCAGAAGTTTGGGGGGGAGCCCAAAGACTATCATGGCTTTCGGACAGAGATGCAATATGCCCTCAATCTGCAGTTTGATGAATTCCCTGACGAGGAATCACGAGTGGCTTTCGTGATTGGGCATCTTGAAAAGGGGGCGAGAGACTGGGTTAGACCCCTGATGGCAGCGAATAGTGACGTACTAAAGGACACGATGAAGTTCTTTCGCGCCATGGATCTGATGTTTTCCAGCGATATTGAACAGGGAGTGGTGCGCAGACAGTTAATGGCTTGCAAACAGGGGAGCCGATCTGTCCGTGAGTATTGGACTGAGTTCACCATGCTGGTTCACAGATTGGGGTGGGACTTATCGGCGGAACCCATTCAAATGCTCTTTGAAGAAGGGCTTTCTTCGGCTGTGAAAGACGAACTTTCCCGGGCGCCCAGGGCGGAGTCTATGGACCAGCTGACCAAATCAGCGCTGACCATAGGAGCGCGCCAGGAGGCGAGAGCATTGGAGAGGCGGGAAGGGAAGGGGGAACGTTGGAAGGAGTTCCGCATTCCAGACATTCCAGAGCCAACTTTCCCGCCGGCAGAGCCGATGGAAATCGGAACAGCAGGCGCGCGCGCAGTTTCAAAGCCCAGTGAGGGGGAAAGAAGGAGGGAAAACGCGCCCGGAAATGCTATCTCTGCCAACAGCCAGGTCACTTTGCCAGAGTCTGCCCACAGAGGAAGGAATGGCAAGGGATGGTAGGAGCTGTGGAGGGAAGAGAGGAAGAAATACCGGAGCAAGTAAAAGCCAACGCCTGGCTGCCACCGTCGGGGCACAGCAGCCAGGCCAAAGAGCAGTGAGAGTGCCCACGCCAGAACCTCCTAAACCCGCCCTAGTGATAGAAGTGGCGCTAGAGCTGCCAAACGGACACCTCTAAAGATAAAGGCGCTGTTGGACTCAGGCAGCTCCTGCAATTTCATGAGCAAAGAGTTTGCAGCTGAACACCAGATACAGACGATCCTTTAAGCAACCCCTGCAGGTGACCACGATCGATGGCAGGGAGCTGTTGGGAGGAGGAGTCAGCTTGCAGACCGTCCCAATGATAATGAAGGTGGCAAGGCACACCGAACTGATAGCGTTTAATGTGGCCACCTTGGGAGGAGCTCCCATTATATTGGGGATGAGCTGGCTAGCGTTACATGATCCGCTGGTGGGCTGGCATCAGAGAGTGGTTTCTTTTGGTTCAGCACATTGCTTAGAACACTGCAAAGAGGGAAAGGGTTTGGCAGGGGCCCAAGCCACCCTAGCAGGGACTGAAGTAACGGAGAACGTGAAGGTACCACGACAATACGCAGATCTCCGCGACGTCTTCAGCGAAAGGGAAGCTGACCAACTACCCCGCATAGACCCTTTGACTGTCAAATCAATTTACTCCCTGGGGCACAGCTCCCTGTAGGCAAGCTGTACGCCATGTCAGACAGAGAGATGCAGGAGCTAAGAGAGTTCATTGACAAGAACCTGAAGAGAGGGTTCATCAGAGAGTCCAGGGCGGTGGGGGCAGCCCAGTGTTTTTGTGGATAAAAACACGAACAAGCCGAGGCTGGTGTGTGACTTCAGGGCCTTAAATGCAGTGTCAGAACCAGTGGCCTTCCCTATGCCCAGGATTGACGACATTTTGACAAGGGTGCGGAAGGGAAAGATTTTCACAAAGCTGGACCTAAGGGGGGCGTACAACCTGATACGAATAAGGAAGGGGATGAATGGAAAACCACCATGTTCACCCCTTTAGGGGCATTTGAATATTTGGTTATGCCCTTCGGCCTACAAGCAGGCTCCGCATGCTTTCAATCGTTTATGAACCACGTCCTGGGGCCTTTGCTTTACAAGAATTGTGTGGCCTTCTTAGACGACGTGTTGGTGTATTCTGAGAATGAGGAGCAGCATGTGAGAGACGTCAGAGAAGTGTTGAGCAGGCTGCAAGCCAACCAGCTGTGGGTGAAACTGGAGAAGTGTCAGTTTCATACCAAGGAGGTGGAATTCCTGGGGTATCGCCTGTCAGACAAGGGATTGGCCATGGATCCCGGCAAGGTCCAGGCGGTGCTGGAATGGAAAACGCCCAAAACAAGGAAGGATGTGCAGAGGTTCCTAGGATTTGGGAACTTCTATCGTAAGTTCATCCGAAACTTTGCCCACCTGACGGCGCGCATTACGGACTGTCTCAGCAGTAATAAGAAGTTCGTTTGGACTGAGGTGGCGGTTCGAGCATTTTAGGAAATAAAAAGGGACGTCGCCTCGGAACATCCACTACTGCTTGTGGATTTACAAAAACCGATGAGAGTGGAAACTGACGCATCAGACAGAGCGATTGGGGCGGTGCTTCTGCAGCCAGGGAAGGAGGAGTCAGAGTGGAGACCGTGTGCTTTTTTTTCGCGAAAACTGAACAAATCCGAGAGGAACTACACGGTGTATGACCGAGAACTACTAGCCATTCATGAGGCGTTCCGGAGATGGAGGCACCTGCTAATTGGCGCACAACATAAGGTGCAAGTGTGCACTGACCACAAGAACCTAGAGTATTGGAGGACGGCACGAGTGCTCAACCAACGGCAAGTGAGATGGGCCCAGGAGTTCTCCAAATTTAACTTTGAGATTGGTTACGTGCCAGGCCCAGAGAACATTCGGGCGGACGCTCTCTCACGCAAACCTGAATATTTGGAGGGGGAGGGAGCACCCGAAGAGAGACATGTCATTCCAGAGGACCGCTGGGTGTGTGGGGCGGCATTGGTGGGACAAAGAGAACTGGTAGAGGAAACAGAGAATGATGAATACGCCCAGAATAAGCTCAGAGGTCTTAGGGGTGAGGGAGAGGAACCAGGGGTTTCGAGGAAAGAAATGGAGCTTTGTATTACAAAGGGCACTGTATATCCCTGAAGGAGACTTAAGGGGAGGGTACTCAAGCAGTTGCACGACAGCCCTACGGCGGGGCATTTTGGACAACACAAAACCATGTGGTTGGTCACCAGGGAATTTTGGTGGCCTAAGGTGAGGGAAGATGTACGTGAGTATGTAAGAGGGTGCGAGCAATGCCAGCGAGCCAAAGGAGAAAGGCGGGCGCCGGCGGGGCTATTAGAACCCTTACCAACCCCAGAACGACCTTGGGAGGCAGTGTCGATAGATTTTATGACTGATCTGCCGAGTCCAAAGGGAAAACAGCAATCATGGTGTTGTTAGACCTACTAACAAAGATGTGCCACTTTGTAGCTTGCTCGCATGCAGTCACGGCGGAAGAGACAGCGAAGTTATTTGTAGAACACATTTTTAGGTTGCACGGGGTGCCATTGAGGGTGGTCTCAGACCGAGGAAAACAATTTACTTCCAGGTTCTGGAGGAAGCTCATGAGCTTACTGCAGGTGGAGGTCAATTTTTCGACTGCCCGGCACCCTGAAACCAACGGGCAGGCGGAAAGAGCAAACGGTGTCCTCCAGCAATACCTGAGGTGTTATGTCAATGACAGAGAGAATGACTGGGTAGAAAAGTTGGCGCTGGCGGAATTTGCCTACAACAATGCCGAGAATGTGTCCACAGGGATGAGCCCCTTCTTGGCTAATTATGGGTGTCATCCCAGGGCTTTCCCAGGGGGAGATGGGGAGAGATGGAGCGTCCCGGCAGCCGAGCATTTTGTGGAAGAAATGGAAGCAATCCATCGTCAGCTCCAACTCAACTTAGAAAGGGCGAAGGAAGAATACAAGAGGCAGGCAGACAAGAACCGAAGGGAAGGCGAAACCATAAGGGTGGGAGATAGGGTGTGGCTGTCAACCCAAGGGCTGCCGCACAAAGGAGGTTGTAAGAAATTAAGACCCAGGAGGTTGGGTCCCTTTGAGGTCATTCAACAGGTCAACCCAGTGGCTTTCAGGCTCCGGTTACCCAACCACATGAAACTGCACCCAGTATTTCACAGGTCGCTACTGTCACCGTACGAAGGGGGACGAGAAGGGATGGCCACTGGGACCGGGTCATAGAAGAAAGAGAATGCAGCAGCCATGTGGCAGAAATCCTCGACGCCAGGTGGAAGGGGGATCAGGTGGAGTATTTGGTAGCGTGGGAAGGAGAACCGGAGTCAGAAAACACTTGGGTAATGGCCGAAGATATCAATGACGAGGTATTGATAGAAACGTTCCATCAAAGGTTCCCAAGGAAACCTCAGCCTGTGGAGAGGTTCCGGAGGGAATACTTTGGGACCACTGATGAGGAGGAGGAGTTGGAAGGATTCCCGGACTCGGAAGGGGAAGGGGAGATGGACTCTGAGGAGGAGGAGTACTTCGAGACCAGGAACCGCAACAGGTGGAGAGAAGTGTTCGAGACATCGGAAGATGAAGGAAGTTCATTCCGGGGTTTGCCTCCTCACCGCCCGTAGAGGAGGGGGCGAGAGGGGTGAAAGGGGCCCTGGAGGGGGAGGTGGATGTCAGGGAACTGCCATCGGAAGGAAGGGAGGTGAAAGGGCTCACACAGGCTGGGAGAGACTCAGCAGCTGAAGAGGGAACCAGTAGGGGAGAGGAGCTGAGCTGAGGGAAAGTGAGCTGGAGGGATGGCTCAGAGACACTTCCAGCGAAAACAGTGGGGAGGTTTCAGGACCTCCTGTAGGAACACCCACTCCTCGCCGGAAACTGTCACGCAGAGAGTCCAGAAGACGTGTTTCCGTTAAGGAGCTTTTATGTTGGAAGCGATTCCAAAGCAACCACTGTCGGAATCTGCTAGTGACTAGAGGAGCCATGTCTGAGGGGCTCCGTCACAGACAGAGGTTTGTGGACTTGAACAAACTCTGAGGGGATACTATTTTACGCACAAGCAGCTCATCATCCCATCACAATACTGAATGATAATATTGTTTCCTTTCTCCATAAAAAGTACAGATATGCATGCAAGTGTTAGGCTGAGATCTTGAAGGGAAAAAAATAGCACAACAGTCACCTTCTTTTGGTGGTTGTTAGGTCATCTTGTGCATTTCTAGGGCTAATCCACAATAAAATGTTTGAAGCTCAAGCCATCACATGATGGCGTATTGTGCTATTATGATAGCTAAGTCACTAATGCAGTCTAATGCATCTATCATACAAATACCTCTGGGCTATATTTCTGACCCAAATACAGACAGGATGTTGTAGTAATCCCCACCCCACCCCCTGCAGTAAATAGTACAAATCCTCTTCATCACACACTTAAGAATTTCACATACAAATGCAACACATTTAAAAACTGCCCTCTACTAGATTATTCTTGCATTAGTATTATTAGAATATTTATGACATGCAACTGCTTGAAAGTCAAATATATTGGAAGATGTTTTCTTGCCTTAATAATAATTAGAGAATACATGACAGGCAGCTGTCAGAAAGTCTAGTTGTTTGAATGAGGTTTATGAGTTTTAGCCTAGGAATGTGGGCACAGTAACTAGCCTGTCACCTATCTAGTCAGTGAAGGAAAATACCTAAGAAAATGAAACATTTTCCCCCAAGTCATTTTTAGAAGTAGTTTTCTGTTTTTACTTTTAATGGAATGAAGACTGATTTCCTTATATTTGTTTTACTTCTGTAGCATCCTTTGTCTTTACCTATCAAACTCTGTTAATGCTACTAGATTTTGCGTCGTTAATGTTGATATGAGGTTGCTTTTTAATACCTTTTGAGTCTTTTGTAAGAGTAGCAGAATCAATGTTCTACTGGCTAAAGCTGCAATCATAAACCTAGTTATTTGGGAGCAAGCCTCATTACATTCAACCCAATACTATTCAAAATACAAATTGTGCAACCTATATATAAATTAAGCAGTGTAGCTACCCAATAATAAATGTGTTCGGCCTCCAAAAAGGAAGATATAGTCTTCAACAGATTTCATGTCTCTCAGATATCCATGAAAAATTATTCTGAGCTATCTTTGAAAATAATTTTCTCCAGAATCTAAAACGGCCTACCCCAAAATTACTAGATATTCAGTTAAAAACTCATTTTGAGTGTTAAAAGAATTTGGAAACAATCCTGCGATAAAAGCATGGATTTATCTAACACACAGTACAGATCAGGCATGAGAAGTTTGGTTTATTAATAATTGTCAGAATATTGATCCTTGACCTGTCTGTATAAATCAGAATAATTTTTCATTATATGCTTTTACTGAAAAGCTTAATAGCTTTAGTCTAAAGGTTTCTCTTGGGTAGTGCTACTCAGTTACTAGAATGACATTTGCACATGTTTGTGGTGAAACGCACTGGGATGCTGTTTTCAAATTTAAAAAAACCAAAATAATAAGTTTCTTATATAGCATTCCTAACCAGCCACTGAAGGCCAGCTGGGGTGTGTGTGTGTGTGTTTAAGCATGGGGAAGAAGTGTTTCTTTAGGGGAGCAGCACAATTAGAATCACAGAATTATAGTGCTGGAAGGAACCCCAAGGGTCATCTGGTCCAACTCTCTGCAACGCAGGAATCTTTTTGCCCAACGTGGGACTCAAACCCACAATCCTGAGATTAGGAGTTTCATGTTCTAGTGGCTGAGCTATCCCAGGGATTTTTAAAAGACCATACAGTGCCCAAGGGTTACTTTATTTATCTGTACAATGTTGTCGTATGTTCAAAGAACTGAAAAAGAAAATATGCCTAGAACAGAAAATTTAGGTTTCAATACGGTCTAATGAATAAAAGATAGTTTTCTCCTTCATTCATTGTGGGGGAGAAAACCTATAATACCTCTATATGTCACCATATTGGGACCCAGATGCCATCAATTTCCTTCCAGTTTTATAGGTGGGCTCTTGCACACCACTGCAAAAAAAGCTGTCCTCTCTTCCCTTGCTGCCAAAGTAAGATGACCCTGGCACTTCCATCCAGAAATCTGACACCGCAGCCTCTAAAAGCATTTATTTGTTTGTTTGTTTGTTTGTTTGTTTGTTAGATTTCTTTCCCGCCCTTTCCCCCCAAACACAATTTAAAACATTAAATTTAAAACACAATTTAAAAATTAGCAACTGTGAGGGTATGTGATGGCTTTTAAATGTAGTTCACAGTTGCTCGTTTTAAGATTGCAAATGCCGGTATCTTTTAGCCGTCAAATGCCTGGGTAAAGAGAAATGTTATTAACATATTCCTCCTGAAAGTCAGTATTGAGGGAGACAGACCACACACTTCCCAGGCAGGGCCTCCCACAAATGGAGAACTGTCACCAAGAAGGACCTGTCATGGGTCAACAACAACTGGGCAGCAGTCAGAGGCGGTGGAACCAACAGGACCATTAGCCCAGTTTTCCAAGAGTTTGTGTGGTATGGGGAGCAGTGCCAGCATGAGAGTTCTTCTTGGGAATATCTCCTTATCTTGGGGGTACTGGAAAACATGTCCCCAGGGTAACAAGAGCACATGCTTCTAAAAGAACAAACCTTAAAGGTAAATTAGTCCATATATGATTTTAAATCCAAAGAATCTTCCTCCTTTCACATTTTTGTAGTCTCCACTTCACATCTGTCATAGAGCATGCCTCTGTGTATAGACAACAGTGGGTTTGTTTTTTGAAAAACCTGACAGCACAACTGTAAATATCCCTTTCCCTGTGACAAAATAACATTTGTTGTGCCCTACCACAGTCCTGGTTTAACAGGTTTTGTCATTTTCCATGGCACTTTTAATCTTAGCCAAAACATGTTTCCAAGAAGGATAACTAACACTGCTGCAATACACAGGTATACACAGCGGTTATGATTTTCGCACGCTGCTATTGGGTAGTGTCTGTAGTGGGTTACAAACACACACAAATTCCTGGAGAACTTTTGGAACAGTTGTTAAACCTTTAAAAAAAATGAATTCAAGAATGAGTGCTTATTCCACTCTTTTCCGTATGTATTGTCCTAGAACCTTAAAGGCAGCCAGGGGGAGGGCGATGCAAGTCCACAGCCATTTCAAGAACATTTTCTTTTTTAACAAAACCAACTAAATTTCTTTTAACAGTGTGAACTCCCTTGTGTCAAAAAGAAAACAAGATACTTCCTCTTGTACCAGGGCCACCTCCTCCCTCATTACATCTGTATGTTATTGAACTACTGAAGGAAGATCAGGGCCAATGCTGTAGCAGGAAAGGTGCTTCTGCTCCACAAAACTAGTCAAATGCACACAGCTTCAGAATACAAACTTTCTTTTTTGTTTAACAGATGAGCTAGAGGCTTCTAGTGATTGCAGAGATTTATTCTTGAATACAAAATGGCTTGGGAGCTACAACATGACTACAAAGAAAAACCCAACTCTGCCCTGTGTTTCACATTTAATTAATTCTGAATCCTACGAGAGATATCTGATTTCCACTTTGGGGGTTAGACACCCACAGAATCAGAGCATCTTGGAGAGGGGCTGTGGCTCAATGGTATGAGTGCATGCAAAAGGATCCAACCTCAACCCACAGCTTCTCTAGACAGGGCTCGGAAAAGACTCCAGTCTGAAAGCCTTAAGATCTGCTGCCAGTCAGCTTTGACAGTGCTGAAGTAGACCGACCAATGCCTGACTTGGCATAATGCAGCATGTTAACAAGTACTCATTCTAGAGAACATTGCAGCTTCCTATGTAGATATTTAAATGTTTCCCAGGATCTGTCTATACTTTTCAGCATGTAACATGAAAACCAAGTCTATTTTTTTAAAAAAAGCAAGACACAATAAACATTTTGGAATTGTGTGTTGAGAAAAACAAACGCAAGCAAAATTATATTCTCTCTTTATTACAAAAGCCTTTGTTACAAAAGAGGTAAAGCTGGGCGAGTTGTCAGGGCTTCATTCACCTGTTTTACGATTCACTAAATGTAATGTACAAGATGTTTATCTACACAGCTTGTGTCACGTCTATCTCTTACTCTAAATTTCCTCATATAGATTTCCCTGCACTCAAACTTCAGATGCTGTAAGAAAAGGGAGCAACAGGTGCATAGTTTGGAGAATTACATAGAAATGACTGCACATCTGCCTCCCTTGAAGCCTATGTAGCATCTCCTTTGCGGGTTAAGGGAAGTTCACTTAAACCTGTGGGGAGCATTTGTTCTAACTACATATATACTGTTACTAACTAGTCTGGCCATCTGTAAGAGTGGGCTAAAATCCTGCCAGGCAAGGGTGGCTAACTTATCCAGCCACCCACCCTGAAGCTGTTGGACAACAATTTCCATCATCATTGACAGTGATGATCGGTGGAAGTTGGAACCCATAAATGTCTGGTGGGCCAAAGGTTAGCCACTTACAAAGATTAATCCATCCTGGACTTTAAATGAATTCAAAGAGGTATAAACACTACCAGTGCAAACTACCATTTATTTGCTAACAGGGATTGCAGGCAGTCTGCTGCCTTCCACAGTTCTGCTTCCCAGCCAAGCCAGGCTCTTTTCTCTTCAGAAGCCAAGAGAGAGAGAGAACAATGATTACAGGGGATCAGAGGACGGCTTGGAGTCTTATGCTGTTGGTGCAGGCACAAAGAGTAGCAGTGGCTGATGCCCCAAATCACCACTAGCACCAGAGTGCACAAGACAGGAAGTGAACTCTCCCCCCCTCCTTTCCCATGATACAGTGCCATTGACCACTACACCTGTATGCATTGCTATTCTGGGCCATGTGGAAGAAGAAGTGGTCTAAGACTTCTGCTAAAAAGTTCTCACAGAGTACATGCAGTGTGCATGGTCTGTAGTTGTATTAACATACGTAATTCATAGGACTGCCAGCATGCTGCAACATTTCGCATCCTGACATTTTGAACGCTACACTTCTCAAAACAGAGTGATTAAAACTGGGCTAGGGAATAATAAAGATACAGAAGTAATACCAGCATGACTCAAAACCTGTACCTGCAGCTTAATACAAATTGTTATTCTTATGACTCCTGTATGATGCTGACCAATAGGACTCATTCACAGCAATTTAGCATATCATCATAATCTTTACCTTCTATACACAAATACTTCGGGGCAAACTCATTTTAATCTCTAATGTTTGTTTCTGGAATTTGACATGCCAGCCATTAAAGGAATCCACCTGATTTCCTATGTGTTTATCATTCTGTAGTCTCAATATAATTACTAATGGTAGGTATGCATAGCTATGCTATGATCCCCATCTTGAGAACTGTCCCAGCACTCTCCCATACATACCCTCCCATCCATAACAACAACTTATCACAAAGCAAGAACTAAGAATAGGGTACGGTAAAGGTAAAGGGACCCCTGACCATTAGGTCCAGTCATGGACGACTCTGGGGTTGTGGCGCTCATCTCGCTTTATTGGCCGAGGGAGCCAGTGTACAGCTTCCGGGTCATGTGGCCAGCATAACTAAGCCGCTTCTGGCGAGTCAGAGCAGCGCATGGAAACACCGTTTACCTTTCCGCTGGAGTGATACCTATTTATCTACTTGCACTTTGTGCTTTCGAACTGCTAAGTTGGCAGGAGCAGGGACTGAGCAACGGGAGCTCACCCAGTTGTAATGATCACTAAACAACAATGCCAAACTTATGTTTGCCCAGGTATTCTTGTCTTACTTTTTTGAAGCATTAATGCATTGAACCTGAACCCTTGGATGTTCTCAATTTCTGTGTGTAACAGGCTAATCTTTTTGGGCTAATTCTTATAGCAATGAAAGCAATAACCTTTAGCAAATGGTCATTCCCCCCACCCCTTTGGAATAAGATGTGATAAGCATATACATAAAAAATGATACATTTTATGCTGCACTGCATATTACCTTTGGACTAACAGGTATTTCTTTTAATCCATTCTACTGATTATAACGACCTCAAAGAAGATTTAAAGCAGGGAAAAGTCTCATCAGCCACCATTATTCCTTATAATGGTTTAAGATATCTAAGTATATTGCACCAGGTAAAAAGCCAGATCTTTTCAACATTATACAATAATCATTATCCACAATCAACCAAAACAGTCACAGAAAAATTTAAAATGAATTGAAAACCCATGATCCTTATCCATGAAAAATTATTTTTCAGTATTATTTTTAAAGTACTTCTTAATTGCATTTAGTCATAATCTGTTTTTCCCATGTTTTAATAGCAGTTGCAAAAGCATGTTGTGCGGTGTGTGACAGCAGCAAATCCCTTCAGTGTAATTAAAATTGCAAACGTACTTGGCAAACGACAAATGGATTTCTGGGTTTATGTAAACTGCACCTTTACAGATTAGAGAGAGAGAAATATTGGCCAGAAAAAAACAGATGGAAAAGGAAGACTTGTAAAATCCATTGTTCAGAGGAAAATAATCTAAACTTCAATTGTATCTAATGCTTTGTGGGTTGGTTTGTCCTCTGATCCTCCTAAGTTTCTTGTACACTTAGCAACCACATCTGATAGCAAACATCAAACTGGAAGGGTGGCTTTTGAAAAATCTAAAGCCGCCTGATAGAACCCTTTTAAGTCAGGTTCAAAGTCTGCTTTAGAGATGAGATAGAGTACTACACCTGCGTGTTTATGGCATTCTGATGGGTAGGAGAACAGCTCTCTCCCTTCTGCAATACAATTCTGGCAGTTGTCAGCATTTTTT